TTCATGGAGAGACACCCGTACCACTGAGGGAAGGAGGAGGAGCTACCTCACAGTAAGAGCCCAGGACACACCTCTCTGTGCTGACATCGGCTCCCAGGACTAACTGAGTATTCCTGGCTGCATCTGGCACTTTCTCTCAAAGGTCCAGGCCCATCACTACCAGGTTTGAGCAGGGGCAGGAGGCAGTTATGCCGGGTGGTGGTGATGATGGGTCTCTGACCTCAGAACTGGAGGTCAGAGCACTTTACCCCCATTAGGCGAGGTCATTCTTCTCCAGCCTTTCCTAAGTGGAAGAACTGACTAGATAGAAAGATATCTGTGACTGGGGTGCTCAGCAGGGTCTGCTCCAGCAGTGCCCAGAGCCCCTTCCAGTGGGTCAGGCTGGAGATTTCTGAATCCTGTGAAAAAGTCTCATGGCTACAAACAGGCAGGACCAAAAATCCAAGGGCTTCTCTTTGCAGAGCTGACTCCACTGTTGTTTCTTCCTGGAAGGATTCACGCTCCCAGAAACCTAAGGCAAAAGAGGCTGGAAGTACATTTTCCTTACCTTCCCTGCACATGTTCTCCAAAGCCCCACCTCTTACCTAAAGCATAGCCTCTTGGAAGGGCAGGGCCTGAGAGTCACAGGGATGATAACTGGCAGCCAGGCTGGGGGGTCTGACAGGGGCTGGGGTGCCGGGATAGCGGAGTTTACTTTGGCCCTCGCACGCAGCCTCTCTTTGTGTTGGGTATGCCCTGTGAGGGTCCACTGGCCATCCTCTCTGGCCTCTACTTTGACTGTGACATCACCACTCTGCCAGAGAACCCCAGGGAAGGAAGTGTGCTCTGGGTAAGAGTTCCAGAAGCTTTCAGCAGGAAGCAGCGGCCATGGCAGGTTTGGGGAGGGTGGCATGTCTGGCTTCACATCCAGGGGGCTCCTTGGCCTTGACCATCTTCACCCTTGATTGGTGGTAGCCCTTGCCAGTGTGAGGAAACCTAGGAGCAGATCCTCTTAAACCATGCTCTGACCCATTCAATTTTCAGTCCTGGGCAGGGCCAGAGAGTGGACAGTTGACCCCCAAGAATGGTAACTCCACCACTTCCCAGTGCTTCTGAAAATGGGCCCTAGGATTTTTCTGGCAAGGAGCTCATTTCTCTAAATTTAAATGAGGAAAGCCCAAGCCCTTCCAGCAGGCAGTCCTGGGAACCAGGAGAAAGCAGCCTGGGCTAAGGCAGTCTGGAAGAACTTCAACAACGGTGACAGCCTTGGACCCAAAAGAGCCATTCCTTAGCTAGCATGGCTGTGTGCCAGGCCCCAAGCTAAGCACCCTACATGCAGTATCCCCTTTAATGCCCATCTTCTAGGCAGGGAAACTGAAGCTTGAGAGGTGAAGGCATTAGGCTGAGGTCCCACAGCTGATACATGGAAGCACCCACTATCAGGACGCCTGTCTCCAAAGCTGGACTCACGGCCGACCTGTTTCCTGCAAACTTTCCAGTACAGAGGAAAACCGGTTTTCTCATCCCTGACCCTCAGCCATAAGGTTAAAGAGAGAAGGGCAGAAATGAACTTGAGCCTGATATCAGCCAGATCAGCAGCTTTGGGGTGTGCGAGCCTCCACTGCCTGGCCTGTTGAATCTGCAACGAGCCCCACTGGGAGGACAGCTGCTCTGACTTGCTTTGAACGATTTTTCAGATGATTTCGATGAGGCCCTGGGGGCTGCAGGAGGGGAGTCCTTGGGGGTCTGTGGCTGAGCAGTAGTTCTGAGGTGGGGTTGCCAGATAAAACCTAAGATGGCCAGTGCAATTTTAATTTCAGGTGAACAATAACTTTAAAAAAATATAAGTATTCCCTAAATACTGCATGGGGCTCTTCTGGGGTCTCCTCCCTCCCAGGGCTGGGGAGCTGGCCTGGGGCTGGGAGTTGCTGCTTCGCTCCCCACCGGAGCCTCAGCCCATCTTGGAAGTTGTGCCTGCAGGAGCAGGAGACAGGGATGGCCTTCTGGAAGCTTCAACTCCTGTGGCCACTGAACAAGTGTGGCCTTTCACTGTTGGCTTTGTGGAGCCTCGATTCCTCCCTCTGTAAAGTGAGAGTGGTAGGCGAGGATATGGCCACACAGGAGTGGTTGCTTTGCACACCTCTCTGGCAATGAGGGTTAGAGTTCCATTCTTCCAGGAGGCTGTAGGGGCTCCCAGGCAGGGGGAGCGCACAGAGTGAATGATCAGAACTCTCTCTTTGTCCTGGCTGGGGTCTCCAGACCCTGACAGCCTCGACCCTATCGTTGTCTCCCGTGAGCTATGGACGCTTGGAGTAAGTGTTCAGCCCACTCAGCCCACTCAGCCCAGCAGAGTGGGAAAGGATGCAGAACAGTTGGCTTTGCCTCCTGGCCCTAGAGACTCACCAGAGGAGGCACAGTGGGTCGTGGTGGCACCAGGATGGGGATGAGCTAGTGGGAGTCCCTGGGTCAGGTGGGCCTGGAAGTAGGTGATGGGAGGGATGGTGTGGTGGAAGGGTGAAGAGGGGGAGAGGGCCTCCCCTGAGGCCCAGAAACTGTGGTGCTATTGGCTTTCCCACCCATGGGATGGGTACTCTGCCCTAGGGCATGGCCTTGCTCAGGGCTGAGGGCAGGTGGAGCACATCCAAGTCTGTAGCTGTTGGTGCAGGGGCCAGGGCTGGACCTCTCTGCCCTTTCTCTGCCACTGGGCAAAACCCACTCCTTGCCCTTTTGGATGGTGGCTGCTTCTTACTGAGGCACATGTGGTGGGATGGGGTGGTACACAGGCAGAGTTGGAGGATGGTAGGGCTGGGGATGGGGTGGGACAGAGTCCAGAGATGTTTTTCCAAAGAGGTCAAGAAATCTCTTTCCAGTAATTCAGAAGCCATGTGTCAGACCTTTTCTGTGGCGTTGTGCTTGTGCTTGTGTGTACTTAGATGTGAAAGTGGTTGTGCCAAAGCACAGATGTGCGTGCTTGTGTATCCGGCATGCATGCTTGCCCTGTGAAATATGCACGCAGAAAACAGTGCTGCTGCCCTTTTGCCATTTCAGGCTGGCAGTGAGTCTGGGAGTGCCTGCAAGCATGTGGCTATGTGTGTATGGGGGTGTTGGCATGGGTAGAAGGGCTTATAGAACAGATTCTGGAGGGAGCAGCTTCTAGACAGGCCCTGTATAGGTCCTGCTCTGCTTCCCTGGTCTCCCAGACCCCAGTTTCTCCAAAGCTCCAAGCTTCCATCAATGACCCAGCGCCCAAGACTGGGTTTCTCAAGGGGAGCAGTGCCATCTGGTGGCAGGCTGAGGCTGTGCCACGAACAGATGAGGTGGAACCTGTGTTCATACGAGGGTTCTCTGCCTTTCTGGACCCCAGGCAGTGGGAAGTTATTGCCACGCTAGCTAAACTATGAACAGAGGGAGGGTATCTGAGGCCGGAACCCTCCACCCTTACGCATTTTGGGTGTATGGCCCACGGAGGCATAGCAGAAAAGTCAGCTGAAGGAGTGCTGGAGGCCAGGCATAGGAAAGTTACGAGTCCGACCTCTGGACCCATAAAACTGGGCCCCATTTCTTGGACCACCTCTCTGCGCTCATGTATCTCATCTGTATAGGTGGCTAACTGTGTCTACCCTGTGAGGTGGTAGTGAAGGTTATATGAAAAAGTGTGGGTGGAACACTTGGCTCACAGTTGAGCCTGCTGTAAAGTCAAAGGAAATGATAGTGGCCATTATTGATATAGGGAAAGTTCCAGAAGCACAGGGAAGAGAGCTTTGTCATGGCAGGTGAAAGGGTTGCAGAGAGGGGATATGTCTGTGGCACTGCCAGCCCCCATTCTAGAATTTTGTGCCTGAGCAGCTGCTCCAAGTTACACATTTAAGTGAAAGAGGAAGGGGGTCTCTTTTCTGGAACTAGGGAAATGGGGTCCAGTGGGGAATGGAATCAAGAGTCTCAGCATTCAGGCTCTGGGCTTATTTTTAAGAAAAAAATTATTTATTGATTATTGAGAGAGAGAGAGAGAGAGAGAGAGAGAGAGAGAGAGAGAGAGAGATTGAGACATCAATTTGTCATTGGTGCTTTTACTGGTTGCTTCTTTTACGTGACCTGACCAGGATCGAACCTGCAACCTTGGCATATGGGGAGGACACTCTAACCAACTGAGCAACCTGAACAGGGTTCTGGCTAGCTTCTTACTAGCTGTAGAATCTGAGCATGGCAGCAGGCTTGCTCTGTTCCATGTTCCCCAAGTGGAAACGTTAGCTCTGAGGACTACATAGAAATGCGCAGAAACTTTCTAAGGACTCCCAGAGAGATAAAGGCTGGGTCAGGGAGAGATTCTGCTCATCTGCGAAGTCACATTTATCATTCATGCTCCCACGTCAGAGGATCCCTGAGTCTGTCAGTTGTTCTGGTTCCGCTGCTTATTAGTCGTGTGGTGTTAGGCAAGTCATTCACTCTCTCAGCCTCACTTTTCCCAGCTACAAAATAAAGGAATTAAATTAGATGACCTCCGAGTTCAGCCCTGCCTTACTTATGGCCTTTGGATTTTTCCCCCTTTTCTCTGCCTCATATATAATACCTAGGATAAATATTTATTGATCCTACAGGCAAGGTCTTGTACCGAAAGATAAAGAAAAACCAGAGCCTTCTGTTTTAATGGGTGCTGTGATTTCTAACATGCTCGTGGGAAATATTTTCTTAGATCGTGGTATGTTAACAAAGGGGCAGATGGGAGAGTAAAACAAAAGCTCTCGTCTGTCACACGGGGCATAATAAGGTAATGAAAAGGTATCCAGCTCTTGTAGTACTGGCTTGGAAGGATCCAAGTTCCTCACTTTCGCTTCCGCCTTCTGAAGCAGCCAATGACTATGCAGTCGTTCGCGTTAATCTTAAGAACTACAAACCCCAGCAGCCAATACGCGCGGGAGACGCGCTCTCGAGCTAATTGACTAATATGTCCCGCCCCTAGAAGGGGAACTTCATTTCCCAGAAGGCTTCGGGGTTCGTTAATATTCCTCCGCTTGCTCTGGCGTTTCCCTCCCGCCTTCGGCCAGCAAGCCTCGCACCGAGTATGAAAGGGGAAGGGGGCGCGCGCGCAGGCGCGCGCGCGATGCACGTAGCGCGCGACTGACGCATAATATGTGGGCCATTCTGGAGCCGTGGTCGCGCTGTGTGTGAGTGAGGGATAGTGCGGGACCTGAGGCGGTGTGTGTGAACTGTGGCCGCTGGCGGGGTCCGGGGCGAGCGGCAGAGCCGCAGGGGAAGGTGAGTGGGGAAGGGAGGAAGACGGCTCTCTGGGAGGGGCTCGAGGAGACAGGGCGCGTGGCTCGGCGGGCGGGAGAGTGGGCGCGGGCTGGGGGAGGGGCGGCACCTGCCCGGGCCGCCGGCGGCGAGGGGGCGGGCCGGGCCGGGCCGCCGGGGAGGCTGGGCCCCGGCGCTGACAGGACTTCTCTTCCAAATTCTCGGCTCGGGGGCGGGGCCTTCGCGTTCTTCCTGCAGTCCGCAAAAGAAGCTTCCCGAGAGTAACTCTTCCGCCCGTAGTCCGGGGGTAGGGATGTGCCCGCCCCTACCTGTAGGAGGGGCCTCTCTCATCCTTCTGGTCGTGTTTTTCCTTCCAATCATCCCAATCTCCGTTCCGTACGGACTGGGGAGCTCCATCTTCCCTGCCGCCGTACGGCGGCCCACTTCCCAGACTGTTTCCGCCTCTAGCTCTAGTCATCTGGGCGGGCTTTCTCCTCCCTCGGCCTCGAGCTGGCTTCCCCTGCACCCTCTTGGCTCTCGGACCGGGCGAGGGGGCGGAGCTTTCCGGGCACTCCTCCCACCCCGGTGGTGAAGGGGTAGGGTGGACGGAGGTGTGAGGGTCCTGCGGCGTGGAGCGAAACCTCGGAGTGCCTTCCAGGCTTCCCGGGAACCTGTTTCCGTGGGTTCTAGTCGTTTGCATCTGGGATGGCCAGGCCTTTGCTTTAACTCCGTCTTCTCTTACTGAACGGTTTCCTTCTATTGCAGTGTTACCCCTAGGGTTTCTTATTTGTTGAAGTAGTAGTTTTGGAATCTCTGTAGTAGTACTTTTTGAGTCCCAAATGACTCGTACCTGTCCGCATCACGTTGTTTTTTCCTAACTCTGTTTTCATTGAAGCCTCTTAATTAGTCTGCGTTTTCATTAATTTATATTAGCATCTTCCTGTTCTGAACGTTTTGTTAATATAGAGTGAGAGGTTCATTGACATTGTCGACCTGTAATTTTCTTTTTCCAGTTTACTGGAGTTTATTTATCTTTAACGCTTATATAAGCTCTACTGGAGTTTACCTTTGAGGTTTATATAAGCTTGTATGTTTAGACTCCTTAGGAGTGGAATTGGTGTTTTTCTACTCGGCGATGTCAAGGTTTGGGTTTTATCTACAGCAGTTACCCGTTTTTGGGTGGTGATGTATTTTTGGATGTTAAGGAGCAAAAAGAACTTGACTTGGGGTGGTGAACACACAGTACAACATACGGATTATGTATCATAGAATTGTAGATCTGAAACCTATAAAATTTTATTAACCATTGTCACCCCAACAAATTCAATAAAATTTTTTTAAAGTAGCTGGTAGAATTTGGAGAATATATAGGAAATAATAACTTTATGCTCAAAATATCTTGAGTAGTTGTTGAGCACAGTGTTTTACTATTCTATCTTATGTACAGTTGTTTAATAGAGAAGGAATCTGGTGAAATGAACCACGTTAGCTTACCTTGGAGTGATTGAAGTTTTTTAATTTTTTAAATTACTGCTTTTAGAGAGGGAGGTGGGAGGGGAAGAGAAAGAAAGCATCGATTTGTTGTTCCAAATTAAGTATGTATGCATTGGTTGATTCCTGTACGTGACCTGACCCTGGATGAACCTGCAACCCTGTCTCATCAGACACGTTCTAACCAACTGAGTCACCTAGCCAGGAGCTGAAGCGGGTTTATTACCAATTTTCTTATGCTGTTTTTGTAAACGAGATGGTCATGGACAGTAATAGAAAGTTGTTTATACGTGATTTTACATTTCATACTAGTTATTAGGTAAATTTTATGTGAAGCTCCAAATTTAGATTATTTTCCCCAGTTTTTGTTTTGTGTTTAAGTAAGGAAGAATGCTTTCAAACACTTGCTTCAGGTTTGTAACCATGTGGAATCTTTCCTTAACATGGACTTTATTTTAAGCTTTGCGACAATTCTGAATAGGCTGTTCAGTATTGTGTTTTAGAAGAGGACAGGTTTTATGATTCAACTGAAAAATACAAAATAATTGAAAATGGTAGAACTAGGGTAGGGATGAATAATGAAAAATCTTTCTTTTATCTTTATCCATTAGAGAGTCAGTTACCTGCCACAAAAGTAGTAGCTCTTCTCTGTTCTTTGTGTATTCTTCCAGGGATATTTTATTTTGGGGATACACACACCCTTTGCTTTTCTCACTAGTCCACATTAGGGAAGGAAATACTTCTGTATTTTTTCCAACTTTTTATTATGAAAAATTTCAAACATTAAAAAGTTGAAAGAACAGTAAAGTGAGCACTTGTTTATCCATCCAGATTCAACAGTTGTTAATATTTTGCCATATTTTCTCTCTGTATGGGTATATATATACTTTGTGGAACTAATTGAAAATAAGTTGCAGACAGTATCACCCCTAAATACTTTTACAGCCATCTTTTAAGGATGAAGACATTCTACATATTTTTTGTGGGGCTTTACATTATTCCCCTATAGGGACAGTATTATTATTTAACCCTCACAGCATTCTCTTCCATTTCATAGATGAGGAAATTGAGATTTGGAGAAGTTAAATAACTTGATCAAGATCTTGCAGGTATGTCTGTAGAGCTGGGATATGAATGCTTAAAATCCTTTTCTACCAAGTAACAGTTGGTTGGTCTTGGAGACCTTTCTGAGCCCATTTCCTAATCTGTAGAAAAGGGAAGGGTGGTTGCGAAAATTCAGAAAAGTGGTAAATGAATTACCTAGTGAAATGTCTGCTCCGTGCTAATATTCACCAGTTGGTAACTATTGTGTTACTATTGGACAGGCATTAAATTCTGCATACACCTAAAGAATTCACTTTAAAACATGGTGAGTTGAGAATAAAAATAAGAAAAAACAATAAAGAAAATAAAACAAAAAACTGATGAGTTGAATAATGTACCTTTACTGTCTTTTGCATAACAAAATGTGTATAATGCATTTTGTATTAATAGCTTTTCATTGATAGTAAAATGATTTATCATTGATCCTACAATTTTAGTCTGTTACATAATTACTATAACTTTAGGCAAGTAATTATTCCCAAAGTTATGACTATTCTCAGGGATAACTAATCAGAATTTTTTAAAATGATACTAGAAGTATATGTTTAAATGGAACACTAAAATTTTAGTATTTTAACGTCCCTGAGTTGAGCTTGATTACAAGTAGTATGTGTTCCACTTTCTGATTGCTTAAATTTTCCAAAAGGCATTCCCTTGTAGAACTTTTTAAAAATTAAAAACATTGTAAAATTTACATACCATTAATAAACCTTTCCTATTTTAAAGTGTATGTAATTCAGTGGCACTTGGTGCACTGACAGCGTTGTGCAGCCATCGCCTCTTTTAGTTTCAAGACATTTTCATCACCCCAAAAGGAAACCCCATACCCACTAAGGAGTTGTTTCCTATTTCCTCCTCCCCAGGCCTCTGGCAACCAGTAGGCAATTTTCTCTATATGGTTTTACCTATTCTGGATGTTTTCTATAAATAGAATCATACAGTATGTGACCTTTTGTCTTGCTTCTTTCATTTAGCATATTGTTTTCAAGATTCATCCATAGCTGTAACATGTATCAGTACCTCATTCCTTTCTGTGGTTGAATAACATTGTATTTTATGAATATAACTACATTTGGCTTATTCATTTACTCATTGATGGACCCTTGTGGTTGTTTCCACCTTTTTGGCTATTGTGAATATTCTGCTTTGAACATTTGTGTACAAGTATTTGAATATCTGTTTTCAGTTTGTTTTGGGAGTGGAATTGTTGAGTCATGTCATAATTCTGTTTTAATGTTTTAAAGATATTTTTGAAGAGCCACCTAACTGTTTTCCATACTTGCTGTACTATTTAACATTCCCATCAACAGTATGTCTCCCAATTTCTCCACCTCCTTGCCAGTGCTTATTATTCTCTGATGTGCGGGGATGTAGGCATTCTTGTAGGTGCGAGTGCTATCTTATTGTGGTTTCAGTTGTTATTTCTGTAATGGCTAATGAGGTTGAGCATCTTATCATGTGTTTGTAGGCTATTTGTATATCTTTGGAGAAATGTCTGTTCAAGATCTTTGCCCATTTTTGAATCAGGTTTTTTGTTGTCGTTGTTGAATTGTAGGAGTTCTTTATATGTTTTGAATACTAGATCCTTATCAAATATATCATTTACAAATATTCTTTTCATGGGTTGTTTTTTAACTTTTTTTAAAAAAGGTTTTATTTAGTTACTTTTTAGAGAGAGGGGACAGGAAGGAGAAAGAGAGGGAGAGAAACAGTGTGTGAGAGCTACAGCAATTGGTTGCCTTTCACATGACCGTAACTGGGGACCTGGCCCACAACCCAGGCATGTGCCCTGACTGGGAATTGAAACAGTGACCTTTCTGTTTGCAGGCTGGCACTCAATCCACTGAGTCACACCAGCTGGGGCAAGTACCACAGTTTTGATGACTGTAGCTTTGTAGCAAGTTTTGAAATCAGATGTGAATTCTCCAACTTCTTTTTCAAGATTGTTGGTTAGTTAGGGTCCCTTGCAATTGTATATGAATTTTTGGATGGAAGTTTCCATTTTTGCAAAAAAGGTCGTCTGGCTTTTGATAGGGATTGCAGGAACTGTTGACCACTTCGGAATGTATTGTTATGTCAACAATGTTAAGTCTTTTAGTCCATGAACATAGGGTATCTTTCCATTTATTTAAGTCCTTTCTAATTTATTTCAAGAGTGCTTTGTAGTTCTTAGTATATGTCTTGGGCCTTTTTGGGTTAAAATTTTTTCTTAATTTACTCTTTTTGGTACTATTGTAAATGAAATTGTTTTCTTAATTTTATATCTGGATTGTTCATTGCTAGTGTAGATCTTGTATTCTGTAGTTTTGCTTTGCTAATTTATTAACTCTAAGAGAGGTTTTTTTGTGTGTGGATTCCTTAGGATTTCCTATATATAGAATTATGTCATTTTGTGAATAAAGACAACTTTACTTTTTCCTTTCTAACTTGAATGCCTTTATTTCTTTTTCTGGACTAATTGCTCCTGCTAGACTTCAGTACAGTGTTCTATTTATTTATTTATAATATTTTACTTATTTATTTTTTAGAGAGAGGGGAAGGAGAAAGAGTGGGAGAGAAACATCAATGTGCGGTTGCCTCTCATGTATCCCCTACTGGGGACCTGGCCTGCAACCCAGGCATGTGCCCTGACTGGAAATTGAACCAGCGACCCTTTGCTTCACAGGCCCGTGCTCAATCCACTGAGCTACATCAACCAGGGCTCAGTACAGTGTTTTATGTAAGTGGTGAAAGTGGGCATCTTTGTCTTGTTCTAATTTTAGAGGGAAAGCTTTCAGTCTTTTGGCATTGAGTATAATGCTAGCTGTGGGTTATTTAAAAATGCTTGTTACCATGTTGAGGAAGTTCTCTTCTGTTCCCAGTTTATTGTTTTTATATAAAAGGGTGTTGGATTTTGTCAGCTGCTTTTTCTATATCAGTGAATCAGATGATCATGCTTCCCCCCCTTCTTCATTCTGTTAATGTGTGTTATATAATTGATTTTTACGTGTTGAACCATCCTTGCATTTCTGGAAAAAATACCACTTGGTTTGGTTATGATATATAATCCTCTTTATATGCTGCTATCTTCAATTTGCTAGTATTTGTTGAGAATGTTTACACCTATATTCATAAAGTATATTGGTCTTTAGTTTTCTTATGATGTTTTATCTGGCTTTGGTATGCAGGTGATGGTGTTCTTAGAATAAATTAGGAAAAAATGCTGGCTCCTATTCTATTTTGGGGGGAGAATTTGAGGATTAAATGTTTGGTTAAATTATTGCTCCACCCAACTGACCTGGCTAGTACTTCTCAAGATTGTCGAGGTCATGTAAAACAAGAAAAGATCCAAAAACTGTCATTGACCAGTGGACAGTAGAGAAATGATATCTAAATGCAATGAATCCTAGAGGAGATCTTGGAACAGAAAAGGGACATGCATGGGAGAACTGACGAAATCTGAATCAAGTCTGCAGTTCAGTTAATAATAATTTACCAATGTTGGGTTTCTTAATTTTGACACTGTACTGTCACAAAATAGGATGCTAACATTAGGGGGAAATGAAGTTGGGTGAAGGGTATATGGAAATTTTACGATCTTCACAATTTTTTTTATAAATCTAAAGTTATTCCAAGTAAGAACGTTATTTTAAAAATGCATGTGTAGTTAGTAGTCACAGTCAAAAATGCAGCCTGGGGGTTCTTAAGGTCAGAAGTCCATAATAGTCAGTCATATCTGCAGCAATTTTTTTTGTAACTTTGGTTAGAAAGTCAGAAAATGTAGATTCATTTCTTCAGAAAAGAAACCTTTTAATTTAATTTTAATCATTTTTGTTTTTGGAACTGTTTGTTCTCTTTTGGAGTTATAGGTAAGCCAGGTGACATGATTCAGTACGACTAGAATTGCTTCTACTTCATAAAAATGCAAATATTTTACCGTAGGTATCTTCAGAAGAGTGAACAATCCTAGAGCACCTGGTGTGATCCCTTTTCACACCAGAAAGGTAATCCCTTTCTTGTGTAAAACTTTTTTGGAACAGTTGCTGTTTCAGTGAAAATTACACTTTTGGTGGCAGGATCTGACATTTGATCCTAAAGCTACTTTGGCAAATAAGTTGATTTATAAACCATTTAAACCTTTGGGTCTCGTTTATTCCTTTTGGTGCTCCTTATAAACCTCTCTTCCCAGTGTGTATGTGTGTGTGTGTGTGTGTGTGTGTGTGTATGTGTGTGTGTATATGTGTGTGTGTGTGTGTGTATATGTATATATATATATATATCATGCAGTTCCTCCAACGCCCGACTCAGCTCCTTGTCCTTGTATCCCCCCTGGACTGACCATAAAAACGCAGCAACTCCTCCCTCCCAGAAAATTAGCTGTGAGAGAATTAGGAAGCCTGAAGGACAAATAGGCTTATAATACTCCTTCCCAACTTTCACTTTCTTAAGACTTAAACTGGAAAGTGTGTATTTTCACCAAACTTTAGCCCAAAGACTTACATGAAAGAGCAGAATAGCCCTGGCCGTTGTGGTTCAGTTGGTTGGAGTGTCATCCTGCAGCTGAAAATTTGCAGGTTCAGTTCCTGGTCAAGGCATGTACATAGGTTGCGGGTTTGGTCTATGGTCTGGGCATGTACTAGAGGCAACTGGTTGATATTACTCTCCTGTACCTATGTTTCTCTCCCTTTCTCTTTAAAAAGAAATGAAAAAATGTTCTGGGTGAGGATAAAAGCAAACAGAAACAAAAAACAGCAAAATATTTTGGGGAGTTGCTTTTGCCACATTTTGTATTTTTAAAAAATGTATCCTCAAAGTTTTGGAGCTCAGAGATCTAGACCTGGTATTCTTTTATATATAGTATGTAGGGTGAGATGCACTTTTGAGAGGTGAAAGGGACCATAGCTTTTGTCTGATTCTCAAAGGGGTTTCCTGAGCCTAGTAAGTTTAAGAACTGTGATTTCAGTCTGTTTCCCCGTCTGTAAACTGAGGTTGAGAGAGATGACAGGACTTGCTGGCCATGGTAAACATCCAGGTTCCCAGTCCTGGCCTTCTCACTGTGCTGCAAATAAAAACTATCTCCAGGGTCCAAGGGGGAAATTTTAGTCTTGCTTTTAATTATTTCCTATACCTGTTCATCCCTTTTCTTTCCCCTCACTTGTCTTTTTGTAGGATGTATGTCAGATTTTTTCCTTTTATTGTCACTGTTACCGTTCTTTGCTTCCCTAGGCCAAGCCATGACGACGGTAGCGGTGCATGTGGACTCCAAAGCTGAGCTCACTACACTGCTGGAGCAGTGGGAGAAGGAACATGGCAGTGGGCAGGACATGGTGCCTATCCTCACCAGGTATGAACAATTACGTTTTTTTAAAAAACTATTTTTTTTTAAAGATTTTATTTACTTTTAGAGATGGAGAAAGGCGGAGGAAAAGGGAGGGAAACATTGATGTGTGAGAGAAACGACAGTTGGTTGCCTTTTGCAGGCCCCTAACCATGGACCTGGCCCACCCATGCGTCCTGATAGGGAATTGAACAGGTGACCTTTCAGTTTGCAGACGACACCCAGCCCACTGAGCCACACCAGTGAGGGCAAAATTACTTTTTAAAGGAGGAAACCTTGGAGAATAGTACAGGAATTTTTCACCTTCACTTCGAATTCTAAATCCATTTTTCCCTTTTTAGAACTAGTCTTTATCTCCTTACTTCTCAAAGGTCTTTAAATTTCTTACCTTTCCTCTTAGGCCCTTTGTCCTCATTCTTCTTTGTAGGTTCTTTTGCCAGTGTTTTAAGTCTAGGGCTTTGTTTGTGGTTCTCTCCTGCCTTCACCCTAAATAATCTACCTAGATAGTTTCATCTCTATCCATGATTTAAAACATTATTCCTTTGTTAACTTTCACATCTCTATTTCTCCTCACACCCCTCTTTTTAAAAATTTCAGGTTCATTTCTCAGCCGTTCGTTTCACACATTTGTACCTGGCTATTGTATGGACACCGAAAACATACCAGGCCCAGAATGGAGCCTCTCATCTTCATCCTGCCTCTTTCCTTATTCACAGCTGATTCCCTGCCTTGGTGTAAATGATTTTAAACTGAAACACTGAAAGCCACCCTCCTTAGTGTATTCCTCTACCTGCACAGCCCTGAGGAGTCTGCATCTTCCTCTGTCCCAGCCCCACTACTGCTTCCTTCGTGAGGCATCGATCAGTTCTTTACTGGCCTGTTAGGCAGTGTGCATTACCTCTTGCCTCCAGTTTGCCCTCTTCACACATATCCTCCCCTTTGCTGGAAGATTCATCTTTCCATACACAAAAAGTTGACATACCTCTGCTCTGGATTCTTCCCTGGCTCCCCTTTTCCTGTGAAATAAAATGTAAACTTAAGTGGCCTATGAGACCACTTGTGATTTGCCACCCACCTCCCTTTTCTGCCTCATAGCGTTGGTTTCCTTCAGTAAGGAACAGTGCCACGCTTTCTGATGTTTGCGTGCCTTGATGCTTGCTGTTTCTTTGGCCTGAGATGCCTTTCCGTGGTATGTTACCTGGCAAGCTCTAGTTCTTTCAGGGACAGTTTAAAACCTTCTTTGACTTTGATGTCCCTACATAGGTTGGCATTACTTTAAAGAATTGTATTTTTAATATTCTTATTATTTATACACACACACGATAATTTCCTCCCATTTTATTTCTTGCCACATTGTACTATCTTTTTACATTCATGTCCTTACTGAATTGTAAGCTTTTTGAAGATAGGTGCTACACCTTTTTATTGGTATCTCCTCAGACAATGATTTGTCCACTGCCTAGTACATAGTAAACTGTGTGGGACAAAATTTTATTGAATGACTATATTAAGGAGGAGAAAATGAAAAATAAAGGCTTGTAGGAGGATGCTTGTGTTTGTTTTTTTCCTAGACAGGAGGTCACTAGAACATGGGAATCTTTAATATTTAATTTTTGGTATCATAGTAGTGAAAAGAACTTTTTGTTTATACAATGATCTGTTCTTTAGGTATAAAGAAGACTGATTTTATGAAAATTTAAACAGGGATAAATGCTTTTGTCCATAACTGTTCTTGGTGCATGGGGAACATGTGAAAATAGTTCTTTTTTTAAGGACATAATTGTTGACTGGTGGAAAGTGGGTTTTAATTTGTAGAGGCATTGGAGATTAAGAACTAATCATAAGATACTTGAAGTGCAGCCATAGTGAATTAAAGAATCTACTGTACAGTTAGCATGTGGATTATTGATGTCACTGTGAAAGGAGGAATCATAAGTGGGGATCATGTTAGTGGTAGAGTCACTTAATTGCTCAAAAAGTATTTCTCAAAATGTGTGCTGAAAAGGCTCAAATGTTTTATTTTCAAGGCTATTTCACATTTACTATATATGATCATCATCTTTGACACTATGCTAAGTTATTCAGCAGTGAACCTAAAATAGAGGGCCCTGTCTTCAAGGAGCTTTCTGAGAAGCAACTAATGGATAAGAAACAATGCAGAATAGTACAAAATAATATATAATGAACTGCTAAATCTGGCAGGATGGTTCATAAATGCTGTAGAGGTTATGAGAATGGAAATAACTTTAATGAGTCAGCTTTTTTAATTCACTCAGCAAATATTTGAGCACCTTTTGTAGGTTAGAACTGTCTGAGACACTTTTCTGAATCTCACCTTCCTTATTTGTTACTAAAAGTGTCACTGAGAGTTACATTGTTACAAGAAAGGTATCCTCAGATCTACTCCATAGCCAGACAGTGGAAATCTGTGGTTAGAATCCTGAGTTTTAACTCCAGTTCCAGTGGGCTTTCCAATATAAGATAAAGTCAAGTTTCCTTGGAACAGAGATTTGAAAGATGGTAGAGCACAGCTTGATGAAAAGCAGGGAGACAGATTTTCTATAAAATGCAAAAAAATGTGACCCATGCCCTGGCTGGTGTAGCTCAGTGGATTGAGCGTGGGCCTGCGAAGCAAAGGATCGTGGTTCAATTCCCAGTTAGGGCACATGCCTGGGCTGCAGGCCAGTTCCCAGCAGGGGACACATGGGAGGTAACCATACACTGGTATTTCTCTCCCTCTTTCCTTCCCTTCCCCTCTAAAGATAAGTAAATAAAATCTTTTAAAAAGTGTGACTGAGAAGGTGTCGAGAGAAGGGACCAGGGCACGTTTTTGTGGCAATGAGAAAATGGGCCCTACTGGAGCGGAGGGTGAATAGAAGGCAGGAATGGAAAACAGACTTACACGGAGCAAGATCCTAAAAAGGTCTTCAAGGTAAGAGGGGAATTTAAGGGACAGAAGGATGAAATCAGAGTACAGTTTCTTTTAGATAGGGGCCACTTCTGCCAGCCTCCAAATTGTGGGTCCTTTACTGCACTGGACATTTCCCGAAGTGCCTTTATGGTTTTCCTCCCTTCCTCACCTGGCTGCAGTTTGGGTATTTGGTATGTTCCATGAGAAACAAATAAATTTCAGGGCTACCTGCTTTTATTGTTTTTTTAAATGATTTTTTGGCAGTTTTTCTAAAAAACCATATAACTATTTACAACTTTAATTGATTTTTATTATATATGCTATTTATTATATCAGTCCTTTGACTTGATTCTGTGCAAAGGGATGGGCATTGGGTCAAGCTGTGTAAGCTTAATCTGGGTTCTTTGGTGTTTTTCTTTTTAACATTACTGAAATATTTATATACAGTAAAGAACTCTGATTGATGAATTTTTAAAATATATTTTATTCATTTTTAGAGAGAGGGAAAGGAAGGGAGAAAGAGAGGGAAAGAAACATCAATCGTTGCCTCTTGTACCCTAACTGGAGACCGAACCTGCAACCCAGGCATTTGACCTGAGCAATAATTGAACTGGCAACCTTTCAGGTTGCAGGACAGTGTCCAACCAACTAAGCCACTCCAGTCAGGGCCGTTTGATGGATTTTTTTACTTGTAAAACCATCACCCAGATCAAATTATAGAACTTGTGTTGAACCTCCAGAAGGCTCCTTCCTGCCTTATCCCAGTCAATATCTACCTTAAATTGTTTTTCTGTTTGTTTTTGATTCTCAGTTTTTATAGTAACAACACCTAAATAGCTCTCACATGTCCGACTTTGTTCCAGGCAGAGTGCATATGTTAACCTAAACCCGAGAGAGTAGGTACGGTTACCATCATTTTACAGATGAGGCACAGACAGGCTAAGTACGTAACTTGACACACAGTTAGTGGAAGATTTGAACCCTGGCCATCTGGCTCCAGAATCCGTGCTTTAAAGTTCTGCCGTGCCATATTGTTTAGTTTCAACTGGAGATACTAGCAGAACTTACATAAGTTTAAATGTGTTTTGTATAATTGCCCTTCGTGGCCAAGATAATTTTCAGAATTTAGAGGGAAAGTTAGAAAAACTGGAAATAATTCTGAGGCTTGATGGGGAAAAATATAATAGAGTTGGTAAGAATTTTTGCAGGGAGTTTAACTTTTAAGACTAGGAAGTGCGGTTTTGTGGAAAGAAAGCATATAGGAGAGTTTGAGTTAGGACAGTGTGCTAAATATTGGAGGGTGGGACAGCCTTGTATTTGATCGCCATTATAATAGATTAAAATCTCAGTCTTGCTTAGGCTAGTCTAAAGGTAATCTTTCTTGTTCGAAAGAGAATGCATGCATAAAAGGAACTATTGATAGATGGAACAACATGGGTGACTCAAAATATGCTGAGTGAAAATAGCCACATATAGAAAGAGTATATGGATTCCATTCTGGAACAGGCAAAACTACTCCATGGTGAGAAAGAGAAAAATGTGGGGCTATTTGGGAGCCAGGGTGGAAGCTTACGTGGCGGAAGAATGTTGTGGGCCGAGGTAACCGCACATAAGAAAGGACCTGAAGCAGAAATGAACCTGGACTCTCTAAGAGCAGAGAAGGCCATGTTAATGAAGCTCAGCGAAAGGGGGTGGGAGGAGTAGAAGTGGTCAGAGATGCAGGCAGAATCTAGATTATTGTAAGCCATGGTAGTACTTGGGCTTAATTCAGTTATTGTGGTAAGTCATTGAAAGCTGGGTCAAGCATGGAAGCAAAAAAGCAAGGGGACCAGTGAAAAGGCTATTGCATGTGGTCTAGGCAGTTGATGATGGGGGTCTGGACAAGGATAGGAATGGTCAGGATTTAGAGAAATGGTTGAAGTCAAGAGATGACTTTGTAGGTAGACCTAACGAGAATTGTTGTGGGGGATGGGAAGAAAAGGGAGGTTTTAGTAATGACTCCTAGGTTTTGGCTTGTGAGGGGATGGTGGTGTTATTTTTTGAGACAGTAAAGGGGAGAGAAGAATTATTTTGGGAGTAGAAATTGTTTCGTGAGGTGGTGGTTTTGGTTTCTGTTCATCAGGAAAATACCCTTTTCCTACTTTTTGCTTCTATTTTGCACTTTGATTATTTAACGGACTATTGCAGGTGGCAGCATATGTTTTGGTATGCTTGTCTCAAGTTGACCACCTGTCTTCCCTTTGTGCTAGGATGTCTGAATTGATTGAAAAAGAAACCGAAGAATATCGTAAGGGGGATCCAGACCCATTTGATGATCGACATCCTGGTGAGACCTGTGTTCTCTGAAGCCTAAAACTCTGATTTTCTTATAAAAGAAAAGTGCTTAATAGAAAATATTTCTCAATTGAAATAGCATATTATATGCTAAGTTTTAAGACCTAATATTTGTTAAAATATTGTTCAAGAAGGGAGCAGTGAGGAAAAATATATTTCTGGAAAAACTGAAATAACTTGTAATATTTACAGATCAAATAGAACATAATTAACTTAAAGGAACTAAATTATATAGGTATGATCTTATTGACTCAATTTGGTATGATTACAAAGACTTAAAAAGAAAAATTCTTTCTCTTCTGACTCTCACACTGAAAGGTGCTGTGCCTTCATCTCTCTAACAATGATGACTCTTACTGGGGAAATGCACTTCAGAGTGTGTTCAGTGTCTTGTTTTAGTTATGATGCAGATATACACTTGGAGCCTTGAATAATAAACAGGCTTCTTGATGTCTGCTTTAGTGTCTCGGCAGCTAAAGTATGCCATTTCATGTTAATCTGGTTTTATTTTGAGCCGATTTAATTAGAGTCATGGCAACCCAGCCTGCTTTGGCATGGGATTTGCTATAATACGAAACTGTATGGGACTCAAGACTACCAGTGCATGTTCTCTGCACAGTGGGTTACCAGTGGGCAAAGCTTAAGTTGTGTCCGGGCTTACCCTGCATGGAACTTTCTCAAACACCAGAGCAGTTCTCTGATAAAAATAAGAACATTGTATATGCACCTGAACACTCCAGGATTTATTTCCGTCTCGTAGACATTTGTTCTCAAATGTAAGTTAGGCATTTCAGATTGAGTGTCCAGTTGTTCAGGTGATGTTATCTGCTGCCCTTGCCCTATACATCCCCACTTGTGACTTCAGAGGACTATTCACCTATTTAACCCACGTAAAAAAAAAGATTTAGTTATTTTTAGAGAGAGGTAAAGGGAGGGAGAAAGAGAGGGAGAGAAACATCGACATGCGATAGATATACATCAGTTGGTTGCCTCTCACATGCCCCCCACTGGGGACCTCACAACCTAGGCATGTACCCTGACTGGCAATTGAACCGGCAACCTTTCGGTTCACGGGCCAGCACTCAACCCACTGAGCCACACTAGCCAGAGCTAACCCACATTTTCAGTAAGGCAATCAGAGCATAAAGAAGTATGACAGTGAATGTGAAATAAGAATTTTAGTTCATGTATGGCATTATGAAAAGAACCGAGAGAGATGATCATGCTCAGTGACATTGCCTTAGAAAGGGTGAAATGGTAAAGAGGGAGAAGAAAGAGACAGAAGGTGTGCCTTTTTTCAGGAGAAATTTAAAGACTATTTTTTTTTTCTCCCAACCTCTTATGTAAGCAATATTTGTCATTAGGCATTATTTATGTTAATAAATGTAAAGGCCTTAGTTTCATTATTTCTAAACATAGAAAGTTGGTAATCTTAGGTCCTCATTTGTTTTTATGATACTATTCTCTAACGTTTTTTTTATGAATTACTTAGGGATACTAATTACAGGTTGAGAAAAACTTGATAGCAGCTTACATCTTTCCTTTATCCTTTGACTAAATTTTCCACTCTGTTTTGAAATGAAAATTAAATAAAATACATGATATCTATTTTAAAAACAAGCCAATAATTCTCTCAACCATTAACTTATTCTTTTACCTTTAGGCTTTGTGCTAAGTAGATCCTAGGTCCCTGGTCTCTTTCTCCAGGAGCTTGGAAATTAACATCAAGGTTACTGTATCTTTAGGGTTGGTGATTGCTTAGTGGGGTCCCCAAGCCTGGAATGTCAGGACAAGTCTGCTGCTCTTGGCACTGTAGTTGCAAGGGAGATTGAACCTGGAGTCTGTCTTTTCTAAGCCACCCATCAAAAAAAGCTGTGCTTTCTACCTTTCTGAGGCTGGGAAGTCAAGGATTTTCTTTGCTTTAGGTTCCTTTCTGATTCTTTTGCATATATTTGTAGACATTGTATACATTTTACGATGCTGGTCTGGGTGCAGATGCTCATTTATTTAATTCAGCATATCTGTATAGGCCGTATCCTGGGAGATAGGAGGGTGAGAGAGCAGTGTCTCAAAAAGCGGTTATATTGTCACTTCTAATTTTAAAGAATGTTTCTGAAGAAATCTTAATTTATCCAAAGAAAATCATCTGTTTCTATTTCTTTTTGCTGGTGTTTTAGTGGTATTTTAATAGTATTTATAACAGCCTGGGTGCTTTCATAGAGGTCTTAACTTGCTAGGCTGGGATGACTTATTCATTCTGTTTGTTCCCCCCTTTTCTTTTGGTAGGTCGAGCTGATCCAGAGTGTATGCTGGGCCACTTGCTGAGAATACTCTTCAAGAATGATGATTTCATGAATGCCGTAGGTTTGCTTCTTACTTTTCTCCAGATTATCATCAGCAGACACTGTACCTGGTTGTTTTTTGTAAATAGTTTGCTTTCTTCTGAGGCCTTGACAAAGGTGGAAATAGAGTGGGTAGATTTTTTTTGTGTGGTATTGGTTCAGTGAAATAAGAGTAATCATGGACTTATTTCTTACTAAAGTCCAAAGTATTTTCTCAAGGTGTGTACTTTCTTCAGTTGAATATTGCTGAGGATGCCAAAGGCATCTGTGCTCATCTTTGGGCAAGATGATTTTGAGTTTGGGAATATCGAGTCCTGTTAGGTTCCTCAACAGAAAAATCAGAGTGATGCCTGCAGCAGAATTCTGCACTGATGTTGCGGTGTGTGTGTCGGGAATGTGGAGGGAGAGAAAGGTGCCTTCCCAAGTCAGTGCTTGTGAGGAGTAAATGGGGGGGGACACACACATGTGCACACACACACCCCTCACTCACGTCTCCTAAATAGTAATTGTTCAATAGCTTGTGGCTGTTTTTGGAGGCAGAATGGCATAATGCTTGAGAGCATGAGCTTTGGCAGGTTGGTGTGGGGTGGGAGGAATCCATGTTTTGAGTTTAAATGCAGCTCTACTATTCACTGACAGTTTGATCTTTAGGTAACTTAAGCTCTCCACATTTTATTTTTCTAATCTGTAGGATAGAGGATGATAGTTCCTACCTTAAAATGTTTTTTTAGTCCTTAAATAAAATTAAGCATGAAAGGTGCTTAGCACAGAACCTGGTTCATGAGGGCTCAGTAAATACTAGCTGTTATTACCATCTGTATTGCACTTACTTCCCAATTTATTTCTCTATCACCAGTGTACCTTCTCAGCTTCAGATCACTTCCATCTGCTTTCTAGACATTCCCATCTGGGTCTGCCCCACGGGCACCTTGAATTCCATGTGTCTAATTGTTTGCTCCACAATCTATTTCTCTTGTTCTCTAGCTCAGTAATAGTGTCCTTGTCTAGCCAGCTAGAAGTTACCCTTTATTCCTCCAAACTCCCTCATTCAATAGTCTTATTGTTCCTCCCCCTTAACCTTCACATATCTTTCCAGTTCTTTCTGCCCTTGTTGCCAGCCCAAGGTTTGGCCACTACCATCTCTTACTTGGTTATTTCACAGCCTCTTAACTGGTTTCTCTTGTTTGTCATGCCTCAAACCATTCTTCACTTCACAGCCCAGAAGTCTTTTTAAAATGCCAGAAGTTACCATGGCACCCTCTTGCTTAAAATCCACTAGTGGTTCTGTTGCCCTTAAGATAAATCTTTAGGTTGGTGTATATAACCAATCTGTCTCTGGCTTTTGTTCTCTTAATTTTTGTTTTTTAAGATTTTTACTTACTCATTTCTATAGAGAGGGACATGGGAGGGAGAGAAACATTCATTGGTTGCCTCTCCTACACCCCCACAGCCCATAACCCAGGCATGTGCCCTGACTGGGACTCAAACCAGCAACCTGTCAGTTGGCAGACTGGCGCTCAATCCACTGAGCCACACTAGCCAGGGCTGTTCTCTCAATTTTTAGTTCTTGCCCTGTGGACCCTTCTCCTCCCCACTGCTGCTTAGAAGCTTCTACTTGCTCTTTATGTTCTGGCTTGGAATCCTTTCCTCTTTAAAGCCTCCTGTGAGGCCTCTGCAGCAGTTGTGTGGCCTCCTGCAGGCTTCTCTAGCGTCCTGGACTCGTAATATTTATTTTCCCAGCTGTCACCTTTGTTGGATTATGAACCCTTTGATAGTGGGACTGTCTTTGTTGTTATATATATACCCAGCACAGAATACAATGCCACTTAGTAGTAGAGATTCAATAAATATCTGAGTACCCAAGGGAAAGTTTTATTAATACATTTATTTATATAAAATAGAAAACTCAGTTTTTCATAACCATTGTCAAGCATCTGTTGGGAGCTTATCTTTCCTCACTTTATCTTTCTGAAAAAAATATATATGAACATGGAAGGGTGAACCCTTTGAATTTCAAATTCTCCAGTTGCTGAGTTGGGGGGATTTGACTTTAAAGGTGCATGTGATGTTGTCATGGCTCAGTAAGATCATAACTGTTATAGTAATTACAGGTTAATTAGTAATTGTTAGGTACAATCTTCTTTAATACCACTTAGGCAAACAATGAGAATATATGAAGGATTTATTCGACTTTTATAATTTGACAGGATTGAGTTTTACACAAAAAGTATTTCTTCTTTTCTTCCCAGCTGGTGAATGCGTATGTGATGACAAGCCGAGAGCCCCCCTTGAACACTGCAGCTTGCAGGCTTCTGCTGGACATCATGCCAGGCCTGGAGACTGCTGTTGTTTTTCAAGAAAAGGTGCTTCCTAAAAAGAAAAGTCATCATCTTGGTTTTTAATTGAGTGGTGATATGTTGATTTATCTTTGTTACAATAATTTAGAGTTTTCTCTTACCACAATAGTAAATATGTTAAAGAAATGGAGAATGTCAAAAAGACAGTAAGAAAAATTTTAAAATAACTCTTTTAATAAGTATTTGCTGCTTGGGTACCATATAAAGTATTTCAGAGAATAACGTTGTACTTAATGCTATAATTCGCGGTACTGTATATTAAAATCTTCAATTAGCTACCATTACAGGACACCAAAAAATTTTATGTTTCCATAAAACATTTAAAAATGAATCCATAAGTTTATTTTTATTTCTGTAAAATGGGTAATAATGTCTTGTCTTTCATTTTTTATTTTAGTAATTTGTATTTTCTCTTTTTTCTCATCAGTCTAATTAAAGGTTTGTCAATTTTATGAGTCTTTTCAAAAAAACAACTTTTGGTGTCATTAATTTTCTACACTTAAAAATTGTTTATTTATAGACAAGGGGCATGGAGGGAAAAGGGGAGAGAAATGTCAGGGTGTGGTCACCTCTTGTGCGCCCCCTACTGGGGACCTGGCCCGCAACCCAGGCATGTGCCCTGACTGGGAATCAAACCAGCGACTCTGGTCTGCAGGCTGGCTTGCAATACATTGAGCCACACCAGCCAGGGCAGTTTTCTACATTTCTTATTCACTATTTTGTTTATCTTAACTTTAACCTTTATTATTTCTTTATTTCTGCTAGCTTTAGGTTTTGTTTACTTATTTTTTAGTTTCTGAAAGTGTACAGTTAGGTTATTGATTTGAGGCCTTTCTTTTTTAGGTCTGTATATTTGCAGCCATAAATTTCCCTCTCGGCACTGCTTTTGCTGAATTCCATAGATGTTAGCATGTTGTGTTTTTTGTTTTCATTCATCTCAAGGTAGTTTCTGTTTTCTCTTGTGATTTCTACTTTGACCCATTGGTGGTTTTAAGAGTGGTGTTCAGCTCTGGCCAGTGTGGCTTGGTTGGAGCATTGTCCTGTAAACTGAAAGAGGTCTCTAGTTTGATTCCCAGTCAGAGCACGTGTGTAGGTTATGGGTTTGGTGTCCATTTGGGGAGCATATGAGAGGCAACCAATCAGTGTTTCTCTCCCTCCCTCTCCCCTTCTGTCCTCGGGTGAGGATAGATTAATTAAAAAAGAGAGAGAGAAAGAGAGTGTTGTTTAATTTCCACATATGAATTTTCCAGTTTTCCTTGGGTTGTTGATTTTCCATTTAATTCTGTTGTATTTAGAGAAGTTTCTTTGTAAGAGTTTAGTCTTTCAAAATTTATTGACACTTGTTTTATGGATTAACATATGGTCTATCCTGGAAAAATGTTCCATGTGCACTTTGGAAGGATGTGTATTCCACTGTTGGTGGGTTGCGTGTTCTCTAGCTTGGTTATATCTAATTGGTTCATGGTGTTGCCCAGCTTCTCTGTTTCCTTATTGATCTTCTGTTTAGTTCTGTCCATTATTGAAAGTGGGGTACAGAGTTTCTGTTTGAGATAATGAAGACATTCTGGAAGTAGATGTGATGGTTACACATTGTGAATGTACTTACTCTCACTGAATTGTACACTTAAAAATGGTTAAAAATTATTGGATGTAAACTAAGAAATTAGAACTCTAAAAATGAGTTCAAGACAATGGGGAAAATACCCATTTGGAAAATAAACCAAAGAACTACTGGAAATACAAATTACAGTTACTGAATTAAAAAACTTAATTGATGAGTTAGAGGGATGTTTAGACACAGCAGAAGAGAATTAATAAACTAGAAAATATACTAGGATAACAGTGAGGTTTCTAGAAATAAGAGTCGAAAGAAGTTGAGATACGGAGACTAGAATTGGAAAGTTCAAAATGTATCTAAAAGGAGTTTCAGGAGAAGAGACTAGTTCAGGAGAGACTAGAACAGTAAGTGAAAAAGCAATATTCAGAGAGATGAGGCTGAGATTTTACAAATAAATGAAAGACACAACCACTCAGATTTAGGAAGCCCAATGAAGAATACCAAAGACAGTGGTATCTTAAAAGCAACCAGAGTGAAAAAGATTCCTGCAAATAATAAAAAAGAGCAAACTTTACCACAGCAGTAACAGAGACCAGTTAATAGTAAAAACTGTCTTCAGAGCAATTCTGTACATTTGGAAATATAGACCAACGCAAACAGTTTTGGAGGGTAAGAGGGAGACAGAATTTCCGGGTGATTTGTAGATGGAAGGGGATAGTTGGAGTTAGTATTATTTACAGTGTTTAGAAAGCAGGAACAACAAAAGACAGTAATATTTAATGTATTTCCATGTTAATAAGTATTTTAAAACAAAATTTTTAAGTGCATTTTTCAGTGTTAATTTAAAAATATTCATTATGTTTGGAAATATATAGGAGAATGGTTCTTTGACCCTAGTAAAGAGCTCCTGACTGGCTTAGTGGGGGTGGGCCTTGTCCCACAAACCAGAAGGTTGCTGGTTCTGTTCCCGGTCAGGGTACGTGCCTGGGTTGCAGGCTAGAACCCCTGTTGGGGTGTGCAGCAGGCAGCTGATCAGTGTTTCTCTCACACGTGGATGTTTATCTCTCTCCTTTTCCTTCCCTTCTCCTCTCTCCAAAAATAAATAAATAAAATATTTTTAAAAAAGATATAAAAGGCACAACGTTTAAAAGAAAATATTGTTGGCCCTGGCGGGTAGCTCAGTTGGTTAGAGAGTTGTCTTGATCTGCCAAGGTTGTGGGTTCGATGCTTGGTTAGGGCCCATACAAACAAATCAACCAGTAAGTGAATAATTAGTGGAACAACAAATTGATGTTTCTCTCTCTCTCTCCCTCCTCCGCCTTGAGTTTTAATGGCTAAACAGGATTGTATTTTACAGATGCACAGCTATTTAACTAAACCATATACTATTAGACACTCTTTATTTATATTTTGTGTATTTTTATATTTTTAATGTATTTTTACATTTTATGACCAACATTAACATACTTTATTAAAATTTTTTTCATAAGACTGAAATCTTTGCTTATATCTTTAATTATGAAAGTGGTTTTTTTCCGTAAATTGTATTGATATTATTGCATTTCCTTTCCTTTAGGAAGGAATTGTTGAAAATCTTTTCAAATGGGCCCGAGAGGCTGACCAGCCGTTGAGGACATACTCCACTGGACTGTTAGGAGGAGCTATGGAAAACCAGGACATCGCTGCCAACTACAGGGATGAGAACTCACAGCTGGTGAGGACTGTGGGAAAATGCGTTTTTGGCCCTGGCTGCTGTGGCCCAGTGCGAGTGAGCACCAGCTTTTAAAAAAAATGAATTTTTGCATAAGATGGGAAAATAATCACAAGTTTCTTCTTGCTACCTGAACTTGGATAGATCTTATCTATTACATTGTACTGGAATGTACCTGTAATTTCAACATTTCAAGCTTGCTTTTCATAAGAGCTTTATTTTTACTTTTTTGGTAATTTGAAAATGCTATTTTTCATCTTGTCAAGGATCATGATAGTTTATACCAGATAAAAAATATTACCAAATTTCTTTTTCCTCCCCAACATTTGGACAATGAAATTTTAAAACATAGAACAAGGTTGAACGGTTGAAAGAATTTTACACTGAATAGCTGTAGACATACCACTGAAACTGAGCATTTTATTATGCTTATTACCTAGTCACCCATCATACCTTTTTCTGCATACAGAGTAAATTGCTGATAAAATCCCTCTCTCTTTTTTAAACTAAGCACAACACCACATTTTAAGGTTGGCCTCCAAAATAAATACTTAAAAGGAAAAGTAAAAAATAAATGGTGAACTTGAAAAACAGATTAAGTAATTATGTATAATATAGATGACAATATCTGACAGAATATAACTTATAACTGCTACAAGTTTGAGAAACCTCACATTCGATTTTTAAAAAAACTGTCAATATAGCCCTGGTTGATGTAGCTCAGTGGATTGAGCGCTGGCCTATGAACCAAAGGATTGAAGTTTGATTCCCAGTCAGGGCACATGCCTGGGTTGCAAGCCAGTTTCCAGTGGGGGATCTATGAGAGGCAACCATACACTGATATTTCTCTCCCCCTCTCCTTCCCTTCCCTTCTCAAGATAAATAAATAAAATATTTTAAAAATTTTGTGACTATATTTAGTGTCTTCCTCTTTAGCTATAATGGTCCATCCAGTCCAGCTTGATCCTGAGAGATCAGTTGTGAATGATTCATGTGCACATTTTCTGGTTTGGGTTCTCTGGGAAATTTTATTGGGAAATTTTACGGGGAGTGAGACAGAATTTAGTTATTGCTTATTTCATCAAGTCGACATATTTATTGTAAAGTCTTTACCGTTACCAGACACTGGAATAACTGAACGGATATCTAGTTCTCTGTAAGTGGGTATAAAAATTACTTGTTAAGTCATTTAAATTAAGATGCAGAAGAGACAGCCACTCTTATTTCAATATCTGTTGGTAGGTAGCAATAGTACTTCGAAGACTTCGGGAGCTACAGCTTCAGGAGGTGGCTTTGCGGCAAGAAAGCAAGCGTCCCAGCCCACGAAAGCTCTCCTCGGAACCCCTTTTGCCTCTGGACGAGGAAGCTGTGGATATGGACTACGGTGACATGGCTGTGGATGCCGTGGATGGCGTGCAGGAGGAAGCCTCTGGAGACATGGAGATCTCCTTTCACCTTGACTCGGGCCACAAGACCAGTAGCAGAGTGAACTCAGTGACCAAACCCGAGGAAGGAGGCTTGAGGAAGAACAAGTCAGCAAAACAGGGTGACAGAGAGAACTTCAGGAAAGCCAAGCAGAAGTTGGGTTTCTCATCCTCTGATCCAGATCGCATGTTTGTTGAGCTGTCTAACAGCAGCTGGTCAGAAATGTCCCCCTGGGTGATTGGCACCAATTACACTCTTTATCCCATGACTCCTGCTATTGAACAGCGGCTCATCCTTCAGTACTTGACCCCTCTGGGAGAGTATCAGGAGGTAAGCTTACTGGGAAGAGTACCGTTCACACTTTGGGATTATTGTGTTTATTTCTGTGGTACTTTGTGGTTGCATTTTATACACTAATGTGTTTTTACTCTAATGCAAAAAAGTCTTTGTCCCAAACTGGCAAACTCTTACACAGGTCAATTCTGATAAGGCCTGTTCAATCAAAGTTTGTTCGTATGTTTGTCTTCATAAAGGAGGTAGGAAGGAGTACCTTATTTCTTCAGTCTTCTGTCTTCAGAATGGAATTGGAAGTGGGTGAAAATAAAGCCAAATGTTAAGACTTGTTTCTGGTTTTTATTTCAGTTATTGCCCATATTCATGCAACTTGGATCACGGGAGTTGATGATGTTCTATATTGACCTGAAACAGACTAATGATGTCCTGCTTACGTTTGAGGCACTTAAGGTACAGTTCTTAAAAATATTTGGTGACTGAACATTTTACTGACATGGTGGGTGTTCCTATGTGTTTTGGTATATAGCATCTCTGGGTTTTTTTTTACTCAGGGCTTTCTCTTGTCAGATGTGTCAAAATAGGAACAAATGAAAAATTCTTTTTTTCCCCATTTTTTAATATTTTAATTGTTCAAGTACAGTTTTCTGCCTTTTACCCCCATCCCAGCCCCCCCAGTCCTCCCCAACCTCCCTCCTGTTTCCACCCTTCCTTGTTATTGTCCATGTGTCCTTTATGAAAAATTCTTATTTAGATAGGAGAAATGAGGCTTATTTGCCAAGTGCCTCCCCAGAAATTTCGGGGTCAGTCTTAGAGGATTGCACGTTAAGGTGGAAACTAGATCTAGACCGAGGGATGGCCTCAGTTACCACTGCTCAAGAGCGGTGGGCTGCTGCGTGTGTAGTATCTGCTGCCGCCTTCTAGGTGTCCCCTCTGGCAGCCAGGAGTACTTTTTTTTCTGACTTTTTAAAGCTGTATTGTATGTTGATAGATTATCTAGGGTGAACAAGATACAAACCAGAAAACGAATAAAGAATAGTGGTAGACCCGAATTCAGTAAGGGCGAATGATTTTCTAGGTTGCAGAGGGACTGACTATGGGAAGGCAGGTTAAGGTTAGCCCATCGAGTCCATAATGTTAGGTCTGTCATATAGTTATTATACTCAACATATAGCTAATGATGAAGTACCATCCTGTGATGTTTACAATGTTCAATAAATAAATTGACTCTGTTCTTTATGGTTAGGTTAAGAGAGGCTTATGAACTTACGATTTCTTTTTGATATTACAGAAGTTGTGAAAAAAATTGTGGGGCACAGATGGAGTGATTTGTTTTGTCTGAGAAATAGTAGTTTCCAGAAAAGACCTCTGGAAAAGAGATAATGCTCTTTCTGGGTCTTTAAAAATCACAACTTTATTCTTGATATACAGAGCTTTGCTGTCCAGTAGAACTTTCTGTGATAATACACTGCATTTTTAACTTAGTTTTAATTAGTATTAATTCAATAACCAGCATAAAAGCCAGGTTATAGGCTGCGTTGAGCCAAACAGAATTAAGGTTCTCGATAAAGGTTGAACCTGCTTGTTCTGTTTTCCCACTTATGTGTCCTGGCAGTGCAGCTGCCACATTATGGTAGTGGGGTCAGAGAAACCCCATGCAGCGGCCTAAGTGTTGGAGGGGAACCATATGTGGTTTAGCTGCTTTTTTGGGGAAGGACTGGGTAGAAGTGTGGTAGAGGTTTGTGTAACAAAAAGTAAGAGTGTAGAGGGCAGAGATTACTATGAGGGTTAGTCTGAGTGTGGGTGTTGGGAAGACTTATAAAGAGGGTACATGTCTGTTGTTTTTTGCCACTGATCTTGGCGAGATCTGCACAGGTACCAGATCATGTAATTGTAAATCTGTGTTGTCTTGTCTGTACTTTGTGCCTGCATCACCACCCGGAAGACACCTTGGCCAGAGAAACGGGAAGGGGGGCTCTAGCTCTCCTCCAGGACCCTCCACAAGGGTCTGGGTGGTTGCCTCGTACTGCCTGCTCCTCAAGTTGCCCAGAAGATAGGGTCCTTCCAGAAAGGCTAGTGGGAACTGAGTAGGGCAACAGCAGGACTTAAAAGATAAACATGAAATGTCTATTTAAAGTGCATTCTGATGAGTTCTAAAAATCTAGTACTTTGGTAATTTTCTGAAGATTGTAAATGAAAGCAAAGCTTCAGGTTTTATTGGATGATGAGTCAGTGACTGAACCACAGCTAGATAGAGCTTAGAGCTGATTATGTTAAAAGGATTAAAATGGAAAGATTAACAAAATCCTTTGGGAGCTATGTAATAATAAAATGTTGTAGGATTATGTTATTACTTAATATTTTAAAATACAGCAGTATTTTTCATGTTTTTTACCTTGAAAATGTTTTGTGTTAGAAGAGAATGTTCTAGAATCAGATTTAAAAAAAACTGTTTCCCTTAAGCATTATTGGTTTTTCTTTCATGAAGGAGTGGTTTTCTATTTCAGGGAATTCCTTATATTTAGCAGCTTAATTTAATATTTTGTGAATTGATCGTGTGATTTTTCTAAATCATTGATTTTTAACTTTTTAACCTTTTTCATCTCATGGAACATATAAACTAATTACTAAAATCTGTGACCTATCAAATAGGTTTTTGCTAATCTGACAAAGGTGGGGATAATTTCGATTCATTTACACTGGATGGCTGTTGTGTTGGTTGTTGTCATTTTTTTATTTGACAGTTTAAGGAAAAAGAGGTCAGTGCCCCTGACTAAATAGTCAGGTATTGCATGTTTTAAAGTTTTTGTAGCACACTGGTTGAAAATCGTTGTTCTAGTTGTCCCATGGTAACGTGTCTTCTTTGTTTAGCACCTAGCATCTCTCCTGCTCCATAACAAGTTTGCCACGGAATTTGTCGCACATGGTGGAGTACAGAAATTACTGGAAATCCCTCGGCCCTCTATGGCTGCAACCGGTGTGTCCATGTGCTTGTATTACCTGTCCTACAACCAGGATGCCATGGAAAGAGTAAGTCCAGCTCATTCAGGTGTATGGAAATGGGACTGGGTAAGGCACAGTCTGACATCTCAGAATAACTGTTGGGTAAGAAAAAATGAATAGTTGCAGTAAATTTTGATGAAAGAAACAAGAGACCTGAATTTTTAGTCTTTACAAAGTTTTCTAAAACTGTAATATTGTTTAGGAAAGGTTGTTTTTTTCCTGACTTTATGGGATGGGGGAGGCAAGATGGATTGGGGTCTGGGAATTTTATTTAGTTTTACCAGTCTGTTGCATTAAGATTAGTCTTCAGGCTTGTTTCAGATGTCTCTCAATGAAGTCATATATTGCATTTTTTAAGTCATTTTATTAAAAAATTTGCAGATGATGTTTTGTGTGTATTAACAAATAATTTGTGGTAGAGATAAAATCATTTTAGTTGTTCTCAGGGCCTCATAGGCTCCTAGTCTGATACTCTTATTTTTCTAGCTTAGACCTTTTTATTTACTGATTTTTAAAAAGTATAAGTGGATTGTACATTTGGAAGGTAATGGGTTCCCAGACACCCTCGGGGAGTCTCTTGTCATTTCTATGCCTGAAGCAATTTTCTAATATTCTGTGTGTTGTGGCTTTTTTGGTAGAGTGAAATTGGTAAATTCTTTTGGGGCTATGTCTTTATTCATCTTTGCATATATACTAATGTTAAGGTAATGCTCTAATTTTAACTTTTTTTCCTCTTGAGGTCAACATTATATAAGGGTATATAGTCTTTTGAGAATAGTAACCTAATCTGTGTGTGTATGTACACAAGCAGTCATGGCTAAGGTAGAGAAACAGTATTACACACACCTGGACAGTGCTTTGGAAGTCCTGTCTGCCCCATACAGTGTGTGTGAGTGAATCGGCGAGGTGCGGACTTCAGTGTGCCCTACCTTTGAGCCTGTGCCTCATCTGTTAAGTGGGAATCCAAATACCTCTGTAACAGAACATTACGAGCATTAAAGGATATAAATATTTGCAAAATTTAGTAGTAAGTATAGGTTGCATTTAAATATCTATCTAAAAGTAGGTTCTTAAGTTTGGAGTAGACTGTTATAAATTGTGACTTAAGCTTTAAACTCAGAAATGATCGTTGTATTGTGCAAAAGTATCTATTGATGCTGTTGAATTGTTTGTGCTTTCAAAGGTTTCTTTACCCCCCCAAATTAAAAATTGTTTTATTTCTCCATTTTGCAGGTTTGCATGCATCCCCACAATGTTCTGTCTGATGTGGTGAATTATACCCTGTGGTTAATGGAATGCTCTCATGCCTCAGGGTGCTGCCACGCTACCATGTTCTTCTCCATCTGCTTCTCCTTTCGGGCTGTGTTAGAGCTCTTTGACCGCTATGACGGTCTTCGTCGACTGGTGAACCTGGTGAGGTTCTTCAGTGGCTTCTATGTGCACGGAGCAGGGGTCCTACGGTTCTTGGCTGCCCTTCAGCTGCCCTGAGGAGAGGAAGCTCCTTACTGAAGGAGATTTGCTATCTTTCTTTGTAGATGAAATCTCTACCTGCCCCCTGCCCCAGTCACAGGTTTCTCTTCCTCTAAAGTATTTAGAGGAGTCTGTGCCATTACAGACATGACTTGGATTTAGTAATTTTCCAAGGGAAATTGTTTTTGATAACCTTTTTTTTTTTTTTTTTAAGGTTTTATTTCTTTATCTTTAGAGGGGAAAGGAAGGAGAGAGTGAGAGAAATATCAATGAATGGTTGCCTCTTGTGCGTCCCCTACTGGGAACTGGCCTGCAACCCAGGCACGTGCCCTGACTGGGAATCGAACCTCGATCTGTTGGTTCACAGGCCAGCGCTCAATCCACTGAGCTACACCAGCCAGGGTTGTTGATAATCTTGATCTTTCTAAAAGCAGTAGGCTTTGTGCCTGTATCTTTTTAAATGGAATTGGAAGACTGTAGTTTTTTTTTTAAGATTTTATTTATTTTTGAGATGGGGAGGGAGGTAGAAAGAGAGGGAGAGAAACATCAGTGTGTGCTTGCCTTTTGCATGCCCCCCACTGGGTACCTGGCCTGCAACTCAGGCATGTGCCCTGACTGGGAATCAACTGGTGACCTTTTGGTTCCCAGGCTGGCACTTCAGTCCACTGAGCCACAGCAGCCAGGCTAAGACTGTACTTTTTGCAATATGGCTTTAATGTTTTGCTTTCATATGGCTACTCTTAGCATGTATAGACAGATGTACTGTTACTTGTCAGTCTTGTTGAACATGCAAGTTTACTGAAATCTTTTTCCTCCTTTAACTTTTCCTATTTATTGTCTCCCCCGCCTCTCCCTGTTTTTCTCCCATTCTTTTGCCTTTTTCCATAATAGATCAGTACTTTGGAAATTCTAAATTTGGAAGATCAGGGTGCACTTCTGAGCGATGATGAAATATTTGCTAGCCGCCAAACCGGGAAACATACCTGTATGGCATTGCGCAAATACTTTGAGGCTCACCTGGCTATTAAGTTGGAACAAGTGAAGCAGTCACTTCAGAGGACTGAAGGTGGCATTCTTGTCCATCCTCAACCCCCATACAAGGTGAGATGACCTTGATTAAAGTGGACTGTTGTTAACACAGTGTAGCAATTGTGGGCCTGAAGCTCATATTCAGATTAGTGGAATCGTTGCAGGATGCACGTTTCTGGGTTATACTTGTCCTTTGCAGAGGCAGAATACCTGAAAATGGATGCAGTAGGTGGATTTCAAGGATTTATTTTATTCCCAGTTGTGAATTTGCTACTTTTCTAGAATTAAAACGTGAGCTGAAGTGTATGTCGTAGGGCTGTCTTTTATGAAAAGTAGTAGATATCTCTCGTGTGAAATTTCTAATCTAAAAGGGCACATCTATAACTCCACTTCTCTCGTTTTTCAATTTGATATGTTTCGGGATGAAAATTAATGTCTACATGTTTTAAAAATCACAAGTGGAAGAAACCTATTGTTTTGCATGGTGTTTCTTTTTCTTCTTAAGCTGTGAAATTTGTATATGCACTAACAAATTGAACACTCTGTTACCTTTTTGGACAGAATGGAAATATTAAACATTTATTTTTTCACTTGTGGACTGTTGACTGAAGGATTGTGGAATTTGAAAGCTGTTACTACTTGGTTTACTGTTCAAACTATTGGCCACTGAGCTGTGCTGGAGAAGGTGGCGGCAGCTGATAGAGTTCTTGAATGTTACGTCTCTCCTTCCAGGCATGTTCATACACTCACGAGCAAATTGTGGAAATGATGGAGTTTTTGATAGAGTATGGCCCCGCACAGCTCTACTGGGAACCCGCCGAAGTCTTCCTCAAACTGTCTTGTGTCCAGCTCCTGTTGCAGCTCATTTCTATTGCCTGCAATTGGAAGACCTACTATGCAAGGTGGGACCAGCGAGAGGTTTCAAATGAAATTAGATTCTGCTTTCTGCTGAACTTGATACTGGTTTGCACATAGTGTGTGCTTAAAAACATTTGATAAACTTACTGAAACTTTAGTCTGAGGAACTAAATTTAAGTATGATGATACTTACTTTTAAAGAAGAAGATGTAGTCGTTCTTTTTTTTTTTTTTAACTCTCACCAGAGGATATGTTTATTGATTTTAGAGACAGCAAGAGAGAGAGAAACACCAATTGATTGCCTCCTGTACACGATCCAACTAGGGATTGAACCCACAACCTAGGTATGTGTACTGACTGGGAATTGAACCTGCAGCCTTTTGGTGTATAGGAGAACAGTCCAACCAGCTGAGCCACCTGGCCAGAGCACATGATAATATCATTTTTAATTTACAGACATTTGTATTTATGGTCTTGGTGATTAAATATACTGCACACATGCCCTGGCTGGGTGGCTTAGTTGGTTGAAGCATTGTCCCATACACTAAAAAGTTTGCACTTAGATCCTTGGTTGGGGCAGGTACCTAGGTTGCAGGTTCAATCCCCCAGTTGGGGTGCGTATGGAAGGCAGCTGATGGTGTTTTTCTCTCTCAAATCAATAAATAAATCCTCAGGCGAGGATTTAAAATAAAAATAAATACTGCACATAGGCAGGGGTCATGCTTATTTTATCTTTGTATAAAACCGTATTTTTTGCTTTTGTTGTGATTTTTCACATGCACTTTAAAAGCAGTCATAGTAGAGCAGGCTGAGGCTCAGAGAGGCCAGCTGATGGAATCAGGAGGTTGGGTGTGTTCTGTAGGAGGAGGATGGAAAAAGACTTAAAGCTGTGTTCTTTGAAAACCGTCATCGGTACCTGCAGAAGTTTATCATAAGAGTGTACTATGTCTGACACAGGTATTCCTGTTATCTAGGTAGATTTGCTAATTCTTTTACTATTTTAATGATTTGTTAATGGACATCTTAGTACATAGATACTTGTTTGTGTGTCTGATTATTTCCTTAGGACAGTTTCAAAGGGGTGAAATTCCTGGGCTAAAGATTATGAACATTTTAAGAATTTTGCTTCATAGTTCCAGATTATTTTCTAGAAATAGTGCCTTATTGATAATTTCTGTCCCCACCAAAAGTTTGAGAGCATTCATCTCTACCAGCATTGGGGGTTGTCCTTTGTTTTTAATCTCAGCAGTTTGATAGGTGAACATTCCATTCCCCTGTTTTTTTTTGCAAGTAATGTCACAGTGACTTTCAAATCCTCTTTATATTATGGCCAGGGACAGAGTCACACAGGTAGTGGTTCTGATCCATTCTTCTCTTTCTCTTCCTCTTTTTTTCTTTTTTAAAAAAAATGTGTTGTTTCTTGTGGCTGTATCTTATTTTCCTTTGATTAATTCTTCTTCCTGTCCAGGAACGACACTGTGCGCTTTGCTTTGGATGTCCTGGCTATTCTTACTGTTGTGCCAAAAATCCAGCTGCAGTTGGCAGAACCAGTGGATGTGTTGGATGAGGCTGGCTCCACTGTCTCCACTGTAGGTGAGTTGTGCCTTGCCATTTTTGTCATTGTTTGGTCTGGGTTTGTTTTCCTTTGCCAGTCTGGTTGTGGTTACTTACCTGACCTGAGTGGTAAGAATGGAAGGTAGTAGAGGAGGGTACCTTGTCTGTCACTTCTAAGTCATGCCATATAGCTCTATATAATGGAGTCATGTTAGTGAACGTGGGTTTTCTGAGTATACAGGCATTTCTGCTGCAGTGGTGTACATGCACTTCTGAAAACCTTGTACTCTGCAGAGTCTTGCACTGAAAAAGTTTATAGGAAAAATGGTTGGGGCAGATAGTAGAAAACTTAAGCAAGTTATATCTAAGCCCTAATAAAACTAGTAATTGGCAAGCAGCTCAGAATGGATACAAGCTATCATACACAAAAACAAAAGGAAAATACACTCTGTTTGAAAATGCATTTTATTAAGAGCACAGCTGATGAGGGCTGCTGCTAATGTGAGCATGGAAAACAGTGTGACCGGCTCTGGGTCCTGGGATGCACCACTCTGGGCACAATGCCCAGGGCCCCGCCGCTTCCTGCTGCCCTGGAGCAGCTGGGCTGATGGATTTTTCTTTCCTGCCAATGCTTTTAATTTAGCCCCATTATTTTTGCTCCTCTTACCTAGGAAAAATTGCATATTAACCTTAGTGAGACCTCCACATTACTACTGACATCATTCCCCTATTTAACAACTGTGTATGAAATACTGCTTCATAAAGATGCACTATAGTGGAACTAATTGTATTTTATATGAACAATTCCTTGTACATTTTTTAAGTGTGTTTGTTTTTAGTGGAACAAAATGAATAGAACTTTAAATTTTGACTCTGAAACAACGGTTGAGGTTGGCCATGAGTTTTATGAGGGATAATACAGTGTTTATTGTGTTTTCTGCCCCCATAGGTATTAGCATTATTTTGGGAGTGGCTGAGGGTGAGTTCTTTATCCATGATGCTGAAATTCAGAAGTCAGCACTTCAGATTATCATCAATTGTGTGTGTGGCCCAGATAACCGAATTTCCAGTATTGGCAAATTTATCTCTGGAACTCCTCGGAGGAAGCTGCCTCAAACACCCAAAAGCAGTGAGCACACGCTGGCCAAGATGTGGAATGTCGTCCAGTCCAACAATGGCATCAAGGTGCTTCTGTCCTTGCTGTCCATCAAGATGCCCATCACAGATGCAGACCAGATCCGGGCCCTGGCCTGCAAGGCTCTGGTGGGCTTGTCTCGAAGCAGCACTGTCAGGCAGATCATCAGCAAGCTGCCCCTTTTCAGCAGCTGCCAGATCCAGCAGCTGATGAAGGAGCCTGTGCTGCAAGACAAGCGCAGTGACCATGTCAAGTTCTGCAAGTATGCCGCTGAGCTCATCGAACGGGTGTCAGGAAAGCCACTTCTCATTGGCACGGATGTGTCCCTGGCACGACTGCAGAAAGCAGACGTTGTTGCCCAGTCAAGGATCTCCTTCCCCGAGAAGGAGCTGCTTCTGTTGATACGAAACCATCTCATTTCTAAAGGGCTTGGGGAGACAGCAACTGTGCTGACGAAAGAGGCTGACCTGCCCATGACCGCTGCCTCCCATTCTTCTGCCTTCACCCCAGTCACTGCTGCTGCTTCTCCTGTCTCTCTTCCCCGAACCCCTCGCATCACCAATGGCATTGCAACTCGACTGGGTAGCCATGTGGCTGTGGGTGCCACTGTCCCTCCTGCCCCTGCTGCCCATCCTCAGCCACGGCCCCCCCAGGGTTCACTGGCTCTGCCTGGCCCATCTTATACAGGCAACTCCCCTTTGATTGGTAGGATCAGTTTTATCAGAGAGAGACCATCACCCTGCAATGGCAGGAAAATCAGAGTATTACGGCAGAAATCAGACCATGGCGCTTACAGCCAAAGCCCAGCCATAAAAAAGCAGTTGGACAGACATCTTCCTTCCCCACCTACGCTGGACAGCATCATCACAGAATATCTTAGAGAGCAGCATGCACGCTGCAAGAACCCAGTTGCCACCTGCCCACCTTTCTCTCTCTTTACTCCTCATCAGTGTCCTGAGCCAAAACAGAGGCGGCAGGCTCCAATAAACTTTACCTCAAGGTTGAACCGCAGGGCATCGTTTCCCAAGTACGGCGGGGTGGATGGCGGGTGCTTCGACAGGCACCTCATCTTTAGCAGGTAAGGAAAGGCCACCTCATTTCCTGGGGATTGGAGTGATTTGGGCCTTATCAGTGTATAGTGATTAGTCCAGAAAACCCTTTATTGGCATGAAATAGCAGAGATGGTCAGTTTGTGTAAATAGGTGAGCAGTGTGACTGTACCCGCTTTAGGCAGCCATAGGTTTGTTGTATGATTGTTGGCAGCATCCTGATACAACACTGTTGTTCTTACTACAACTAGTATGTTTTAAGCCGTGGGACATGCTGTCTCTAGGCTCCCCAGCTTGTTTCTGTGCTGGTCCAAGTTTTCTGTTTTGATCCTTTACAAATCTTAGGTAAAGGTCATGGGGTTACAGGGTTTAAACTTGGGAATTTTAGTTGCTGTATAAACTTGTGGGCAGAGGTCTTTTTCTCTTACTTAGAATGAAAATGAACAACTGAAGGCCATGTGATGTGTTGGAAGAAGGTATTTAAAACATAAATGCTCTGTGTTTTTTTTCATCCTTCCAGCAGTTTTCTTTTTGAGTGAGTTTCTGCACAGTCTTTGTCTCTGATTTCTTTTCTCTCTCTTTTTGGGGGGCTTAGGTTTCGCCCTATTTCAGTGTTCCGGGAAGCCAATGAGGACGAGAGTGGCTTCACCTGTTGTGCATTCTCAGCTCGGGAGCGGTTCCTGATGCTTGGCACCTGCACTGGGCAGTTAAAGCTCTATAATGTGTTCAGTGGACAGGAGGAGGCCAGCTATAACTGTCACAACTCGGCCATCACACACCTTGAACCTTCTAGGGTAAGTATCCCATCCTAGGTTGTTCTCAGTCATTTTTCTAAGGTGGGCTGGTGACCATTAGCTCCGTTGGCTGGCTGCCTTGTTTGTACATAGTTTTATGGTAACGTAGCCATGCTCACAGGTTTATGTATTGTCTGTGGCTGCTGCAGCAGCACAGTGGAGTGGTTGCCACTGTGCGGCCTACAGAGTGTAAAGTGTTTATCTGGCCTTTTAAGTACAAGTTTGCCAACACCTGTTGTAAGACCCAGAGGTATTTATCTATCGTGTGTATATAGATGTGTGTGTGTGATATAAATGACATACATGTCATTTAATTTGCCTTGGTTGAAAAAAGATTACCAAATATCAGAAATTTTTTTTATTTGGAAATCTAAAAACACCGAATTTTTAAGAAGGTAATAAGCACTATGTGATTCCAGTGGGTCATAGATTATTAGTACTATTTTGTGGGTGGAATTGATAGCTTTGCTGTTTGTAAACGTCAGGATTATTAGGATGACAAGGATAATTTTCCTGATTCTGGAGTAAAGGAGGCTTACCCTTACTGGGTTTTCTCTTTGAAAAACCTTTTTGAGTCCTAGCTAGAAAGTCTAACAGATATATTCAGTTGGCTGGTTATTTCAAGACTGAGGAATATGGCCAAATATTAAGAAATGAGGGACCATCTTCATATCTTTCCAAGTTTTTTTTTTCCTCTTTACTTTTGGAGATACTGTATTTTATGTTACCAGTTTGTGAGGATTCAGTATTATGTTAAACTCAGTTGTTTCTTAGGACAGTGCAGGTGCATCGATTGTGTTTTGCTGCATATAATGCACACTGTTTTGTCCAGATTTTTGGAGGAAAAACAAAGGTTTTGACAATATGTGGTAGCACTAATTCCGTATCTGTATGAATGTTTTTAGTTCTTTTATTTATGCTTGTGACTTAAAAGTGTAACTCTGGAAAGTAATCGTGATATTCATATGCAAAATAATACCCTGGAATAGGGTAATTGGTTTTGTTTCTAAACATACATACATACATACATACATAAATAATTGAAATTAAAAATTTAAAAAATGTTTTCCTGAAAGTTTGGGCCAGAAATGTGCCACGCACTGTACATGAGTTATACATGGCAAAGTACGGTGCTTGAAGCTTAACAGCTTCTGACCATTTCTTGCCTCCTGGGGGTTTTTCTGTTTTATTTATTATTCAACAATATATTTTTAGCTTGTATTTTAAAATGCTAATGACAGACAGTGATGTCTGTATTTATATAAACACATGGTTACCCACCATCTTCTTTTAGGACGGGTCCTTGCTGCTGACATCTGCTACGTGGAGCCAGCCTCTGTCTGCACTTTGGGGAATGAAATCAGTGTTTGATATGAAGTATGTATCTTCTCAAACTTAGTCTCTGCGTTTTACAGTTTACCTAATTATACCCCCGTGCCCCCCCCCCCCCCCCCCATTCTTGAACTCAGAGCCTTTTGGAAGTAGAGAAATGCTTTGTCTGATAATACAAGGTTTTATCTTCCTTAATGTCTAGATGTTTTCACTGGGCAAGCGCACTGCCGTCCCACAGCAGACCCTGCAGTGATCCAGGTCAGCGTGCAGTCACTTGCAAGTGCGCACATGCGGCAGCCGTGCGCTCTTGGCCAGGGCGCATTTCAAAAGCACATGTGCCTTGTCAGTTACTTCTTTAACCAAGTAATTCCTGGTAATTATTTTGGATTTACTTGGCTGGGGGGAATTTTCTTTTTAATCTTAAGTGTACAATATTTTTCTTTTTGGGAGTTGAGAATCTTCCCATGAATATAGTTGGGCAGGAGCCTGAGGACCCCCTGTATTTTCGGTCAGTTGACTGAGTGCCCTGTGGGCCAGTGCTGGAGTACTTCTGTTTGTCCGCAGGCATTCTTTCACAGAAGATCACTACGTCGAGTTCAGTAAGCACTCTCAGGATCGGGTCATCGGCACAAAAGGAGACATCGCCCACGTAAGTACTGGATCTGCTGCTTTTAAACTGATGGTGCCTGCTTTTCACACTGGATGGAGTCTTATGCGCTGAATGTGAGGGTGCGAGCCCTGTGGACAGCCAGAAGATACTCATCGACATTCTTTCTGGTTAGAATCTAGAAGTGTGATGTAGTTCTAAGCTATCTGGGAAAAATGTAAAAGGAAAGAACAGGAAGTTAATCCGACGATTAGAGAAAGATGTCATTAGCATGGCAGACACTTTAAAATACCAAGTTTTAGGTGAAAAGTTCCCTGTGTTTATGAAGCCTCATTGGGGAGACAGTAAGTAAAGAAGTGAATATATATAGCATGTCAGGCCCCAGGTGCTGCTGAAGAACGGAAAGCAGGGTAAGAGGTAGAGAGTGCTTGTTAGTGGTATGGATCCTTTTGTTTAGGAATGCGGGTGGCTGGATGAGTGTGGGCTGCGTCTTGAAGGACGTACGATTGACATGCAGGTATCTGGGGGAAGAATGTCCTACAGGAGACGTCAGGGGAGCAAGCTTTTGGGAAGAGGGAGAGAGGGAAGGGGAGAGTTGAGGTCAGTGGGGGCAGACTGGGTAGTGTCTGGCAGACTGTTACTATACTAGGACCTTTCACTTTACCTCCAAGTGAGGTGAAGATGCTGGAGGATGAGTAGAGGCATGACTGGATCTGAAGTTCCTGGAAGTGAGTCTGGTTTCTGTGAGAGTTGCAAGTGCAGGCTGACCAGTTAGGAGGGTGCTGCACCAGTTGACATGTGAGAGCAGCTGTCCGGATGGGCCCAGGTGCATGGTGGTGGCGGTGATGACAGATGATGGAACTGGGCCCTGGGCTTTGGACACACGAAGTTTGTAATTCTCTTAGACATTCATATAGGGAATGGCCAGTTGAATATACAAATCGGGAGATGAGAGAGAGGGACGTCAGGAACAGGAGATGTAAATACAGGAGTTGTCCATATGTTGATAGTATTTAGAGCCTTGGACCTGGGTTAGCTCATCAAGGAACCTGAGGGGAGAAGTCCAGGACAAAGTCTGGGCACGTGCCTGTATTTAGAAGTTGCCAGGTGAGGAGGAACTTGTGAAGGAGACTGGAGAATGGCCAGTAAGGCGGCAGGAGACCCAGGAAAAAAATGTATGTCCGTGGAAGACAAGGGAAGGCTCTTTTGAGAAGGGATTGATCAGTTGGGTCAGAAACTGCTGAGGAGTTGCAGAAGATGAGAATTGAGAGGTGACCTTGATTTAACAACGTGGAGGTCATTGTTAACTATGTCAGGAGCTGGCCCAGTAGAAGTTTGGGGGGTGGGGTAAAGACCTGATGAGAGTAGATTCACAAGAGAACAGCAGGAGGGAAGTGGACAGTACTGAGTAGAGACAAGTCTTTTGAATTGTTTTGCTGAAAAACAAAGCAGAGAGGAGGATAGCAGTTTGAAGTGTGGGATGTGGGATGGTGAAGGGTTTCTCCCAAACTTTTGAAAATGTTAAAAATATATAGAAGAGTTGGAAGAATAGTACATATACGTCCATCTAGTTTCATCAATTTAATGATTTACCATATTTTCTTTCTGTGTAAATTTGTGTTTTTCTGAACCATTTGGAAGTAAGTTGCAAACATGACATTCCTATATTGTAGTATGTATGTCCTGACAGTGAGGGTATTTATTACATAATTACACTCTATTATCAAATTTAAGAAAATTTATAGTAATTCCCAAATATCTGATACCCATTTCATACTCAGTTTTCCCAGTTGTTCCTGATATGTTTGGTTTCAAATGTTTTTGTTTTTTTGTTTTTGAACCAGGATCCAGCCAAGATTCACATATTGTATTTGATTGTTATGTCTCACTAATGTTTTAAAGCCAAGAACCATTTCTCCACTTTTCATGACATTGACTTTTGAAGAGACCGGGCTAGTTGTCTTTTCCCATGATCTGGATTTGTTTGATTGTTTCCTTGTGTGCCTCCTTATTTGTTCCTACGTTAGAGGATTTTTTTTTTTTTAAAGATTGCAGCCTGTCTGTAAGCTGATGGGAAAGATCTGGTCTCTGCATGGGCTGTGTACTGTGGACTCTGGAACTTAGTGTGGTAGGGCTAAGGGAGGTTTTAAGGAGAAAAGGGTAGTTCACCGATGCCTTTTTTCAAGAAGTAACCTGTGAGAGTATTCAGTGGAAAACTGGTAGTTCATCCACATGGAAAGTGTCTCAGTTTCAGTCTTAGAAACATTTTCTGTTTCTTGGAAGGGGGGGGTGGTGGAGAAAAGAGCTTTGTTTTCCCTCTTGCACTCACACTCCTCATCTCCACACCTGCGAAGACTTTTCAAGTGCTTGGGTGGGAACCAAAGCACTTCAACTTTGCTGGGATGGTTGTAGTCTTCCTATTTGCCAGTTATGTTACAGTATTAGGGCTTTTGTAACTTGGTGGGTTTTGGAAAACGTGGGAGAGATAATTTTACAGAGCTTCTCTTTGAATTTGTCAGCGAATGGATTGGTCTGATTTTTCTCTTCCCGCCCCTTCTTCTCTAAAGATTTATGATATTCAGACTGGCAACAAGCTGTTGACTCTGTTTAACCCAGATCTTGCCAACAACTACAAGAGGAACTGTGCCACCTTTAATCCTACAGATGATCTTGTCTTAAATGATGGCGTCCTCTGGGATGTCCGCTCTGCACAGGCCATCCACAAGTTTGACAAGTTCAACATGAACATCAGTGGCGTTTTCCATCCGAATGGGCTGGAGGTCATCATTAATACTGAGATTGTATCCTTTATACCCATGTCTTACTTCCACTTATCTAGTTTGTGAGACAGAAATGATTTATCTTTAAAGCACAGGTCCCACACAGGCTGTCAGCCGGTGCCCCTCCTGTTAGTGGTTAGTGGTTCCTCCAGGGGACTCTTGTCAGTTTTGGTGATAAGTGATGACCTCACCAGCATGTTTTCTTTGTGTTGGGAAGTTGACCACATGCTGCCTTCCACTTCCCCAAGTAATGACACAACTTTTATCTTGTCTTTAGAAGGATTTTACTTTTGCTCTATACAAGTCAACTACTAGGCATAAGAGTAAAATGAAGTTCTGCTGTTGAGAGGAAGGGAACTCACGTAGCTTTCCCATGTATAAGGACACAGGAGATATTTAGAGGTGTTATTCAATAGCATGCTTTTATTTCCCCCTGATCTCATTGACTTTTAAAACATTATTACTTTAATAGGATGGGGGAAAAGTGATATTTCAGAATTTTCCACAGGAGGTTAGCTAAGAAGCGTTTGTGTAAAACAGTTTTTCTTTAAAATAAGATATTTTTTCTTGACCACTCTCCTCCTAGTGGGACCTTCGCACTTTCCACCTTTTACACACAGTTCCTGCTCTGGATCAGTGCCGCGTGGTGTTCAACCACACGGGGACAGTGATGTATGGAGGTGATCGACTCGGACTCGTGTTATTCCCTCCCCCCTCCCCAACCTAGTTTGACTCTTCCTTTTTGGAAAGTGCTTGCACATGTGAAATGGAAGGCATTTGAAAGTTATATAGCATAAAAGATAAAGTGATGTACAAATGATGACAAGAGAGGAGATGCAATAATGTTGATTTAGGGTAAAAGGTCACTTCGAAGATAAGTAAATCTTGTAAAGAAAGAAATATCATGCCGTGATTTCCCATGCATGTTATTATGAACCTACAAGCTCCACATCTGTTTTCCTGTGGTGGTAGAAGTCTCCCCGTTACACTCGTGGGGAGAAGTTGAAGATGTTGTTTGCTGAATTAGTGGGGACATGCTAGGAGGACTGTGGGAATAGGGGATGTTTTGATTCTAATGATATTTCACTCGCCCCTGTTGTCCCCAACTAGCTATGTTGCAGGCAGATGATGAAGACGATTTAATGGAAGAGAGGATGAAAAGCCCCTTTGGGTCGTCCTTCCGAACATTTAATGCGACCGACTACAAACCTATAGGTAAGGGCGAAGGGGCAGAGCGCGACCATCTTGTCACATTCTCATGTTTCTTATGTACCGTCCTCCCTTTCCTGAGACGCCTGGAATTTTTCATTGAAAAGCAGAGGAGTTATGGGAATATTTATGAACAATCACCTTGAATTCTTTTAGAGGAAAAGCTGATTTTAAGGTCTCGGCAGTAGGCTAACCCCGAGTTTTATCGTATTCTGTTCCCAGCCACCATTGATGTGAAGCGGAACATCTTTGACCTGTGCACGGACACCAAGGACTGCTACCTCGCTGTCATCGAGGTAAGCGTGGCAGAGACCCTGCTGTGTCATTGCGGTGTTTAGGGTCCCTTTATTGCAGGCGTCCTGCTTGATGTAAGACGGCCACACGGTCCGTGCATTCCTGATGGTAGGTTACCGAGAGCCTTATTTGGTGGAGTTTGGGAGACCTGCAGTGTAAGGAAATAAAAAGAAAATGCCAGTGTAAAACAGTGTGGAGAGTCTTATCTCCTATCATCCTGGACTAACACTTCACTCCTCTTTATTTTTATTTCTTCAGTATTGTTTTTAATCCTTCTCCAAGTGTATGTTTATTGATTTTAGATTTAGAGAGAGAGGAACTGGGGGGTGGGGGGATGGGGGAGAGAGAGAGAAACATGGACACCTCTGACAGGCTGTGGCTCAGTCAGGCGTCATCCCGCAAACCAAAAGGTTGCCTGTTTGATTCCCAGTCAGGGCACATGCCTGGGTTGCGAGTTCAGTCCCTGGCTGGGCACATACGAGAGACAGTCGATTGATGTTTTTTTCCCTCTCTTTCTCCCTCCTTTCCCCTCCTCCTCCCTCCTAAAAATAAGCAAATAAAATTTTCACTAAAAAAAAAAGGAGAGAGAGAAACATTGATGTGAGAGAGAGATATCTATCTGTTGGTTGCCTCCTGTAGGTGCCCTGACCTGGGATTGCATCAACAACCCAGGTGTGTGCCCTGACCAGGGATTGAACCCGGAACCTTTTGGCCTACAGGGAGACACTCCAGCCAACAGAGCCACTCAGCCAGGGCAGGTCATCCCTTTTTCAAAGGTGTCTCGATCTCTCGCCAGAGCAAGACAGGTTTTTCCAGGATGGTGGTCTCTCTTGTGCCTGTATTCCTTAGTGGCCAAGCCTTCTCATCCATGTCTTTGTATAACATTTTCAGAGTCACTTCAAGAATTGGGATAATCAAAAGCTTTGATAGCTTTGATTATCAGGGTCAGGTGCATGGGGGCCAGTCAGAGCCTAGGTGTGGACTGGCGGGTCCTGGAGACTGACTGCTCCTCGTGGGCTGACGTTGTCTTTCAGAACCAGAGCAGCATCGACGCCCTCAACATGGACACCGTGTGCAGGCTGTACGAAGTGGGCCGGCAGCGCCTGGCGGAGGACGAGGATGAAGAGGAGGACCAGGTCAGCAGTCTGAGGTTTCTTTCTGCCGAACAGTTTTACAGAGGCCACACGCATCTTCTTTTTGCCATAGGGGTTATTAAAGAACAGCCTTCGCTGCCTGTTGGCATATCCCAGAGGCCTGTCACATGCCCTTGGTCACTGGAACTCAGGAGAGAATAGATTTTGTTACTGTAAAACTTGAACCAGTACCCAGTGGTCCCGTGAGTTCCACTGTAAATCAGTTTGTAGGTTAGCAGTCTCCGATTTTGTTTCAGAGGGTTCTTTGAGCTCATCCTGGGACCAGTGCCCGGCGATCACAGGGTGAGCCGCTGCCGCACTCCCAGTGTCTGTTCAAAACAGGAGATGCTGCTGACATCTTAGAAATAGTTTAACCTTTATACAGTTTTGGGTTGTGTTTTCTCAGTTGTATGGTGTGGTCTGTTTTCAGAATAGTGGAGTAGTGCTTATAGATAAAGAGAAGATTTTGATGCTTTTGAGAAAGGAAACATTTATGGGACGTGAGTTGATGGTTTCATGTCCCACGGAGTGTTCGCTTTTTCTTTCCACGGGGGACTTTAATTTAGGTCATGGTATGCGCAGTGGTCACCTGTGTGACGTGTCAGTATCAGTTTTGAAGAGTTTCGGGAGATCTTTCCTGTTTACTGAGCTCATAACCACGTTCTTTTTCCATGCTTACACTCTCCAGCCAAACTCTTCTTGTCCGATCTGAGAAATATTTGTTGCTGGGTGAGTAATACAAAGTGGACAATGAATGGCCTTGACAATGAATGGCCAGGTTTTACCTCGTTGTTGCAGATACTAAAGCAGGTAAATGCCTTTTTTCCGGAGCATGTGTTTGCTTCCTTAGGTCCCCTTCCACTAGGGCACGCACGGTTTGGTGCTGGTGCCATGTCCCCTCTGTGAGGGCCAGAGGCGCTCCGGGCAAAGGAGGGGCAGCTACAGGCTCAAGGCGGCTCCCTTTCCTCTGCTTGCCGTGGTCGCCATCGTTCTGGCCCCTCCCTCCCCTCCTCTTAGCTGAGTCATGCTCACTGGTTGGGGCCAGTGGAATAACTTCTGTTTGCATCCTTCCCAAATAGCTTCTACTTGCTTAAGATTTAAAAGAATTTTTTTAAAGGAACAATTTTTGAAAATAGTAATTTTACAAGTATTTTTGGGCGAAGTCTGACACTGGTTGGTGACCCATGCTTTTCTCTGACAGGCATTAGTACTGACAAAACAAGGGGGTTTTTGTTCTGTCCACTTGAGATTTGGGTGCGTGGGCCACTGTCGGGCTGCAGGGGTCACGAGCCTCTAGTGTGTCCTCCAGGCGCCGAGGACCCTTCCCCTGTGGTCCTGCAGCTGAGACGCAGAGGCTCTGGGGACCATCCCGGGTGTGCTCCCTTGACCTCTGCCGTCTCCTGTGGGCCGCCCCAGCCGGCCGACCGTGCATTCTGTTGGTGCTGAGAAACAGTTTGTGACCCCCAGAAAGAGGTTTCTGAGCAGAGTGAGGGAAGGAGGCTTACTGTGCCTGTGGGGTTGCTGTCGCTGGGGTCAGAGCAGAGCCTCGCACAGGGCGCGCTTCCCGACCCAGAGTGCGGTGCCTCTGGGCTTCCCTCCCCTCACACACAGATGGATGTAGTCAGGATTCCTACTGGATACCATGGAAGTACTGTTTTCTGAGGCGTTTGATGGAAAATGACATCCTCGGTACAACAATCTCCCTTTTTTCTTGAATAGATATTTTATAGAGCAGTTGTAGGTCCACAGCAAAATCTAAGGTACCGAGGTCTCCCACGTGTGCCCTGTCCCCACTACCAGTGTCCCACACCAGAGGGTACGTGTTACAGTGGACACACCAGCCTTGGCACATCATTGTCACCTACAGTTCATAGTCTGCGTTGGGGTGTGCGCTCAGTATTGTGCATTCTAGGGGTTGGACAAGTATGTGTGATGCGGATACGTCACAGCAGTGTCACACAGCTTAGAGCTACTGCCCTAAACCCCCTCTGTGTGCCACACGGTCATCCCTCTCTCCTCACAGAGCCCGCCCACCACTGGTCTCTCTGCTCTCCCCATAGTTCTGCCTTTCCCAGAACATCATGTATTTGGAATTTTTACAGTAGATAGCCTTTTTAGATTGACTTCTTTCATTTATTACTGTGTATTTATGTTTGTACCATGTCTCCTCATGACTTGGTGCAGAATAATATTCCACTGTCTGGATGTACCACAGTTTATCTGTTTACCTACTGAAGAACATCTTAAATATTGTGCCGAAACACAATTTTATATTAGTTTCAGGTGTACAACATAGTGATTCACCGTCTCATATCACCGGTCAGCGTACACACTTACTGTAACGCTGACTAACCCCCTGTGCCGTACATCTCCTGACTTATTTTATAACTGGAAACTCGTGTTTCTTACTCCCTTTCCCCTTTTTGCCCATCATTCCACCCTCCTCCCCCTGGCAACGACCAGTTCTCTCTGTTTGCAAGTTTGTTTCTGTTTTGTTTTCAAGATTCCAGATATAAGTGAAATCATCTGGTAATTGTCTATTTTTGTCCAACTTATTTCACTTAACATAATGCTCTGTAGGTCCATCCACGCTGCTGCGTTGGTGAGATTTCATTCTTTTTTATGGCCGAGTGACCATAATGGGATATTATTTTTACTTTTTAATCTGTAAGCTTAACACTATAATAAAAATTTTATTTATATTTTAAGTTCTCACCGAATGACAAAAATAGAATCCAGATTTAGAAATAGGATCTGCTACCAATACCAATATGATTTTATTGGAATATGGAATATAAACAAATGCTTTCAAATAAACAATCTAAACATATAAAAACATTATTATTAACCTTAATTATTAAATGGCTGATAAAGAAATCCTAAATGTGACACGGTTGTGGACACCTCCAGCTCTAACCTAGGTGTGGAAGTCCCCACAGCTGTGGCGTGGCTCTGCCCTGGGGTGAGCGCACTGTTGCACACTGTTTTGGTGACAGGTGCCCTGGTGACATCAGTCCTATGTTTTACTGTTTAAAAGAGAATCTAGCTTCCATCAGTACTGTGAAGGCTAGCACAGTGGATCTCACACTTGATGCTTGCTCAGTAGCTGTTCAGTCAGCCCGTGGTTTTTCAGGGGGAATTGCTCTGTCTGTAGGTGCGGATTTGATGTGTTTGTGGGAAGAGGTGAGTTCAGGGTTTTCCTATGCTGCCATCTTGGACCAGAAGCTGTACTGGCATAATGTTGCATGTTGTCCTTGCTCAGGGGCCGTCGTAATCTGTGTCGTTCCAGTTTTAGTACTGTATTTTGCTGCATATACTGCACACCCACGTTTTTGGCCCAACTTTTAATTCAATTTCTAATTTGTATTTAGAAACAAAACCGATTATTGTATTCCAGGGTATTATTTTGCATATTGTTACTGCTTTCTAGACTTATACTTTTAATGCATAATAAATGTAAGTAAAATAATTAAAAACATTTATATAGATACAGTATTCGTACTACCTATGTGTAATGTTCATCCTTATTTCTCCCTCAGAAATTTGGGCAAATGAGTGCATTGTCCACAGCAGTGTCAGTATGCGCTGCACTGCCTAGGCGAGCGTTGTTTTGAGTCAAGTTTTTGCAGTTATGAATGAAGGGCCTGCAAACATTTTGTGCAGATTTTGTGTGGATGTATGTTTTCAGCTGCTTTGAGTAAACAGGAGCACAGTGGCTGGATTAGGTGGTGAGAGTAGGCTCCGTTTTACAAAGATTGCCAAACCGTCTGCCAGAGTGGCTGCACCGTGGTGCATTTCCACATCGACAAATGGTGCTTCCTGTGGCTCCGTGTCCTCCCAGGCATTTGAAGACATCACTCTTGGGTTTTGACCGTTTTGATAGGTGTGTAGTGGTATCTCCTTTATTTATTTAATTAAAAAATTAGGTCATTTATTCCATTAGCTCTGCACTTCTACACCTAATCAAAATGCATGGTTCAAGGTCTGTTTTTAAGTAGAAAGGATTTAGGTCTTGATTGTTCGCCTATTGCATGCAGATGTTTTCTGAACATCACTTTAACTGCGAGCCCTCCTGGTGGCTGCTGCCAGGCTAAAGGAAGGGGGCCTTTCTCTCATGATCCCTCTGGGCTCCTCCCCTGCTTCAGGGAGCTGCTTTTATGCAAAAGGATCTCTCGTTTTGGTTTTAATTTGCATTTCCCTGGTGACATATGATATGTTTATTTTCATCTGTGTACTTTTGGTGAGGTGTCTGTTAAAGCCTTTGCCCTTTTAAAAATTAAGTTCCTTATGTTTTTATTAAGTTTTAAGAGTTCTTTGAATATTTTTGCTAACAGTCCTTTATCTGACACAGCATTTGCAAGTATTTTTCGTAGACTGTGGCTGGCTTTCTCCTTCCCTCACGGTGCCATTTGCAGAGGCAGAGTCACTGTGTTAATGAAGCCCCTACTCTAGCAGTTGTTTTTTTAATGGCTTGTTCTTTGAGGTTGCATCTAGAAAGGTGTTGTCAAACCCAAGGTCTTGCCCTTGGGTTTTCTCCTACATTATTTTCTGGGAGTTCTGTAATTTTGCACTTTACAAAATCACCCGTTTTGGGTTGATTCTTGTGAAGGGTGTGAGGTCTGTGTCTAGGTTCACTCTCTGCGTGTAGGTGTCCATTTGCGACAGCAGCGTTTATTGAAAAGGCTTTTCCATCGTCTCGCCTGTGCTTGCTTGTCAGACATCAGCTGGCTGTGTTTCTGTGGGTCTCCTCTGGACTCTGTTCTGCTCCACTGGTACCTCCTCATCTGTTCTCATCCAGTGCTTCACTGTCTTGATTCATGTTGTCCTTCGCTTTCAGTATTGTGCAGGTTACTGCGTTTTTGCTTCTCATTAAAAAACTTTGTAATCAGTTTATTGATATTCACAAAATAGCTCTTTCAAATTTTTATTGGAATTGCATTAACTTAGATCAAGTTCGGCAGATCTGACACCCGGGCATGCTGAGCCTTCCTGTCCCCAAACACAGAGCACGTCTCCACTTTTATTTAGCTCTTTGATCTCTTTAATCAGTTTTGTGGTTTTCCTCATGTAGATCTCCTACATATTTTGTTAGATTTATACCCAAGTATTTCATCTTTATGGGTGCTAATGTAAGTGACAGTGTTTTTAATTTTATTTTCTACTCATTACTGGTATATAGGAAATATTGTGAATTAGCATAGTATCCTGTAATGGCTATAATTGCTTAACAGTTCCAGGAGGTTTTGTTTTTTCTTTTTCAGTTCTTTTGGATTTTATATTTAGACAATCATGTCATCTTCAAAAAAGTCAGTTTTATGTCTTTCTTCCCAATCTGTGTATCCTTCATTTCCCTTTCTTGTCTTACTGCGTTACTGGGAGTTTCAGTATGAAGTTGAAAGCCACGATCTTGATTGTGTGCATGTAGCAGGAGCGGTCAGGGTTATGAACTTGAAATCTGAGGCAAAAACTGCTTTATTTTATCAATACCATTACCCCCGCCCTCTCACATCTTTGCAGTTTTTGAGGTTGTGGGCAGTAGTCTTCTCTTGGGACTGTCACCTGGGTTCAGTGACACCAGTGCCTGTCTTTGAGGAGGAGGTTGTGTAAGGAAGTTAGCATTGCCCTGGATACCTTGGGAGTTAAGAGGGCTGTCCTTGGGTTTGGCCTCATTCTTGCACAGGTGGATTGATGATAGGTAAGCCTTCGGTGGCTGCCTGTGGAAGCAAGAGACCATCATAACGGATCAACTTAATGGCCCCTCTCTCCTCGTGCTGCCCTCTCCAGGGAGCCTGGGTCAGAGAAAAGACTGATTCTTTTTCTGTGGTTCTATTTGAGAGCTTCAGGGAGAATCCCGTTAGAAAAGGGGGGTTAGAGTGGTTATTAGGGCTTCTGGCTCTAATGCAGGAAGAAAAAGAGCAGCTTCCTCAGTGTGGACAAGAGAGCAGCAGGCTCAAGAGGGCCCTGAAACGTGCGTGGCCTTAGGGCCCAGTGTGTGGGAGAGCCTGCAAACGTTCTAGCTTGGAGAGGACTGGGCATGTGGAGTGGGTGTGCAGTGTGGGTGAGTGAGCATTGCTTCTGGATTTCTCAGGCACAAAGCACATTTCACTACGTATCCATACCACAGTCCTTATGGGTCACCTGGGGCTTTTCATTTAAAGGCCACCCATTCGAAACCATTTTTACCCTCAAGACCTCGGTGTTCTGATTTTTGATTTAGAGATGTTAGTGGGATAAGACTGTACTAAGTTTCCTTTCAGTTCTGTTGATTCATGCTGTCCTAGAATCATGCCGTCACGTTTTGCTGTATTACTGTCTCCATATTTCTTCCCAGCATTTTTTTTAAAGAATGAATTTATTTTCAGGGAGGGGAAGGGAAGGAAGAGAGGGACAGAAACATTGATCAGTTGCCTCTCTCACTCTCTGCCCCCAATTTGGGACCTGGCCTGCAACCCAGCCATATGCTTTGCTGGGGAATTGAACCAGTGACCTTTCAGTTCGCAGGCCAGTGCTCAATCCACTGTGCCATACCAGCCAGGGCTCCCCACTACTTCTTCCTTGTGCTGGCTTTTTTTCTTTTAAACTCACTTTGCTTTGTTGTGCTTCACCTGATTTTAAAACTAGAGCCTTCATTTTCATGAATCATTTGCTATTTAAAGTTTTGTCCTGGTCTGGAAATATCTGCTTTCAGGTCTTCTCAGATGTTCCAGGTGTGACTTAAATGGCTAAGGGATGCAGGCAGCTGTGGTCAGCACCTTTGAATCTGCCTTTTCACCTTAGCACAATAAACTCAGCAGCTGCCTGAGGGGTCAGCTGACATCTGATAAAATGGTCCAGCGTGAAATGGTTTTGTTTTAAAAGCTTGAGATAAAACATACCCACCTTAAAAGTGGTTGTCTTTTGCCCTTATGTTTATTTATTTTAAAAGATTTATTTAGAGAGGGAGAGGGAAACATCAAGGTGTAGTTGCCTCTCATATGCCCCCTACTGGGGACCTGGCCTGTAACCCAGGCACATGACCTAATCTGGGAACTGAACCTGCCACCCTTTGGTTCATAGGCTGGTGCTCAATCTGCTGAGCCACCCCAGCCAGGGCTGCCCTATGTTTAAGTAAATTTGGAGATGAACAAGAAGGAATGAATGGTACCATTATTTTGTTGTGTGTGATAGCCATCATATTTGGTTCCTGGGGCTGCTAGTTGGCCTGCCTTCAGCATTTGATGAGAGCAGAGATAAGCCAGTCACTCACCGAAGCTCATATTATATCGATTGGAATTTGGGCACCTGTGTTGCTTTAAAAAATCAATTCAGTCAGCTTTGATGTTGGCTTTTAGGAAAATTACACAATTAAAGATTAGTAATTGATACTTGTTTCTAGATTTTGAAACCCAATACTTTTTAACTATTTATAGCTAACTTTGTTTATATTAAAAAACAGGAATAATGTTCTTATTTTTCCACTCCATTTTGGAACCAGGACACACTGCGTGCTCTGCTTCCTGTGTGTGTTCCCTGCACCTGGAAGCAGCTGGTGGCCAGGCTGCTGTGATCCTGGTCAGTGATACCTGAAAGGCTCTTTTCCTCCTAGAAGTTTAAAACGTATGTGAATTAAATCCTGCCACTGAGGAGAGAAAAATGCAAGCATTTATGACCCTGAAATGAGCCTTTAAGGATAGTTAACACCAAGGAATACATGTCAAAAGGAGGAAAAGCAGGAGTTTAAATTTTACAAAATGTGACACATTGAAATATGTAGGCAGTAAGGAGGCTTGGGTTTAAATTACACTTTGAACAGTGGGTGACTGCGCATTAAGCCACAGAAGTGGCAGAAGTAAAAGATAACTGGGGATTTCGCCTGCTGATTGCAGAAGTGTGGAGAAGGTAGGGAGGATTCAGGTGTACCTTGAGTCTAGGGTTAGAATTAAAATGTTATAATGTTGTCTGCTTGCATTGGGTGTGTTCTGTCCTTGATTAGACTGATGTATTAAATGAATTTTACATTTTGTTATTGCAGAAATTAGTCTTTTGCTGACAGCCTGTGTTTGAGCAGGAGGGGTTGTTGGCCACATTTATTTGGAAATGCCCGTCATCCTTATCAAAGCAAAGAGGTTTTGTGTCCTCTCTTAATGCTTGAAGGGGGACAATTTGGATTCTAGTGCAAAGTTGAAATCTTTGGCAGATTCTAGAATGTGTCATTTACCAAGCTCAGGGGACCTAGAGCTGGGTATTTTATTTTCTGGTAGTTTTCCCACCTGTGGGAAGTTCTGTTAAGAATGAAAGTTTGGACAGTTTCTTTGGCCCACATGGTATGTATGGCTTAGAACAGAGAGTGGGTGGTCTGTCCTGTTCAGTGGTGCTCTGACGTGTTGTGGATGGTTCGGGTGGTTGAATGCTCACAACCGCACTGTCACAGGGTTACCCAGAACCTTGGGCGAGATTGAGGGCAAGAACTTGAAGGGCTTAGGAGCTGATGACTTAGCAGCTGTTTTGTTTTTTGGGGTAGAAGAACAGGTAGATTCAGGTGTAGAAGCTTTTGTTTCAGTGCCTTATTTGCTTGATTTGGTTGATGAAGGAGAGTGAGGAGCCCCTGTGGGGTTTAGTTAGGAATCCAGGATGTTGATGGCAGGGACCTCTGTAAAGCAGGTCTGCATGACCAGTAATGCCTTTGCGGAGTAATTAGTCACCCTCATCTGAGGGGTGCTTTGAGTGTCTCGGGGGACACGTACGTGCCTGTCTCAGTCTTCACTGATGTGCCTGCTGGCCCCTGACGTCTGCGCTGACCTTGGTCCCACTCTCCCTGTGGACAGCTCCCGCCCATCCTTTGGGAAGGAGGAGGGAAGACTCCCAGGTGGCCTGCCTGGGTCAGGCCTCTGTATTTGTCCTAATGGATCTAATGCTTTCTTACCAGGAAGAAGAAGAACAGGAGGAAGAAGACGATGATGAAGATGACGATGACACCGATGATCTAGATGATCTTGACACTGACCAGTTGCTGGAAGCGGAGCTGGAGGAAGATGACAACAACGAGAACGCAGGGGAGGATGGGGACAATGACTTTTCTCCCTCTGACGAGGAGCTAGCAAATCTTCTAGAGGAGGGAGAGGATGGGGAGGACGAAGACTCTGATGCAGACGAGGAAGTGGAACTGATTCTGGGGGACAGTAAGTCCAGGACTGCCCATGGGACTGAGCCTTGGCACCCAGGGAGGGGTGCCTTGTCTGTGTCACCCCAGGGTTCTGTGCCCCTTAACTGACCCCCCCCCCCCCCCCCCGTGGGAAAACAGTGTCCCATCTCCATCCTCTGCTCTCCCGTCAGGCTGTGGAACCAAACAGCTGTTATCCCTTAGCTTGAGCAGAGGCTGGCAAGTGTTTTCTGTAAAGGCTGTACAGCCCCTGCTTCACACTTTGCAGCCCCTATAGTCTTTGTTGCAGCTCCTCAACTCTTCTGTTGCACAGTGAAAGCAGCCAGAGACACACAAGTTCACTGTTGTGGCTGTTTGGAGGGCGAGCCTTTAAATGATTCATTTAGAGTATAGCTCTTTCCAAGGGCAGGGCAGGCACCTCTGTACCTGCTCCTTCCTCAAGTTCTCAAGCAACAAAAGCCCTCTTGTGGAGGAGCCCTTTCCTGTCTGCTTTTGCCTTAAAGGCGACGGGGCAAAAGTTTCTTTGGCTTCTTCATTTGTTTTGTCATCACCCCCCCCCCCCTTTATTCCAAGTTAGAAAGGAAAAGCTCCAATTTGCAGCTGTACTCTGAGTGTTTCCAGAGGACACACTGGGCAGCGTCTCGGTGGTGTGTCCCTGCTGACAGACTTGTGCTTGCTGCGGTCCCAGCTCTCCCTCCCTACTGCCGCCCCGCCTGACCAGGGCAGTCCCCATGGCGTTCCGCCGTGTCTCGTGTAGCTAGCCTGGCCAGCATCCTCACGGCCTTGGTGTTACACCAAACACAGTGGCCACAAACCATGTGGCCATTAAAATTTTAATGCATACAGTTTAAAAATTTGTTCATTTCCATGTTCACATTTCAAGTACTCAGTAGCCTCATGTGGCTGTCATACTGAACAGCACAAATATAGGACATTTATGTCACTGTGGAACTGTTATTGTGCTGGCCTGGGCCTGGCAGGTGCCAAGCATCTTTTGACGTTTGGTTGTGTGATCACCAGTGTGGTAGTGGGAGACAGGTGCGCAAACGAGCCACTCTCACGTGCCTCTGGCCCTCAAGGTAGGAGGCAGAGGTGGTGCCTTCCAGCTGCCCACCTGCTGTTGAACCAGCTTCCATGTTCCCTTTGTGGAGGGTGAAGTGATTTGGTGACAGAGACTTGCACTGTCCCTAGTCACAGTCAGAGAGCCCAGTAAGAGGGACGAAGGGGCAAGGGACACATGGCAGCATTGATGATACCAGGGCAAGTGTCACCGAGCCTTTCTGTCATCTGAGTAGTGACACACGGGCACGAGTTCCATCTCCCTTCAGTTACAAATGGCAGCGCAGGCTAACGGAGTGGGAGGGGGGGTGCCTGCAGTGGGGGAGTGTCACCAATCTTCCCATTCTTCAACTGTTGTAAAGCCACTCACTGTATTTGGTCTGTGACGTTTCTGCCTCCTGTAGCTTTCACTGCTTAGGAGCTGTCATTCCTAGCTCAAGACAACCTGGAAAACCTTAATTCGGTCGGCAGTGAGAATGCTACTTTATGCTTGCGGGGAAGGTTTGTGATGTAGAAATGCCACAGCAGACGATGATTTGAAGCCATTTTAGCTTGGGCCCTAGAACTGAGGTGGTGACAGGTGGTGCCTGCAGCGTGCACTCCACTACTGGCTTAAGAGACCCATGGCCACTCACAGCAGAGCAGGGGTGCACCCCCACACCTTTGGCAGGCTGGTGTTCTGCCTCACACTGGCACCCCAGAGCGGTAGCGCTCAGTTGTTTTGGGCCTACGAGCCCTTTCAGGGGGCAGGGAGAGCCATCCAGATCCCAGATCACCCGTGTGCCCTGCCTGCCTTAGCAGGTGCTGCATCCCCAACGCAGAGCCCTGACTGAGGCTGGGTCTGCCCCCTGAAACCGGCCTGTTCACTACATGCAGTGTCCTTACACCCAGATGGTCTTTGCCCCAGAGCCTTCAGAAGGAGGGCCTGGCAGGGTTTCCTCGAGCACCAGGTGAGGAGAGAGGATGAGGAGAGAGGATGAGGAGAGAGGATGATGACCGTGGAGAGCAGTCTGGGCGCCCAAACGCCTAGAGGGGAGCTAGTGTCCCAGCCCCGAAGGCGGTCAGACCCCGTGGCCAACTCGCATGCGTGAGGATGGTTAGGATGGGAGGCTTGTCCAGCCCCTTCCATTACTGGACGAAAGGCCCAGTTGAGACTTCCAGTTGCTGACACGGGGTTGTGTGGGACCCCTTCCGTCACCTCTCCTGGGGGAGCCGCAGAGGCGTGGGCATCTGCAGGCCTGCAGGTCAGGGTCTGCCCTCCTCCCAGGGCCCTGGTTAGTCATGTCAGGTTCCTGAGCGGGGGTCATCAAAGTGGGCACGGAGACCTTCCCTGCCTCCTTCACTCGACAAAGACTCGAGTCCTTGGGACCCGGAGCATCATCTCATCCTCCCTGCTGGCCTCCAGGCGGGGCCGCCAGCCCTGCCTCCTCCACTGCTGCAGCTGCCCCCCACCCTTCATGGAGCCTGTTCCCTGCAGATTACATTAGAAAATTTGAGAGGACTGAATCCTAGGGTATCTCTGCCTTTATGCCCTCTTTTGAGTTGAAGAGAAATCTCTCTTTTGCTTGGGCTTGGGCAGGCCTGTGCTCACTCACCCCCGAGACTCCAGAGGCCTGGGGGGAAGGCTCACCCCTGGCTCCCCACAGCCCTGCCCTTTCATAGCCATTGAAGGCACCACAAACAGAAACCTGGGTCAGGGAGCACTGCCTGGTCCCTTTAGGGCCTCCAAGGCAGCACGGACCTCTAGGAATCAGAGGTCACCACACCAAGGTCCTTTTAAAGGTGACAGCAAGAGGTCCCAGGGGTGACCGCTGTTGCCAAGAGTGTGTTCTCCAGAGCCAGCTGCAAGGAGTTAGCTAATTGATGTGTTTTCCTCTTTTGGAAAAAGTAATTAGCCTCGCCGAGCCCTAAGTGTGCACGTGTACAGGTGCCGCTCCTGAAAGCTTCCTGTGCGCCCAGGGTCTGACCTGCCCTCTCCCTTTGCTTACCTTTCAGCTGACAGCTCGGACAACTCCGATCTGGAAGACGACATCATCTTATCTCTGAATGAGTGAGGCGCCATCACCATGTGGAAGGTTCTTGGCAGGCGAGAAACTGAGTCAAACGAGTTCACAACACCTTCCCTCCCCTTCCTCCCAGGGCTGTCTCTTAAGGAACTGCGTGGCCTGCACTCAGGACTGTGGCCAAGTCTCCCTGGGGCCCAAGGACGCTTCATGAGTCACCACCACAGAAGACAGCAGGGGTCGGGCCCTGGTCTGCTTCCCCTTCCTAGGATGGACCTGTCTTTCCTCAAGGGGGAAAAAAAAGTCTCTGGGGTTATTTCACAATATATTTTCTTTGTATAATGTCCTTTACTTAAAGAACAAGAAATAGTTTTTTAGAAAACTTAAAAAGAAAAAAAAAATTTAGGCATTTATAACTGAGGGTATGAACTTATATCCACCAGGTCCTTGTCCCACTTCATTTTCTATGGAAGAAAATGATGTCTTAAGAACAATATAGAGGCATTTTTACATACGTATTTAAATGAAAAGGAAAATCGTGGTTTCTTAAATTGATAAGGATTAAGAATATTTTATTATAAATATAATATATGATTTTTTAACCTGTTTTGTTGCCTCATATGCCGTCAGGTTGCTTTGTTCTCCTGGGTGCCAGAGTGGGAGGAAGGCTGTGTCCGCCCGCCGGCCGTTGCCGACACTCGCCCGCCGGCGTCGGCAGCAAGGGCGCGGACACTGGTTTGTGGAGCTGAGAGAACTTAGGATATGAGTTCACTCCCTCTATTTCTTTGTCCTTCAGTTTTTCAAGAAGCTTTTTTTCCTCCCTTTCTCCCCAGTGTGGAAATTACAAATCAAAGGCCTTTTTCTTTAATGTAAAGTGTATTTATTTTAAAAAATACAAAATAAACTACAAGTCTGTCTTTGTTTACGGCCTTTCCCTGTCCTCCCTTTCCTTGCAGCTCTAGCCAGGCAGTGAAGGCGCCTTCCGAGAGGTGGGCCAGGGCGGCGGTGAGAACACCTTCTGCCCAAAAAGCACTCTGGGGAGAAAAGTAGCTTAGTCCTAGCATCTGCCCCAGGGGGAGCACTCGCAGGGGCCGAGGAGGGCGCCCGGGGCATTGCCCACTGTGGACACACCTCCATCCCTGGGCCCTGGAGCACAGGACTGTGGAGCTGTGAAGTTAGGGCTCCTGGGGCATTTTGGAGGGGTGCACTGCCAAAGCTGAAGAGTGGCAGCATGTATTTGGGCCATATCTGTAGATGGGTGATGCGGTACATTCCCTGAAAGGCAGTGTTCCACTGGCCCGGATGATTCTGTGGTCCCGGCAGTTTGGGGGCAACTGGGGCTTCGTCAGCCTAGGTGTGCAGACACTTCACGGGCCCCTCAACTGGCCTCGTGAACTGCGCTGCCCTAGGGGCTGCACCAGCTGCTTCACCTCACACCCAGCCCACCCCACCCCCTTCCCTCCCCACCCTAATAGGAGCCCCTTAGTCCCTTTCTTCCTTTGAGTTTGCCCAAGTAATCAGGAGCTCCTTGGTTACTATTATGGTAGGTAGGTAGGTAGCTCAGAGAAGAGGGGACAAATTTGGTTGTCAAGTAAACAAGCAAGACAAGATGGCTAAAACTCACCAGGGGCTGGTAAGGCCCTGCCGGGCTTCGGAGCACCACACAATCTGTCACACCCACGGAAGCAGGCCTGTGTCGCACAGGTACCTCTTGGTCCTCTACAGAGCAGAGGTCTCAGCTCCTAAGGTGCTTCATGCCTCAGCTCAAATAGTGGCTGCTAACACCTAACCAGTAGACTAGTTTGCTGGTGCTGAATGGATTAGAAGAAAATGGGTTAAAAGAACAGCAAAAGCACTCACTGCGTTGCAGTAGTTAACCAAGCCGCTGTCTCCCCAAACTCCACCCAGAGCTCTTGGGAGCACCCGCAGGTCTCCCAGGTGGAGTGGGAGCTCCGGCAGCAAAGCAGGATACTGGTTGACTTGACAACGGGCCCACAGGGACAAGCCCTGACAGCGGCTAAGGCAACTTCGGCCCCTGCCTTTCTCCCAGTGCCGGAGGGCCGGTCACCTGGGAGAGCACACACACAGCAGCAACACACCATCACAGGCGAATCCTGCCTCGTGTTGGTTTTACATTTGGGCGCCACCCTAGACTGGACCCAGACCCCCGGGGGAGGCACTGAACACCTGCCGTTCCAGCATTTTCTCTCTCGGGCCCTGACCACCTGAGGGTGTCACTAGCTAGTGTTGGAGATGGCCTTTCTGAGTGGTCACAGAACCTGTTGCATCTTAAGAGCTGACGGAAGTGGTGGGGAAGAGGGCATGGGGGAAAGGAAGGCTACGCAACAGGCTGCAGTTCTGCACCAAAACTAGTTCTGGAGACCAGAGAATCCCTATCCCTGAAGGGTGGACGAGGGTTGAAAAGTGTCAATTAAATTTTCTAGGCTTGTTCTGGGAAGGCTAGGGGGCAGTGTTCTGGGTCCTAAGTGCCCACTTGGAAGGCACCTGCAAGGTAGCTCCGGCCCATGACCCAGCATTTGCCCTGGGTGCTCGGGAAGTCCTGTGGTGTGCCTAGAAGCCGGCCCTCCATCACTTTCCCTGAACGAGAGGAAGCCCACTCTTGCCCTGGAACAGTGTGACTGTGGCCTGCTGGGCCACCACGGACGTGCTCAGCTACCTGGCTGCTGTGGCCACGGCTCAGGTACAAACAGGCAGACACGCCCAACACTTCCCTCCGTGTGTTATCGTTTTGTTATGAACTTGCTGATTCTCTTGTGAGCACCAGCGGAAGCCCAGGGAGCGGTGCCTCCCCAGGCACCTTCCCTGTTTATTTAAAATCTCCAAGGTCTCAAGACAGCTCTCTCACTGTCCTTGGGGAGGGGCAGCCTCAGGCTCCACCTCCCAGCTGTGTCCCTCAAAACCACCTAGCTGTCACCTGCACAGCCCTGAGCTGGCCAGGGGAGAGCCTGACGTGGCCAATGGAGCTGGGAGGTCCCGTGGCCCTGACAAGGACCCTTCTGAACACCCAAACCAGCACACTTGAATGTTCAATGGTATTTGTTCTATGCTGACAACTGCTGTGTTGACACTGGCTTCGTCTGCCAGTCCTGGCCACACGAGTTCATCAGACACACGTGATAAGTCAATGCTCATTCAAGGCGCCTTTCCCTCCCAGCTAATGGATGGCCCATGTCCCTCTAGCTTGGCTCGAATGGCCATGAGCTCTAACACTGCCCAACACCTCTAAGACAGACCTCATTTCCCCACAGAGGCATGATCTCCCAGGGGTCTCCACCTCCTCGGGGTCTGGACCAGAGGCCTCAGCACTCTCACCTGGCACCTGAGGAAGTTACGTCACAGCACGTTCCTGACCTGCTGTACCTCGAAGCATCGCAACACTGTTCAGACCAGGGACTCAGTGTCCCCCACAAGGCTCCAAGGACTCTGCACAGACCTCTTCCACTCTGACACAACAGTTCTGAACAACCAAAGGAAGAGCTAGAATTCACAAGTTCAAGAATAAGCAAGGAAAGCAGCCTCCCACTCTCCATTCCAGCACTTGGCCTCCAGCGTCCCTGGGAGTCGGGCAGTGGTCTCCAACCGCATGTCCCTGGGTGGCTGAGTCCAGATGGGAAGCTGAACAGGAGGGAGTCCAAGTGGACCTGTGGCACCAGGCACCGATACCAACTGCTCCTCCCTACAAGAACACACAGCTGCCAAGACCACCTGCTTTCAAAAGGCCTCAGAGTGGGTGTTTGTCCCACAGGTACAGCCCAGACTGCTGGACACACACTGTTTAGGGGAGAACCACCAAGACCAAAAACCACCGCAGCTGCTGGTTAGACCTTAGGCGCACCCCTTCCTCTGCATAAGCCCTGTTCACCCTATTCAGGCTGCCAAGGGGGGGCAGAGCGCAAACCGAAGCCCACCGGTGCTCAGGCGAGTCTCCAAGCCGGTGTGAGCAGTCCCAGCACAACACGCACAGCAGAGGGCAGAGAGCCGCCACTGCAGCGGGACTCTGAGATGCGCCAGGGCTAGAGAGGGGACGACGCAGAGCATTTTGTGCATGCAGTGTGTGCATGTGTGTGTGTGTGGGGGGGTGTCTTCCATCTTGGAGAAAAAACTTGATTAAACCAGGACTCTGAACAGGATTAAAAATCCATCCTCTGACAAAGGCTTTACTGACAACTTTCCATACAGTTAGTCAAAAAATAAAAAAATACAGAACACAGCAGACAGTATCTCATACACTAGAAATCAGCATGACAGGAGTCCCGTCTCATCACTGTAAAAAACCCCCCAAACCGAAGAAATTAGTTTCGGCGGGGAATAGGACTCAGTCCCCAACCTAATGAACCAAAACAACCCAGCAGAAAATTCAAACGGAGGAGAGGACAGAGGCGGGGGATCGAATTTCAAAATAACTGCTTTCGTGACACATGAGGGGCAGGAAGGGCAGGCTGGGCTAGGCAGCGTCTCTCACTATGACTATCACCATGTGCTCTTCCTCTAGCTTGCCCAGTGTCCTCAGGGCCGACTGGAGGTACTGCTGGGAGAAGTCACAGGGCGGGAAGGCGTAGAGCATGCCCGTGCTGTCTCTGCCCTTGGACCCTCCCACCGGCAGGCTAATCACCCCCGCCGCCTGCTTCTGTTTCAAGTAGGAGACCAGGTTCCTGAGAAGGCGCCTCTGGAGGCCTGGCTCCACCATGGGCAACCCCTCAGGGCCGGGCCCGCTGGGGGTGGCCTGCGTGGCTAGCAGCACAGCGTAGCCGTTGGGGCTTCCCTGCTTGATGCGCCGCGTGACCTCGTCGAGCTTGGGCTGGTCCAGCCGAAGGCGCTGGGCAATCTTCAGCTGTGTCAGCTTACTCCCAGAAGTGTGGTCTTTGAGGAGACCGCTGATCACCCCTTGGTCCCCCTCAAGGATGTGCATAGATGTCGGGAAGCAGCTGTTTTTCAATACTAGAAGCCCATTCCAACCCAGCTGCAGCGTCTGGGCATACTCAGAAAGATTTTTGAGCTTTTTGGTCTCGTGTTTTGGCTCTTCTAGAGGCTTCGGCTCAGCCTCAGAGGTCCGATGATTGCGCTCGCTCTCACGTGTCCTCTTCCCGTGGGAAGAGTCTTGAGCCTCGTGGTGGTGGTGTCCCCGGTCCTCAACCCCGTGTTTGCTGTTGCTGAGGGAGTTGCTACTCGACTCCTTGGTCCCTTCACTGGAGTGATTCTCCTTTCGGCTGCGCTCAGGAGTGCGGTCGGAGCCCCGGTCGGCCTGCTGCCCACCGCCCTTGGTCCTGCTCCGCTCCTCGTAAGGGGAGTGCGCTGTCCTCCCACGGTCACTGGAAAGGCTCCTCCGCTTCCGCCTCTCCTCCCAGGGCTTGGGCAGGCCCCGGTCCCCATCTCCTCCCCAGCGTTCCCCACTCCGGCTGCGCACTGAGCGGCTGTAGCCCTCCAGGCTGTTTCGGCGGTCAGAGCTTTTACCGGGGCTGGTCCAGTCCCCTTCCAAAAAGGTCCGGTCTCGGTCTGAGTACAGGAGGTGCGGGGGCGTCCTATCACGCACCCGCAGGTCAGCATCCAAGTTTCGGTGCCGGGTATACCCATCTGGGAGAAGCTCATAATGCACAGGGAGGGGGGAGGGCTGGTACTGCTGGGGATACCGAGTCTCCTCGGCTTTGGCAAAATCCACACGCAGCCTGCGGTCTGGACCACCCAAGGGAAAGCCTCTCATTTTAGCACAGGCGGCCTGGGCTGCGTCCAGACTCTCATACTGGATGTAGGCAAAGCTGTCCCCTTTGACATGATCGATAGTCCGAATGCTCCCAAAGCGGTCAAACTCCCGGGCCAGAGCAGCCAGTGAAGTGTTAGGTCCCAGACCACCCACCCACAGGCGGGTGGTGGGATTAGCCTTGCCGTAACCAATCTTAATAGGGTTGCGGCCAATCACCCGGCCCGACATGGCCACCTTAGCCCTGTGGGCCATGTCTAAGTTCTGAAACTTGAGGAAAGCATACGCACCGCCCTGGCCTCGGGCAGGTCTCTTGATGACCACCTCCTCAATGATGCCGTACTTTTCGAAGGCCCGTCGCAGCTCCACCTCTGACACGCTGTGGTCCAGGTTCCCGATGAAGAGGTTGCGCGTGGCCCGCTGGTCATCCTCGGGCATCAGGTCCTCCTCGCACACAGCCGGGTAGCCGTAGGGGCGCCCCCGGTCATCATACAGCCCGTAATAGTCCAGGGCCCGTTCCCGGGATAGTCCCACGGCGGCAGCGGTGGCCGCATCCAGGGCGAAGGCGGCAGCGGCATGGCGGGCACGGGGCTCCCGCAGGGGCGGGGCGGCGACAGGGGACAGCGAGCGCTGCTTGTACTGGTAGCCACCGTGCAAGGGCAGGTAGCTGAGCGGGTCTGTGGGCGCGGGCGGCCCTGGGGGTGGCGTGGAGGCGGCGGCGCTGCTGCTGCTGCTTCTCCGGCTGCTCCCGCCGCCACCGCCGCGCAGATACACCGGCTCCACCTTGAGCGGACGGTCATAGAGCAGCAGCTGGCGGGCCAGGGCGTGCTGGCGAGCCTCGCGCGCGTCCTGTGGGTGCCGGAAGTTCACGTAGGCCACGCGGCCCAACTCTGGCGTGTGCGACAGGCGCAGGCTTATCTCGCCGAACCGCTTGAACTGGTGGAAGAGCCGGTCCTCAAGGTGCTCGGCGGGCAGCGCTGGGCTCAGACTGCTGATGAGCAGCGTCTTGTACTCGGGCGCCGCTGCCGAACCGGGACCCGCAGGCTCGGCCCCGGGCGGCGGCGGAGGTGGCGGCAGCGGAGACGAACGGGGCGAGGCGCCTGAAGCGCCAGGGTCCCCAGAGGCCTTGCCGCCGCGTCCCCCACTGCCGACGCCCGAGCCTGAGGTGCGGCCGCTGCTTGCACGATGATTGGTGTCCCCGGCCCCACGGCCATCACGATGCCCGCCCCCGCCGCCTCCGCTACCGCGGGGTTTGTCGCGGGTCCGCGTTGGAACAGGGTGCTTGGCGCCGCCCGAGGCCTTGTGCGCCGCCCGCCGCCCGCCCGCCTCCGCCTCCCGTTCGCGCTCCCTTGGCCGCTTGGCTGACGATGACGAGCCGCGCCCGCTCGGGCTCGAGTCTCGCTCGCTCTGCCTCTTCATGGCGCCGGAGCGGCGGGCGGGCGGGCGGCCCGCAGGTTCCTCACAGCAGCAGTGGCGGCGGCGGCCGAGGAGGCAGCGCCCCCGGCGCCGCCATCTTGGACAAAAGGACTCGGCGCGGCGGCGGGGTGGGACGGTAGCGGCGCCCAGGGGCTGGGCGTCGGGCTATTAGCCTGCACAGGCCGTACCACGTGACCCTACGGAGGGAGGGACTTGGGCTGTACTGGTGGTGCGTCATTGGACTGCGCCACTCCTGCCCTGTGACACCCTAGGAGGCAGAAGAGCGCGACCAGTCTGTGAGCTTTGGCGCCACCCTGTGGCCAACGTGGCCAAGACTGGGACAGAGTTGAACTCAGTCCTCGCGAGAGCAGGGTCATCTCGCACAATTCCCGGAGCTAGCATCTGCGCGCTTCGACCAAGCAGCCTTTTTACGGGATAACCTCCAACTTCCGCCGAGCATCTTCGGACTCGGGTCCAGGACTGACAACCCCAAGTAGAGCCTGCCGCTCTCTAGGCCTGTCCGTGACCCACAGCCCACAACTGGGACACCCCCAGGGTCAGGTTCACCTGCAGTGCCTCCCACCCCACGCACAGGTCCTGAGGACCATGGCTATTCAAGTGGAGAGCAAGACTGGTCTGGGCTCAGGCCCAGAGACCGGAGACGACAAACCTGCACTTTATGGGGTGGGAACAAGCTCCTCGGCGCCACAGCAGCTCCAAGGGCGCAGAGAAGGCCAAATCTACTAGGTAACCACGAATTGCCAAGCTTACCTCTCACTGGCCACGGCCCGCCTACCTGCCTCCAGAGGCAGAACCTCCTCTTCGAGTGAAGTGAGGTGTCAGGGAGGTGCTGGAGGCCCAGCAGAACTTTCCCTGACTTCAGCCACGTTAATACTGGGGCGGGGAAGAGTGCAGCCCCCTTCTTTCCTCCTCCCACAACCGCAAAGCAGTTCCTGGAGCAGCTAGAACAGGTGCAAGGGGGACAGACTTAGAAGAAACACCTGTAACGTTCCAGGATGCCCTAAAGTCTGCTTCCAGAAAGGCACTGACCCTTAGGGGCATCGGCCCTCAGGTGGCTGGGCTGTTTGCCTTGTTCAATGTGGCCTGGTTGCCATGGATGCCCTGGCAACAAACCTGGGGTGGTGAGCTGCCTCATCGCCCCACCTTCTAAGACTTACGTCTCCAGCGGTGTATTTTCCCAGCACGTTTCACGGGCTCAGGACACTCTGTGCAGGTCAGATCTCAGCCCACCTCATTCTCTCAGCCAGGGAATTCTTGGCCTGAGAAGGGGCTCAGCCGTGTTGCTTTCCTCTCGGACATGGTGCTGCCAGCCCCAGTGCCCTGGACACAGGCTGTAGGAGGCCCCTTACAGAGGCAAACTGAACCTGGGAACTGCTTCTTCGTCCTTCCCTTAGGTGTTCTCTTAGCCCAGGAGGAGGTTTCTGTCAAATCACAGCCCGTGCACAGATGCCTGGGTATCCCAAGCACCAATCCCACAGGTCTGGGGACAAGCTCTGAGAACCTCAAATGTTGGACTTGTCTTGGGCAAAGACAAAAGGGCAGCCTCACTGGCTCTTTGCACAGAGCAACCCCTGCCAGTCATGGAAAACCCCAATCAGGCTCAAGAGGCCTGGGGCTGACAGCAGACCACAAACTGGGATGAGCAGAGATAGCTGATCCCAACAGTGGAGGGGTGGCCAGGCTGGCAGCAGCTTTCAAACCATGACAGCACTGACCACATGCAATTACTGTGGTCATCATCCCAGAAAACCACTCCACCTGGACAGAAGCTCCCTTGTACATTAGACTCAACCCCATGCCTCGCAAGCAGCTGTGCCAGCCTCCAGCCCTCCTCACCAGGGCAAGAGCCACTGTGGGCTGGGTGGGTATTCAGGCTCCACTTCCTCCGGGCGCCCCTCCCCCAGCCCCGCACATCCCCACCACTTCAGCTTGTGTCCCACCTGGGCACCTCCAGCGCTGCTGGCTGAGGCACACTTGGGAATGCACTTGAAAACTCTTTGTAAGCCAGAAAGGATAAGCCAGTGGGATCTTCACTGGGAATAAGACCCTATTTCAGTATTCACTTTAATTCTCCAAGGACAGCTAGAAATTTTCTTCCTTTAATAAAAAATCCCAGACACACTTTGAAGTCCTAGAGAAAACCAGCAACAGAAGGAAGTGGACCACCCACTACAGGGGCGCTGTAGAGCCAGCATCATCGGGAAAGCTCCAGGCTTCACACCTGACACTGTCAGGGGCCAGCCTAAAAAAATAAATTACAAAACGCTGTTTGGGGAAGACACAGCTGAACTGTTTTTGTTTTTGTTTTTTCCCTCAGGTGCAGCAGGGATCGGTCGCCTACAAATCAGTCCGTGAACTGGCTGCCTTGGGGGCGTATCTAGGCATCAGTTCATTAATCTTTCGGATGTAGTCGGACTTTTCTGCACAGCCTTTGCACATCTCCCCCCAGTCGTCCAGAATCTTCTTTAGCTCTTTCACTCGGAGCTTCTTCAGGTCCACTGTGCTCAGGTCAATCTGCTTGTCTGGAGAAGAGAGCAGGGGAGTAACCAGCTGGGCAGGGGCAGCCACAGACCCAAAACATGCCAGGCTGGACCCCCCTGCATGGCCAGACCACCCCTAAACAAGCAGCCCTATTGGTCACGGGGCCAACAGTCCCAGACACACACACGTGTCAGTGCCCACTGCCCCCAGAGGGGGAAGTTGCCTCTTCAGCAAGAAGGCTAGGCTCACAGTGGCAGTGTCCACCAGATATGCAGTGTCGCCAGGGACAGGGATGGAAGTTACAGGGTTCTTAATGGAAGAATGTGGTTCCCACTACCCCAAGTGCCTCTTAAACACTCATGGTAGAGATCAAGACACTGCAGGATGACAGTTCCAGGGGTGACAGACTCCAGAATGACAGAGCAGACAGGTCTTGCAGCCCTAGTCTCCCAGCTAGGCCCTCATCCGCAGCTTACTCTCCATAACTGCTTGTGATCACAGAGACCATGAGCCAACTGACCCCTTCCAGGGTCACTCCCAGAAGTTCAGGCATCCCTGACACCAGTTGGGGAACACGGACCTTTGGACGCTCAAGTCACAATAAAATACATTGGTGACGCTGAGTTCACAGAAGAGAACAACTACTGCTGGCCCTGACTTTCTTCCCACCAGAGACCCGCTCCAGAGATGCGGAGGCACCTCAGCTCATGACCCGCCTGCTTGCACAGAGCCCTTCTTTTCAAAATGACAACGGTTGCTGGGCCTTCAGAGTCTGCATCCAGGACACACCTGCTAAACCCAAGGGATGTCAGACCACACCCCCTCTCTACCTCCAAAACTGATGTCCCCAACTTCACCCACACTAACAGCCAGATCTGCCTTCACCAACGTGCAATGCCCTCTGTGACCTGCCCATCCACTTGTCATGCCCCGGACTGCCTTTGCACTGCCTAGTTGTTCTGTCTGGAATGTTCTTCCACTCTCTTGGCTAATGCCCCACCTCCTTCGAAGTGCTGAACTGCTGCCTGTTTGAGACCTATTGTGATCTCCACCTATGACAATGCCAATCCAGAACCTGCCCCCACAGTCCCCAGTCGAGCACCACCTGCCATATTTAGCTATATAGCTCCCAACAGCTCTAGCTTATCAACCAGCTAGCAGGCAGACCCCATGATGCCAGAGTACAGTGTGCGCCACAGTAGGGCCTGGCCATACTCACCATACTTCAGCTCACAGATCTGGCTATCTTTCTTCTTGAGCTTCTCACAGATCTTCTCCACGGGGATGTGGTGGGCCAGTGGCTTCGACACCTCATTGATGATCTTGGTGGCCGCATCATCTGTGGCCCCAATGTAGTAACACTGCAGCAAGAAAGGACAACGGCCTTCAGGAGGTGCCACTTGAAAACTGTCTCCTCCAAAATGTACTGACATCTCAATACATCTTCCTTCTCTGCCAGGGCCTCATTTTCACAGGCCTCGCCAGTCCTGGTGGTCAGATGCACTCAGTGTGAGCCCCAAGCTCTACATTCATACCTGGTCCCAGAGCTGGCGGCTACCAAGTGAGATTAAGAGTCACCAGTGTTCACACCTTTAAGTAACAGAGACAGAAAAACCGGACTGCCAGGAAAATCAAAGCTACAAAAGGCACTGCTTCTCTGGGGCTCCCATCCTCAACTTGACCCTGTGTACACTTCGTCATCTCCTCCCATCCTCATGCCTGCCCAGCTCCTTTGGCCTCTGGGCACTCACAGGGGCAGTTCCCTCTGCCCAGGATACTCCTCCCCCACCGAAGGATGACCTTTCCTTAGAGAGGTCCTGGAATTCTCCAGAAGGTCCCCTCTGCCCTACGGGCCATTCTCTTCCTGCCACTCACCCCACTGCACCATTTCTTCTTCGCCTGTCACTTTTCTCCTCCCACATTCCCAGTGCCCAGCACAGAGTAGGTGCTTAGTCAACACAAACAGGATAAAAAGGGACAACTGCAGGGAAGGCAAGTCAGCCCCGCATTCCTTCACCAACAGAACTAACCATTTCTCCTGAAGAGATGAGGGGGCAAGGACTTTCACCCAGGCCTGTGAGGCAGAGGGTTAAAGGGCCAGTCACCGGCTACTCACCAACCGATTCTCTTTGCCTCTTGCTTCGCGGCAGAAGTTTATAAGTTCTTTTTCAATAGTGGCCGGTGAGAATGTGACATCTCTGTCTTTGAGGTCCTGGTAAAATCTTCCCAGATAAGAAACACAAACTGGAAGACAAGAGAGATGAGAGATGCTCAGCAATCACCCAGTTGCAGCCCAATCCGCCAGGAGGGAACTCGGTCAGCAAGTGTAGTAAGAAGCACAGAGAGGTGAATTTTTCCATCACCTGTTTTTCTCTGGTACCCACAGTTGGACAGAACCCAACTCCTGGGTGCTGGGGTCCCTTGGTACACCCAGGGCATACGGGGAACAAGCACCACTCAACGCCTCACAAATTGCCCCTTGGTGCTTCTTTCATAAAGTTTCAGCCGGGACTAAATGTGGCCTTGAAATGGATTCACTGTAACCCCTCATAAATGGGCATAGTGGAGGCTGAAGAACAGAGGATCCAAATGCTGTCATTTCCAAATACCACAACAAACCCTGAGGTGCGGCTTCGCAACGCCGCGGGACCCGGCAAGGTGCCCACGCCCACCCCCTGGACTCCTGACCCCGGCCGCTCCCGAGAGCCTCTGCCCAGTGGAGGGAAAGAACAAAAACACCAATGTTACCTCAATTTCAGGCCAAGCTTTCAACACGATCTAGTCCCACGAAATGTTTTCTAGTTCTGGGGTTGGCCCCTCTTCCGGCGGACCCCGCTGGGACCAGCCGCCACCTCCCCCACCCGTTCCAGCCCCAACCCCTCGGCAGCCAGACTAGCCCCGCCGCACGGACTTCGGCCCCACCGCACCTTCGCAGTCACCCGGCCGCAGCGCCCGGCTGCCCGGCAGCACGCTCAGAGCCAGCGCCACAGCCAGCCCGTGCGTAGCCCACATCCTCCTCCGAAGCCGCTGCCCGACTGAACCGCGCCCGCCGCGCTGCGCAGCCTCCAGGTCCACGCCTCGCGCCGTGGCTTTCCATTGGTGGGCGGTCTCTCGCGCCCTCCCACAGGCCGCGATCCCATTGGTCCACGCCCGCCAAAGCCCAGACGGGCGGCTCCACGCTGCCTTCCCCCATTGGATAGTGGTTACGCCCGCCCCCGGCCCTAGACAGTTGTCGGACGCTGATTGAAGCAGGACGGGCTGCCGGAAGCGGCTCAGCCGCCATTGTGGGAAAGGGCAACAGTAATGGCCGGGACTTGGCGACGGAGGTTCGAGGGAGGCTCGGTCGTGGTTTTGCGTCTGCTGAACAGTACCCCTTACCGCTGTGTTGGACCCCACATTCTCCCAGAAGACCCTGCGGACCTTTCCGTCAAGGGCCCAGAGTAATGGTGCAGGTCAGGGGCTCCGGTGTCAGCCGCGACCCAACTGGCCAGACAGGGTGGGCGGCCGCCGCTAGCGAGGCTCCGGCGCCTACGAGATCTGCAGACCATGTCCGGATTTCCCCAAGCAGCGCGGCTGTCCACCGCTTGCACCCGGCGCCCCGCAGCCGCCGTGCGTGGGCTGACAGACCGGGTCGGACGACCTCCCCTAGGAAGAGCGAGGGGAAGCAGGCCGCCTGGGATTGGGGAAGGAAATAGGCTTAGGTTTGTCCCCACTCGAGGAACAGGTCCCCGGGTCCGCACAAGCTCCAAAAGCCTAGCCGAGGCGGCTGGCCGCCGCTTGCATCGCAGCTGAGCGCTCAGGTCGTTGCCTGCCCTGGGCACTTCCTGAGGGACCTGGGGGTCCGCGCTCTAGCACTGGAGGCTGTTTCTTCTCTCTGGCTGCCTTCATTTCAAGTGCAAGCCTGGCTATCTGTTCTTGAAGGCAGGACGTGGGAAAGGTGGCTCTGTGCTTGTTGCAGAAAGATTTATAAGGGCAAAATGGGCTTGGAGCCCAGCGGCAAGGGTCAGAGAGGGGCACCTGTGCTGCTCCCATTCAGTGAATTCAGTGGGTCAGTATCAGGTATTCATCTTTAATTCACATCACAGCAATCAAGGGAGTGGGGAAAGGGGGGAATCAAGTGTCAGATATTTACATCTAAAATTCACATTACTTGTTGGATGTAGAACATGCTGCCACAATATATACAGTAAAATACCTCTTGGGACACTAGTACAAATTTTTTTCTCTTTAACTTTGCTCTCTGGTACAAGTAAGATCATTTTTAAACCACCTATTTTTTTTAAAACATAAATACACAAAAGAAATGGTTAGAAGTCTTATTTTAAATAAGCACAGAATGCCAGAGGTTAAAAACACATTTACAGGGCTGAATATCGATTGGACATCACACTCTATACATTTTTTGCTCAAATTCCTGTACAAATACACAGCATTCAAATAGGTATTTAGTTATTTTATTCTTTTTTTTTTTTTTTTTTTTCCCAAAAATTGCACCAAGGTAAAGCAGAGCTCTAGCTGATGCGAGTGTGTCGTTCAGGTGTTAGCAATACTGTCCTCACTACACGCTCATTGGGCAGTAGTGCAACCCCAAGAAAAGGAAGGTTCAAATAGGTATTTACAAATAAGCTTGAAAGAAGAAAAATCAGTTATTCACATTCTTTTCAGAGGACTCTTGCCTCTGGCCTCCCACTTCCCTTCAGACTGGCTGATTCTCCAACAAAAGGGATTTGAAATTTGTTCTTTTCATCCAATTAGGGAAAATGGAGAGCAAAACCAAACGTGACTCACCTTGCACAGAGGGAGGCCAAGTGAACCCACATGCCTTCCTTCCCCTCCCGTGCCACCTGGTGAAGGTGGATGTTCTTACATGATGACTGCCTCTTCCAGGGCCTGAGGTTCAGAGGTGCCCTCAAGCCTAAAGATATCCTCCTACCCACGAGTCAGGTACAAGGCTAGCCCCCAAATATTCCAACTCTTGGGAACACTAGTCCAGGCCTGCCCTCCCGGGCTGGGGCTGCTGTAACTTGACCCACCCTGCCCAGTCATCCTTACAGTACCAGAAAGGACCAACACCGGTGACAAAAACCCCCACGTGCCCTGAAGATAATGTGGCCTTCCACCTTTTTTAATAGATTACTTGCTAGCATTCCTTTTAAACAGCTGGTGTTTGTTTACAAGAGAAAAACGCCCTGACCATGGCCTTGTCTGAAAGGGGCTATGATGAAGGGGTGGGGTCTGGCCATGGAGGTTAGACAGGCCAGAAGAGCAACGAGGGGAGAGCACACCTGCTCGGCAAGGAGAAGGCAGCCTTGTGACCGTCAGAGTTGTGAGCTCAAGCAAAAGAAAGATTAAAGTCTATATGCAGACTTTTTAAAGTAACTAAGAAGCACCCTGGTAGAATACCATTACTTCCTCACCCTGTTCCCCCCAAATAATAAACCAAGAGGAAAATCGGTGCCCTGACCAGAAAGTTTCCCATGAAGATTCCATTGCGCTCTGTCCAACAGACTGGGGAGGCTGGAGAAATTGCCCTCCTGCCCACCCTGAACCCTGAGTGGTGGTCCCCACCGCCCGGAGCAGGTCCCCTGCACTTGGCCACTTGTGCACTTGACCACTTAGAGGGTAATTCAACTTGCATGGCTCCCTGATTCCAAAAGGAGAAGCTCCTTCCCACTCTGCTTATCCAGGAGCTTGCTGAACCTGACCATGAGTCCTCAGGGCTTGGAAGCCTGGCTGGGCAGCCAACCCCACTGCTCAGAGGTAGTGCTGAAAATCCCTGATTCAGGAGCTGGATGACAGGCATTCTGGCCACTTCTGAAAGCTCAGGATTTCCGGCCCCTGCCACTCCTTAACCTCACTCCTATACCAGCTAATCTTTCAACACGTGGTCTCTTGGGCCCTGGGGAGGAAGGTGGTTAGGGTAGTCCCTTTGGCTCCACACTCCCACGCAAGCCCCAGAAGGTGGGAGATAACCTTTGCAGCTCCATTTGTCAAGGGGGCTCCTGCAGGGCATGAGGTGTCTTGAGAGTAGAAAGGAGCAAATGGTCAGAAATAAAAGCGATGGAGGGAAAAATCCAAGCCAGAGCTGGAGGAAGGACTGGCTGGTGGGAGCCTGGCAGTGTGCCCGGGCATGCAGTCAGGCCAGGTCACATGCCTGAGCTGGCACGGTGGCCCAGCCAGCCCCTCAGTTGCATACTCCTGGACGAAAGAGTGGGTGGGCAGGTGAGCAGGCATTTGTGCAAACGGCTTGTAGCCCCCTTGTCCACCACCTGTGACATGTAGTCCACACGGTCCACGCAATCCCTGAATATAAACACGAGCTCTTCCATCCACACAGCAAAGAAGAGGTCCCTAGTGCAATTTCCATTCTTCTGTGCATCTCTACCCTGGAGGGAGGGCCTGGGCTCCCACCTCAGGCCCTGCAAAGCTGCAAAGTCATTCTGTCTGTGCAATATCTCCATAGAGCTCCATATGGTCTGGAACTGCAGGAGGAAGAAAGCATCTACTGCACAAAAAAAGAAAGGAAAACCCATAGAAATGGAAACGTAGAAACGAAATAAAAAGAGAAGCCACAACCCTCATGCTGCTGTGGCCTCTGTACATGGCAACACACAAGTTCACGGCAGTAGAACGTAGACTTGGGTGGCTCTCTCCTGAGTGCCAGGCCTCTCCGGATCCCTGGGGGAGTACTTGCTTTTTGGACCTGGAATGGTTGAGCCAGCTGCTCTGAGGGTGGTGTCCCAGCTGCCTCCCTGCCCCTCACTGTTCCCCTCGACCGTGCTCCCAGGCCATGCGGGCCTGCTCTTCCTTGGTGCTCCCAGGAGGCAGGGAGGCCTTGCGATGTAGGCCTCGAGGCCTGTCAGCTTCTTCGCGCAGCAGCACACCCTCGTCATGCTCCAGGGCTGGCAGGCGGGGGTGGTAGGGCTTGGGTGGCAGCGCAGGTGGGTCCATGGCGTCCTGAGGGATGACACATCCTGGGGCTGAGTGGCTTCGGCATGGCTGGGCCTTGATGGAGTCCAGGACAGCGGACTCGGAGAGGCTGTAGTGAACAGGGAGGTAGGGTGGCTCGAGGTCTTCGTCTGCATTCCAGGCCTGGCTGGGCATGGAGTCCATGGTGTCGGTTCGAGGCGGGACCTCTGAGGAGTGCCCAAAGTTACTCTCGCTCAAGGAGGACACACCGCTACTGGCACTGCCGGACAGTGTAGAGTTGCTGCCGTCCAGGCCCGACTGGGGGCTGGTGGGGGAGGCGGGGATAGGGTGCAGAGGAGACTGCAAAAGACAGGGCACCCACGTCAGAATCCCTCTCTCCAGACCGGCTGATGGCCACGGTGTGAAGACAAGACCAAGCCTGCGTATTAAGCAACTTCAGTACTGCCCTCAGCAATGGTGTGTCCTGCTTCTTCAGCAGCAGCCTCCCGTCCCCTCGGGCCCCAGCAAGCCCACGGAGCCTCAGAATCACCTGCACCTGGGGGCCACAACATGGCCCTGCCCCGGCTGTCAGTCATCTGTGCCCCTGCAGCCAGGCCCCAGGCTGCTGGCTGCAGCTCTGGGGCACTGACGGAAGGGCTGGGCTGTCAGGCTGGTTGGGGAGGTAGAAAGAACCCCAGCTGGCCATGGACCAGGCAAGTACATTGTGATGCTAAAACCTGTGATAGTCAATCTTTTCTAATTTGCAGGAAAGTTAATGAGTTTCTTCTTTTTAATAAAGCTTTGGTGCCTGATGCTGCTTGCTTTGACTACCAAGGGTGTCCAACCTGTGGCCCTTGGGCCACAGGCGGCTCAGGATGGCTATGAATGCAGCCAAATGCAGAATTGTAAATTTACTTAAACATTATGGGATTTTTTTGTGATTACGTGTCACAGTGTATTTAATGTATGGCCTGAGACAACTCTTCTTCCAGTGCGGCCCAGTGATGCCAAAAGGTTGGACACCCCTGGACTAGACTCTAGTTTAAAATGCTCTGTGACCTACCAGCCATGGGAGTTGTCAGCCACTGTGGTGTGCTGACAGCTTGTGGCGTCACCAGAGTTGCCCACATGCTCGGTACTTGTGTTCCTGTACCCAGGACCCTGTAAGTCCTCTGCCCCCATCACACTGACTGCAGAACAGACTGGGGATGGGCACCCCAGGTGTGGCTCTGGCCACACCCAGCGCCTGTCCAGCTGTGCTCTCCAGGATAGGGGCGGGGCAGGCTGGGTTGGTGCAGACCCCAGAGGCTGCAGAGCAGATGGCAGGACCCATCCTACAGCCCGGTGGGGCTGCTGCTGCAGTACCTTACCTTCCGCAGGGTCCGGGCGGGGAGGGCGGGGGGCGTGTCACCCAGTGGGTGGTGGAAGGCGTCAAAGTGTAGGGAGTAGTGACCTGCAAAGGGAACAGAACCACAGCCTGAGCTCAGGCCCCTCTCAGGCCACACACCGGCACACCTTACTGGGCCCGTTGGGCAGACTCGGGGGTCCAGATTGGCAATCCTGAGGCATTAGAGGCCACGGAAAAGTCTCTCTTTTCATTGAAGTTCTCCGAAACACAGGCTGCTGGAGTAAAAGGCACTCAGGCTACACGGGAAGTCAAGATGGTCGAATGTGCCAGGGTCCGTGGAACAAGAGGTGGCAGGTCTACGGCTCGCTGCTGGGTGATGACAGTCCCTGTTGTCTTCAGCGCTCCGGCTGGGAGGGCCTCACTGAGCTCACCTGCTATACTCAGAAACCTCACCGACCCCAAAGCCTGCAGGATCCTTCCTGTGGCGGGATGGTTTTTCCTTGGCTCAGTTAGCCCAGAGAATCATGTCTTCTCAGCCTGGGAGGCTGCTGCCCTTGCCCCAGAGCAGAGTTGGAGACCAGGGACTGTCTGGGGAACCCGCTGGAGATCTTCTTACCATGCAGCAGGCTTCGGGGAGGCACTGGGGGGCCCAGGATGCGCCCCATGTGGGCAGACAGGAAGGGCTGGGCCTCTCGGGCTCCGCTATCCAGGCTCCAGCTGCTGGGGGCTGCTGGCACCGCTGAAGGGTGGAAACACACGGCATGAAGGGGGGGTTACTTCTGGAGCCACCCTGCGGGAGAAGCCCTTCCTATGGGGCGTGGCTTTCTCCAGGTGCGCACTATGTACCCAGCACATGTGGGAGTGGCACGCTGGCCCCCAAGGCAAAAAACACTGGCCAAGCAAGACTCTGTAGCCTTCAGGAGGGAGTAGCCAGGGACCGAAGCTGCTTAAGACAGCAACAGAGTGAACGACGTCTGAAGAGCACTCGGGATGAGGCAAGCTGAGAGAAACTGCAGCAAGCAGAACACCTGCAGCTTCGAGGACTTGCTGGAAGAACAGAAGAGGTGAGAAAAAGAGTGTGGAACAGGCTGATGAAACTGGGGAGGAACAGAGAGACCACAGGCCACAGAGCTTCCTAGAGTTGAGTCATGCCTATGGTCAGGGCAGTCCCGTTCAGGGCCTACACCCCCACTGCCTCAGCCCACAGGGAAAGTGGGCAGCAGGGTGGGTGGGCGGCAGAGACTGCTCCTTCTGGAGCTGCTACACAGCCAGGGAGTAGGCAGGAACTGCCCCCAAAATTGAACTTACAAAGAGCCTGTGGTAACATATAAGCTTTACCCATTCCTGTTGCTTCTGTGCCTCCTGGCTGGGTTGGGGCTGCACAGGGTGTTTCCTAGGCAAGGACCGGTATTCACTGCTCCCCCGGAAGAAGTGTATAAAGCCCAAGTGTCATGGCCTGGGTCCAGCTGGACCTGCTTTCTAAGAGGTTAGGTTGTGGAGCCCATGGGTACTTTGGGGCACATAGAAAGGCCCAGTTCCTGGCACCCACGTGCCATGGATGCAGGCTGGAGCGGGCCCTGGACAAAGGAAAACAGGGTGTCCACCTATACTAAGAAAGGAGTCCAGTGCCAGAATCCCAGCCCCTCAGCCACAGCTGGGACGAGCAATTCTGCTGGAAGGAAGAGGAGGGATGACTGGACGACGGGGTCTGCGGGCACCTCTGCAGGAGCAGCAGAGCCCATGTGAATCCTGCAGCCGGCCCCTCCTGGACAAGACACAACTGAGAAGAAACAAGCTCTTTTTCTGAAGGGGCCAGGGAAGCACAAGCTCCCTGTGGGGCTGTCAGCAGCAGGCGGGAGCTCACAACCCAGGGGCTTGCTGCCCGGCTCTGTTCTGAGGCAGTCATAGTGCAAGTGAGCCTGAGAGGGCCAGGGTGCAGGTTCTTCCTGCTCCAGGTGCTGAGTGGGCAATGCCAAGACCTCCTGGGGCCTGCAAGCTCCGGAAGGGAAGGAGCTGGAGTATGGCCTGCAAGGAGAATGTGGCTAGGAGGGGACAGGCCCTCTGTGCTCCAGGGATAAGCAGAGCTGTCCGTCCTCTTCCCCTCACTGGGAAGGACCTAGCTTGGGCTTGCAGAAGAACACAGGGTAAAATGTCACCGGCTAAAGAGCCTCAGTTCTAAGCAGGACTGCCCAGCCTCATGGGGATAGCTGACAGATGGTGGCTGCAGGGAGGGTATGACAGTGATTGGGTGGGCAGGCACTCAGCTGTGGCCTGAAGAGGGGAAAGAATTCTGAATCCAATGAGCTTCAGGTAGATCCCACCAGAAAGCTCCTTGGAGAGCCGTGCCGCTCCAAGAACAGGACAGGCCTATCCTCACGCAGGTCTCTCTCCAAGCTGCAGCATGAGCTTCCTGGTCCTTAGCACTGAAGGGCCTCTCCCCCAAAAGAGCAGCCCCGTCTCCACAGAAAGCCACTGAATGTCAGGGAATAAGCTTGGAGCTAAGTCTGGGTGGATTCTCCCAAGGGGTCCTGACAGCCCAAGATCTCACACACACACCTAGGCCCTGGAAGAGCTGTGAGATTGCAAAAGTTAGCCAAAAGGGCCCACTTGCAGCCAGGAAGGCTGTGGGGCAAGAAAGCTGGCAGAGCCGCAATGATTTACAAAGGGGGGCCTCTAAGCCAGTCCACGTGAATCAGAAACCATCAAGCTTGCCCTGCAGCCTGATGTCGGCAAGCAGTGTGGCCAGGGGACCTTGCCATGCAGCACAAGTACACTGGGGCTAGCAGAAAACCCGTGGTGGAGTGACTTCTCCCAGAAGAAGAGGGGTGATCCCCACTGTCTCCTGGCCACTTCTTTCTCTGTGGGTGTGGACTGTGGTCCAGCACTGGCCCAAGGTCCCCAGTACACAGCCAACAGCCCTGAGGGTGGGCTTGCCTGGTCTGGGAGTCCCTGTCTGGAGAAGAAAGATACATGAAAGTGAGAAGTGGAGTCCTCAGAGTACTCGGGACCCTGGTGATGAGAGAATGGAGGCCAGTGTGTGAAGCCCCCTGGAGGATCCAGGTGGAAATGCAGGATGTTGCTACTCTGGCCCATATATTCCCTCTAGGAAAGTGCTGGCCGTGTGGCACGGACGTGCTTGCTCTGGGCTCAGCCTCTTTTCTTTTTTATTAATTTGAGAAAGATGGGAGGGGGGGAAGGAGGGAGAGAGATGGAGAGAGATGAAGAGAGGGGGGCACAGAGAGAGATAGAGAGAAACTGATTTGTTCCACTTATTTTTGTATTCATTGTTTGATTCTTGTATGTGCCCTGGCTGGGGACTGAACCTGTCATCCTGGCATACTGGGAAGATGCTCTAACCAATTGAGCTACCTGGACAGGGCTCAGCCTCTTTTCTGAGAAAATGCTTTCCTTCCCACATTTGGGGATGATATATCCAGCTTCTCAGTCTGTATCCAGTTGGCGTAGGGTCCGGTCTGGTCGCCAGCACCCATTCGATCTCTGAGCCTGTCTGTGCTCGTGGCCACTTCTGAGATTGCTCCACATCTCAGATGAAGAAAACCCATTGTGGAGTCTGGTCCTCAAGGCCAAAAATGCACCATCGTTTGGGGCACAGGTGCAGTGGTCCGGGTAAGCAGCATGTTTTGGGGATGTGCATCCTTGAGGCTAGGACGGCATCTTCAGCCAGAATTTTTATGCCCTTTGAGGTTGAGCTCCTGGTGCTGATGCCTGCCAGGCACTGAGGTCATGGACCAGTGTCTGTGGTACGTGAATAGGACATAGGCATGCCCCCCATAATGAGCAACAGAGCAACAGTGACGGTGAGGACAGCAGACTTGGTGAGGAGGTGGTGCAATGACAACAAAATGACAGCTTTAAAGGAACAGGTTCTGATGGGACAGCTGGTTGTACTGTTGGGGACTGAGTATGCTGTAACCTCTGACAGATGGAAGAGGGGAGGGTAACCTGCAGGGACATGGGTGAACAGGTGCCCAGGTTCTCTGTAGCAGGCATGCAGGCTTAGCAGAGTCCCCAGTCAGAGCAGGCTGAGCCGGATCCCCTCTAACTAACCCTGTTAAAACTAACTCAGGTCTCCATGTCTGGGGCTCGGGCCGCGGCCTTGCAGGTCCCAGCCTGGTTCTTCCGTCCACTTGCTGGAACAGAACCCAGGGTAGAACACCTCTATTGAAGCAGCCTCTGTTCTGGGGATTTCCCGGTCTCATGGTATATAGTTGATGGGCTGGCGATTTGTAGGATGGACCCAGCAGCTGCTGGCCAGAGCAGCTATAGGGGGACTGGACTCCCTCTGGGCGCCCTAGGCTTCCCTTGGACAGGGCTGTCTCTAGGAAATTCCTTTACTTTGGCCTGTCCTTCCCATTCCTCTTGGGTGTGCTTGGCTGCAGGCCTGTCCTGAGCAACAAGGAGAGGTCCCTGAGGGCCCAAGTTGAGAGGGTTCAAAGGGCCTGCTGAATTCTGAGGCTTGGTTTGGAGGCAGCCATGGGAGTGGTTGCCCCGTTTGCACATGGCAGCCTGAGGTGCCATAAAGGTGGGCTCAGGCAGGTGATAGCTGGGGGGGGGGGGGCCTCTCCGAGGCAAGCACTGGGGAGGAAGAGATACAAACTAGCAGAATACAAATTTTAGCAGCAAGCAGACACTGGCTAGAGAGAGTCCTGACTACAGGCATTGGTCAGGACTCTAGACAGACAGACAGACAAGCCTGGGTATTGGAGTTTGGCTCAGCTCTGGCCAGCTGGTGCTCAGGGACAGGATTCAGATGCTCAGGGTGGGGACACACACAGGGGAAGGCCACCTGGGTAGAGGAACAATACCTTTTTCAGCCACAGACAGATTGGGGTCACTGCAGGGTTTACAGGCTCCAACCACTTGCTGGAACAGGGCTGGCTGGAAATTTGGCGGCTGAGGGAAGGAAAAAAAACATCAGAAAGGGTGAAAACCACCAGCTGCACCATGGGGGGCAGTGTTGTGGGACACGGGAGCAAGGCTGTCCCAAAATCAGGTGGGGGAAGTCAAAGCAGTGGTATGGCTCATGCTTGAGACGTGCCGAGAACGTCAGACACCATGGGAGGGCTGTCTGGGGCCACGGGCCCCAGGCACTGCCACGTGCAGCACGGAGGCACCAGCCTCCGGTGTCTGGCTGGGCTCCTGCTGTCTTGCGTGTGGCCGAGAAAAGGAAGATAGGTACTGAGGGTGTCTATATCTGTCTGTCCTGCCAGAGAGACACAGTGGCAGAGAGGGTTAAGGGACCCCTTTCATTCTGAGCACCGGAGAGTTTGGGCTCCTGGAGATCCCCGCACAGGTCCACAGCTGCCCTGAGAGAAGAGAAAGGGCAGCACTCACGCCCCGAGTCACAGACAGGACCCCCTGTTTCAATGGGCGGCTGCCAAGCAGACCTGCTCCCTTCACCTAACAGGGCCAAGCAGGGGGGTGCCGCTGAGAAGCTGCTGGCACTCGGGAACCAGGGAACAGGTGTTTGTTTGGAGGTGACTTTCATGGGTTCTGTGAGAAAAACAGGGCAGACTGGATAGAGGAAGGGGTAATCCCTGTAGTCTGCTCCCGGCCCCCAGGTAGAGTATTTGGAAAGCTGTGCAGATGGGATGGAAAGTTGACCCAGCAGGCGGTGAGGGGCTTCGGGGGAACGGATGGATGAAAGAGGCAGAGTCTGCCCTGATGAAGATGCCTTTCACAGACAGGGAGGAAAACCATCTTCCAGACCCACGTGCACCACCGCCTTCTTCAAACAGGACAGAACCAATGCCCTTCGCCGGACTCTTCGGGGATGAGGAGTTCAGGAGGCCGGCCAGAGGACAGCCAGCCACACAAGCAAAGGCAGCTCCAACCCTGCCACCATTCTACCCACACTGCCCTCCGTCTGAATCGCTGGTCCTCAGATTCACACAGGCCCCGTCCAGGAGACTGCAGCCTTCTGAGGGTCTTACAGCAGGAGTGGGCAGGCATGGAGGACTGTGCAGAAAGCAAGCCCAGCAAGGGCGATGAACGAAGCCCAGGCCCACACACTGGCAGGGAGGGCAGTGATGAGGCTGGATGGACTACCTGTCCATTCTCCAGGATGGCTGCCGGATACATGGCACTGCTCGGACGGTCCCGGTGCGTCGGCAGCAGCAACATCATTTCCCGGGCGTGGCGGTACTTATCTGGCAGAGAGGGAGAGCCTGTAACCAAGTGAGAACAATCATGCACAGATGACAAGCCACAGAAGGAGTGCCTGGAGGGCAAGCACCCTTGGGGCCAGGGAACCAGGTTGGTGTCCCCGTGCAGTTGTGGTGAGGGTGAGCTCAGTAAGCACAAGAGGAACGAAGCAGAGTGGTAGGTAGATGGTCTTGGGGACTACGCCTCTCACCCCAGTGGAGGCAGATATATATGGGGGCAATAGTGATGCAGACCCACCATGCTCAGAGGCAGATCATGAAGAGCTGAAGGCTGGCACCAGGCCCCTAGGGGCCCCTGCACCCAGCACTATGGGGAGATGGCTATGGCTTGGACGCTGGCTTCTCAGGGGCCCAGACACAGGCACAGGCCAGTTTGCAATGGCGCCATCACAGACACAGACACTCGGATAGTGTAGCGGCACAGTTCTTAACTTGACATGCTGTGTCTCCACACACTTACCTTCTCCAGACACCACGGGCCCTGTTCTCAGCAGCCCCCTGCTACCTTTACCCAGAGGTTTTCCTCCCAGATTCCAGGCCCCCAGCACCTGGCCACTCTACTGCAGCCCTAGAGCCAGACTGCCTGGGGACCCAGGTGGCTCTCTGGGGTCTCTTACTCCGAGACGGCCCTTCGGTGACCACGGGGTCATGAGGTTGGTCTGGGAGCTGTGCAGCTTTCACCCAGGCTCTCAGATTAACTTGGTTCATGCTCCTCTCTTGTGGGGCCTCCGTGTGACCTCCTCTGGCCACACAGAGGGGCTGTTCTGAAGGCCAGATCACGCCGGATGTAGTGTGGCCCAGTCCCCATCAATGCATGCCATGGCTACAGGTCCAGGAACTGGTCCAGCTGTGGTCCCCGAGGGGACCTTCCACAGAAGTAGTCCGACTAACTTCCTGGCTTTCCTCCAGAACAGACAACTTGGAAGTTCCTCTGAATATGTGCACCACTCATTGAGTATCCAAGAAATGCCAGCATATCCACGAGAAACTAGGGGGGGTCATGCCGACCTTCATGGTACGGTCACCTAGACTCCAGTGCCCCTGCTTGTCCCCTGGGGTCTGGCTGGCCCCAGTGGCTGAAACCCCTCTCTGCAGTGCTGGAGAGCTGAGACCAGTCCATGGCTCCATCTGAGAGGTGAACCTGCAGCTCCGGAGGCTCTGTGTTCCCGAAACTCAGGGTCTCTGGGGCCTGTGAGCATGTGGTGGAGGCATGGGTGGGGCCCAGACAGAAAGGGTCTTCTGCAGCCAGCCTGCCCCTCGCACTTTGGGAAGCCCCTCTTGTACTCGTTGTAGTCTAAGACAATGAGGCTTAAGTGCCTTGAGGAAATCGACCCAATGCACACCAGTCATGAAATGATTGCTTGTGTGATCTCCTTCCACAGAGGGTCCGAGCAATCCTGTTCGTGGAGCCTCAAGGCTGGCTTTAAGACCTAGTCTTAGAGACATCTTCATTGATAAGGGAATGGGTCAAGTATGCTTTCTGGGAAAACTAGGCCTAGCTTGCTACTATTTGGTAATTTTTTACTGATGTCGATATTCTGTCTTAGAACTTGTGCTCTAAGGCAGCCTCAAGAAGATGAGTGTTAATGAGCACAGGAGAAAAGCCCCCACTCCCACTGACTTCCATCGAGCCTTCCCAGCAAGACGCTTCCTGGGCCGTGTTGGCTGCAGCTCTGAAGGGCGGCCCTCCCCGTAGTGCGCACAGAAACAGACAGGACACCTTCACACCAGCTTTGTTAAGTCAAACTCACACCTGTGAGCACTGCTACACACTGTGTAGCAGGTGTGCAGCTGGGAGGCACATCACCTTTCTCAGATTGGCTGCAGTTACCAACCTCACAGAGTTCAGGGCCTGGCTCAGCAGGCCAGCCCTAGGTCAGTGCCCTCCGCATCCTGAGACGTGTTAGGGGGCTAGGAGGGAGGGCAAGCAGGCGGCAGGCCCAGAGGAGCCACTGAAGCCTTGTGTCCCTGCCTTGGCAGCCCTCTGGTGCTGAAACCAAGGGCTGCCCTGTGCTGCCACAAAATGCCCCAACTCCACATCTCACTCCCCTCCCACTGCCCTCTAGCCTGAGCAGCCAATCCCACAGCAGGAGACAGTGACGGCTACTTTTCATGAAAACATTTAAACTGTTTTTAAACTGACACGAGGGCTTCTGTGTCCCAGGACCTTAGAATTACCTGAGTTGCAGTCTGGTAAGCCCCAGAGAGGCCAAGTCCCAGTAGACTTAAGTCCTGCAGGGAGGGTAGATTCCAAGCCCTGTTTCCTAGTCCCAATCAGCCTTTGACCAGCAGGGGGAGCTGCCAACTTACAAGAATTTAAACTGTGCCTGGCATACCGTTTAGCTTGAAGGTTTCCGATGCCCCAGGGACCACAGCAGAGTGTCAGTGGGCCCCGTGGCCACTGGTGTCATGACCACTCCTGCGAGTGGGAAAGGGACTCCACTGTGCAGTATTCTCCAGAGCACTTTCTCCATGAAAGCCTTCTCACCCATAACACCAGACATCACCCCACCCCAAGTGGAGCGAGGACTCCTTCCTTCTACTGTATTCACCATGCTCTTCCAGTGACACTGGGCCAGCTGTCTGTGTTCTCTTAAAGGGTCTGACACTGCCTGGTCCGTGGTGCACCCAGTTTCCTCAGACGGGCCCACACACGGATGTTGTAGCCTCGAAGTAACTTCCTGCTCTTAACTGCCTCTGCCCTTATCATCATTCTCTGCTTTGGGCCAAATTCCATTTAACCATTTTGTTTACTTTTATACTTGATGTCTACTCCAGAAATGGGTAGGACTCCAGAAGAAGAGGACTTCTACAGCTGTGCCCTACCGGGTACTCTAGATTTGGCCACTGTGACAGCTTGTCTCCAGAGATGGTGACCGTCAGTGCCTTGTCCCCTGGACACACACGCCACTTCACATGTGAGGGAGGTGCAGTCTCACTCCCCACCCTGGTATCCGGGTTGGCCTCAGTGACTTGACTAGCCAACAGAACGTGGCAGAAGGGACACTCTGGGATTTCTAAGGCTGAGGAGTTAGAAGCCTTGTACCTGGTCTCTTGGAATGCTTGCTCTGGGGAAAGTCAGCTGCCTGCTGTGAGAAGCCCAAGCCACCGGGAAAGGCCACAGGTAGGGACTTGGTCTGATGGCCCCAGCTGAACACCCTGCTGACACTCACTACCACCTGCCAGCCATGTCAGTGAGCCATCTTGGATGTCCAGCCCTGTTGAGCCCTTCTAATTCCAGCCCCAGGTGACATCTGACCACAAGCTCAAGAGAGACTGCAGTGGGAACTGCTTCAATGAGCCCTGTTAGCCCACAGAACCATGAGTGACGATAATAAATGGTTGTTTTAAGCTACTAAGTTTAGGGAGGTGGTTTATTATGCAGCAATAGATAACCAAGCCATCAGAAATAAAGAGGGATGATTTCCAAACAGGGAGAAAAGAATTTCTCTATTCAACTCTGATGCCGCAAGAGCCACGCAGACCCTCACTGAGCACTCCGCAAAGCTCGGTGAGTGAGCGGGTCGTAAGTGGTCAGCTGAAAGGACAGAGGTGGCAGTGGCCCACCTGTGTGGTCCCTGCCGGTGTCTCTGTTCTCTCCAGGGCACTAAGGACCAGGCACAGCCTACGGGACGTGCCTGCACAATGTCAGAGTGGAAAGGAGTTAAAATATCTATTCTCTGTGGCCTTCTGTTCTCACCGACAAGCATGGTTCAGAGATCTGTCTTCGGCAAGAGCAACCACATAAAGACTTGGAAACGGTGAGCACGTCTCAGAGAGTGGTCAGGTCCAGACAAAAGCCCCACGATAGATTATATTATGGAACCTGCTTCTGCAGTTCTGTTCAGGAGCAGGTACCTTAAGACAGTACAAATGCTGACCTCGAGACAGCACTGATGGTGACAGCATTGATGGCTAACTTCTCAGGGTTTCCTTCCTTTTTATTCTGAAAGGAATCTTTTGAAACACAAATACTTGACACAAATCACTGTTTCTCTTTTATATTTGCAGCCTTCACATATCAACAAATCTTCAACATGTACCCAACTGACGGTTCATTTGTCTTTCCTAACATTAGCAATGCCTGCTTCCGAATGCTGCTCCCCTTTTCCGAGTGCCAGTCCATGTTAGGAAGGCAGCCAGGGAGCAGACCGGGCATCAGACTGACAGACTGACTGCGAGTCTGAAGGCTTATACTCCGTATATGGTTTGGCCACGAACTGGCTGGACAGCCTGAAGGCCCTCGCACTGGCCCCACAGAAATGAGGGGCTGGGCTGGGTGCTTCAGGTGAATTCGTGACAGTGCCTGCTGCAATCCTATCCTCATCTGCTGAGGCTTTTCCTGATGGGCCCCTGCATCTCTCCCCAACTCTGCCCCCATTCTCTCCATCACTCCTATTGTGGAACTTAGAGGCTGGTATGTTTTACAGAGATTTTTTTCTTTGATGGCCCTCTATGACACAGATTGGTGCTGTTTTCCTTTGTCTTCCTAAGAGTAAGAAGAAAGACTCCACCCCTCTGAAGCCTGGAGGTAACAGCCAGTGCCTGGCTGGCAAGCTCCTACCACGCTCTGTTAGGATCCTGCACAGCCAACCCCGCAGCACTGCAGCTTAGTTACCACGGCTGATTTCCATCCCACTGCAAGTGTCTGTACTAAAAGGGCCAGAGAGTCAAACTTCACTGCAGTAACTACAATCAGAATGTGAAAAAGATACTGGCTCTCAGAGAACAAGATTTACCCTTTTGAATAAGAAATCAAGCAAAATTTGGCAAAGTAAATAGCTTTTCAAAGAGCTATCCTTCCTGATTAAGCCTTTCCCAAATGACCATTTTTGGGGGGTTGTTACTGTTTAGAGTAACATTTTCCAGGGTTAATTTTAGTATTCAAGTTTAATTTTTATACCTTGCCATGAGGCTTGATTCCTTAAGACTCACTTTTGCCTTGACCTTTACCTTTACTCTTGCAAACATTTCAAGGGAAAAGAACTGAGCTCCTCCGCGGCGGTGTCCTCTTACTGAGGTGGACAGGGGAAGGCTGGCCATCTGGGTGGCAGCTCAGCCGCAACCACTGCTTAGAGCAGGGTCTGACGGCAGCCAGAGAGCAGCGTGGAGCTGGAGACCCTGAGTCCCTAGCGCTGGAAGCACAGGTAAGCATGCGCTCAGAGATACAGCCACAGATGACAGGAGGACACATGGGGCTCAAGAGGCCCCTTCTTCTCCCTTCTGCAAGCAGCGCCCTGCCATCCTTACCTCGGGCACTGGAAGGGGCAGAGGTAATCATCTGGGATGGTGCTGAGTGAGTGGAACTCAGGCTGGAGGAAGAAGGGCTTGCTTGGGATGAGGACAGAACAGAGACGTTGGTGACTGAGCCCTGGTACCTGGGGTTGGGATACACGAGCTGCAAAGGGAGAAAAGTCAGGAGGACAGAGGTCTCAATGACCAGGATTGTAGGACTGGACACCATGAGGTTCCCAGACCTGGTGTCTGATGCCGTACCCTAGGCCCTGGTGGAGGCCAGGCTGGTGGCCGGCACTAAGGGTCACCCGCACCACCCATGGAGCAGGGCTGCTGGGTCGATTCTAGTGATGGTGCCCACAGATGAAGCAGGACTTAGCCATCAGGAATGCCAGGCAGGAAGGCAATCTGGCAGAAGACTGTAAAAGCAGCCAGGACCGAAGTTGATTTTCCTGTTTGGGAACCAAGGCCTGAAAATAGCAACATGGATGGTGTGGTGGAAAGCAGTTTTGCTACCTCTGGGTGTTCTGAATTCAGTAACTGGAGAACCAGGCAGGGATGTCGGCCCTCAGACCAGACCAGCCAGGAGAGAGGTGAGTACTCCAGATACAGTGCTCTGGCCCCGTCCCCTCGAGCAGCTCTGGTACCTGCATGTGGGGGTACAGATCCTCGGGAGCCTCGCCCACAGAGCCGTCGCCCAGCATCACAATGTTTCCCGCTTCACTGGATGCATGTGAGGAGAGAGAGGAGGATGAATGGCGACCTGTGCCCATCAAGTTCATGGGGCTGTGAACAAGAGTAGGAAATGGGGAGGAGTCAGGTGGGGAGCAGAGAAACCTTGCTGGGTGGTGGGGGGACAGGAGAAAAGGGTGTGCCAAAGTCGACCCCAGCCTCAGTTGCTACTGATCTGGAGGGTTCCGTAGCTGATGCTCAAATCCATCTGAGGTTGGGAATAGTCCCAAACCAACCCTCCTGCTCAGGGGCCCTGTTATGGGAGGACCAATGGGAGACCGGCACAACCTCTACCTAGAGCTCAATGGTTTATGGCCACCCATTCTGATAACATCAGCAGGCTCTCAGAAGGAATGAAAGAGATCTGCTGAATCAGGTCATGGATCCGAGGTCCTTTGCTATGCATGTTAATCTGAGCCAGCGACCACCCTCCGCTGGGCTCTGCTCTTTTGTCAGGGTGCCTTCCTGCTAGGAAGTTATCAACATAGCTGGCTGTAAACTATCTCTGGGCTTCCTTTCTCATCTGTGGTCACAGGCTTGCCAACCGCTCTCCTCTACCAATAAGAGGCATTCATTCACTCCTTCTCACTGGCTCAGTGCCTACTCTGTGCTGACTTGCTGCTCCCACTGGAAACAAACCTAAGGGAGGGGCTCGTTCCCTGGCCTGGCCTTCCTGCCCTGAAGGCTCTGAGTAGCCTCAGATGAGCCCAGGCAGAACAGGACTCCTGGGTTGAGAGCAGTGACATCTCGATGCCCCCTTCACCATGTTGTTCTCTTCCTAAATACCCATTGGTGATCTTCATTCTCCTTGGGATCAAGTCCAAAGGCCTGAATGAACAAGGCCCACTTGGAGCTGTGCCTGGATCCCTCTGTGCCCTGGGATCCTACAGTGCAGCCACTTGGCTAGACTTGCAGCTGACTGGCTGGCCTGCCCACACCCTGAGGTGTCTCCACAAGTTGGTTACTCTGCCTGGACCTGTTCCATCACCTCCTACATCAACTCTTTTCTGCCTTCAAACTTCTACTCATCCTTCAAGATTTACCCCAAATGTCCCTACTCTGGATTCCCACAATACCATGTATTCTCCTTTGTCACCCAGGGTGACTGGATGTACAGCGTGGTCCTTGTGTACATGGATAAGAGGGCATGTGAGTGAGTATACAGGCACTATTTTGGACTTCCTTGCTCTGACCTTTGACATTCAGACTTACCTCTGTGGAGGGGATACCCCTGAGCCCCAAGGCCGTACCTGTGCCGGTGGGGCATCTTGATGCTCTCAGGACTCATGGGGCTGTGGGATGCCAGGATGTTGCCCCGGGGGGTGCTGGTGCCTGAACATGCAGGACTTAGTTTGTCCAAACCTGGAAACTCCTGTTGAGAAATGAATGCCCCTTTATCAAAGAGTAAACAAAAAAATAAGTGATTAAGGGCTGAGAAGAAAGAGCAGGCTAGTGGGAAAAATGTGGGGGGAAAAAAGAACCATATATTGTGAACTGAACCAGAACTGCTGAATTCTTCTGGGAAATGACTTTCATGACTGAAACCCCCCCCTAACCACAGGGGAGCCCTTGGAGTCCCCATGGACAGAGCAGGTCAGAACAGGCTGCAGGTGGCCTGAGTGCGTGGGAGGGTGTGTGCAGGCCTCCTCGCTACAAAATTAGGCAGAGCAGAGCTGGGCAGCAGGAGAGGAAGAGCTGACTATCAGTTGTCAGTCGGCGGGCATCTCTTACATAAGGACCGGGGGTGGGTTTTATTGGATTGCTAAATGGACCAGCTCTTAGTGACGTGGGTTAAGATGTCTGTGACAAAGTTTATGGGGAGATAGGACACAAAATCCTGATATAACTAATTGAAAAACAGCACAGTTATATTTTAGCATAATTAAATTCTTATTAAGTATGTATACATCTTAGCAGAAACTTTTTATTTCAAACTCTTCTGTGTGACTGCGCACTGGTTTGTGTCCCTATTTGTGACTCTGAGGAACAAAAAGTGCAACTGATCAGGTTTTCTCAAGTCCTTCCCCATCTCCCTCCTTAGGTCCACAGGGGACGCTCCTAAGCTTGGCCTAAAGAAGTAGCAGGCCTTCTGACCCCTTGTTCCAGAGCATGTAGAAGGCTGACATGTCCTTTTGCAGCCAGCGAGGACAGCTCCTTGTGTGCCCTAGCTCCACTGTGAGTGAGCATTTTGTGCTTTTTGCTGCAGTGACCTGAGTACCTGCAAGGCAGAGAACCTCCCCGGCCCCAAGGCCAGGCTCTAGCTTACCTTGAGTTACCTGCTGTGACAAAGAAGTCTGCACACAGCAAAGACCAGCCAAGCCAGCAGGAGATACAGTAGAACGACAGGTAATGGAATACCCATCAAATTCAGTAACACTACCCAAGTTCTTTACCAAATGGCCATCCAAATTTTAAGGGGAAACATAAAAGACTTTTTCCCTGCATGTTTCACCTTGAAGTACCAATGGAGAATCATTATAAAAAGGCATTTCAGGCTTGATAGGCTTTTCTTTGGAAAGTGTGCTGACTTCTCAAACTACAGATGAGCTTCTTCTTTATATTCTATACTGTCCACACTCATGCAGAGACAGGCGAGGCCTGTGCTGAGGACCTAGAAGGACTGAGAGGACCAGAATCTCCAGCCTCTAAAAACAAGGCAAGTCAACCCCATTAAGTCAGGCCCACTGAGCTGAGTGGTCCAGCCCTTCCCAGGGCCTCTGCAGCAAGTGGTGATGCCTTGAAGGGGTAACTTCTTATCCACAATGGCCTTGCCCAATACTGACCGGCTTTACAACCCTCGCTCCCTTCTACCAAGGGATCACGGGTAATGAGAAGAGAGCAGCTGGTAACTGGGCTCACAAGCCCTGAGATCTGGCACTCCGTCACCCTGCTAAACAGGACGGCTTGCTTCTCTAGAAAACACATGGAGTTGCCCTGGCTGTTGTGGCTCAGTGGGTTTGAGCAATGGCCTGACTGCTGGACCAAAAAGTCATCAGTTTGCCTGAGAACCAAAAGGTCACCAGTTTGATTCCCAGTCAGGGCACATGTCTGGGTTGTGGCCAGGTCCCAAGATGGGGGTGTGTGAGAGGCAACCAATCAATGTTTGTCTCCCTCTCTTTCTCTCTCATGTCCTCTCTCTCTAAAATTAAATAAATAAAATCTTAAAGAAAACATAGAGCTATCCCCATGGTTGGAAATGAGGTGAGGGTATATGAACAGGGGTTCCAGACCATATGAACCCTATTTTCAGTCGGCCAACATTTCCTGTGAGACCCCTGAAGGGAAAATAGTCCTGAAATAGAGGCTCTGCTTCTGCTTGTCTGCATGAGCACTGGGGCCAAACCCTGCCATTGGAGGCCTAAGAGCTAGGCCAGAGTCAGGGAGATTTCCTGGGTCCTGAGCCAGCCACAGATTTGCCTGACCCCTCTAAGAGCAGACGATATGAAAGCACTCTCCACCCTAGGCTTTCTCAGGTGTCAGCCTGGGTGACCAGACATATTGGAAGAAGAGGGAGAGAAGGAAGGAAGGATACTGGAGGCAAAAGGTAAAGCGAGGGATTGGGGAGAGGGAGGGAGAGAGAAGGGATAAAGATGGGGAGGGAGGAGGAGAGAGATGGGGAGAGTGGCTGGCTTAGACTATGCCTTACCTCTTCAGGTTCTTGGGATGAAAAATATCTCCAAAGAGATCTCTACATGTGGGCCAAATACTTTAGCTCTTTTCTTCCTCACATGAAACCTCTCTTCACCGGCACAGTACCTTGAAAAAACGTTCTTTGCCCTTGAATCTGACTTCTCCTTAGGGAGGGAGTGAATGAGGGGATCCTGGGCATCTTTCCCCTGGATAGAGTACCCACCTCTGCAGTGGATACAGCTTTCCCTTCACATCCCCTCTCCCGCCCACTCTCCTGTCGCTTGTGACACAGGTCTGAAGAAGTGACCCCTGGTTCAACTACAGCAGGGGCAGGGCAGGGATGAGCTTACATGGTAGAGACTGGCCCGCATCATCTGGAACTGATCGATCAACTTCTTATGGAGAGGGCGCATTTCTGGGTGCACGAACTTCTCATGAACTGCCAGCCCAACTCCAAGGACATGGACCTATTAGATGACAGACAAGGCCACTCTGTTAGCCACAGAGCCACCCTTGAGAACTACAGCCATTCTGCAGGACACAGCCTTTCCCTCCTGGCTGCTGGCCTCTAAGCCCTGCTAGACACACCTGTTCTTGCATGAGCTCCTTGAGCTGGGTGATCTTCTCAGCATCTCCTGGGTGCTTAGTAATATAATCTTTATCAAAGAAGGCCTGTGAAAGAAAAGGCCAAATCAGAAAAACTCTCTTCCCAAGACTACTACTTAGATGGGGCACAGGAAGTTTGAGTCTGAAGGTGCCACGTGAAAGGCAGCTGTGCTGCCGCCTCACAGGTGTGCACACCAATGCACCCCCAGTGGTGTGCTTGAACTTCCTGCAACCACAGGTATGTTTTCTGTGTCTAAGAAGGGCTGATGGGTGGCTAAGTCCTTTACGGCTAGATGGCCTGGTGGCCAGGGTGTGGGAACCAGTGTCTTAGCCTGCCCCCAACTCAATTCTTTGGAAAGTGCTGGGCTCCAGGGCTCCTCTTGGGGGCCACTTAACATGCTGCCATAATCAGAAAGATTACCTATGTAGCCAGAGTTCAGAGAATAAAAAGGAAGAAACTACCCAGAGATGTATCGCAGAAATAGGCAGGTGTCCTGTTGGGAACTTAAAGCCTCAGCCCAGAACCATCTCAGTCAGCGGAGGCACAGCTGGGAGAGGGTGAGCTGGGAAGACTGCCACAGAAGGCTGGCTGCCGTGTGGGCCCTACTCACCTCTTGGTAGCGCGCGATGCCTCCGTTGACCGCTGCGTCAATGACTCCATTCAGGCACATGCTGAGCAAGTTGATGTTGCCGTGCACCTGCTTGTGCTGGTACTGGCCAATCAGGGCCCGCAGCTCCTGGTTTTTGTTCTCCACAACTTGGATGGCATTCTCCAGGGGGCTCACCTCCACCTGGGGCACATACCACCCAGTGTCAACACCAGCACAAAGACAGTCCCTCCCTCATCAAAGTCCTGTGATGCTGCCTCCCTGCCTGCTTCTGTGGACTTGACTCCCTGGGCCCTTTCTAATTTTCTCTGCTGATTTGTACGCACTGAGAAGGGAAGCAAACACCAGTTTTGAGGTCAGAGAGCTCTGGATTCCTGAACCTAGGAGAAGAGTGTCCTCATTCATGAACTGGGAGACTGAAAGTACCTGCTGCCTCAGGGCGCTGTGAGGACTAAATGAGAGGAGGCATGCAAAGCCCCCAGTACAGGACTGACCCACAGAAGGCTAGGCCAGGCAGGTGGCCAAAGCTTGCTTGCCTTTTTCAATTCTTAGAGAAAGGTCCTGTTGGGAACCGCCCTGCCTGGTTTCAGAAGCTGTAATCCCCCATGGCTAAGGCTGAGTAAAGGACCTTGGAACCAAAAGCCAATTAGGAGACAAAGCTTATCTTCCTTGTAGGGGAACCACCTCTGCCCCCTTTCTCTTTACCCTGCTTCGCCCCAGGCAGATGACTGGTTAGCCAATGATCAGTAAGATTCTGCAAAAGAGGGATGACCTAAGACAGGCACTGTTGTGAAGGGGCCCTCAGGGAAGGACTTGGGGGGCTATAGAAAAAGGAGGTGATGGACTCCCGTCCCTTGGCTTTGACATAGCCTGAGTCCTCATTCTGTCTGCAAGAAGTCTCCTAATCTCTTGGCTGCTTTACTTCCCCTGCCTGATTTAAGGCTGAAACAATACTGGAGGTGGGTATGCCTGTGCTAGAAAGGGTGGGTTCCCTGGGGTGATCAGGCCTAACAAAGAATGCATACAATCCTATGAAACCTACTTTGCTAATACCCTCAATTTAAATGATAAGGGTCCAAGCAGGAAGTGAGTTTACTCCCCAAAGTTTTATGGCCCTTTAACTATCTGACCCTGACTCACAATAAGCCCTCAGAGTTCTTTGAATGTTATCTATTGTTTAATCATTTCTACCTGACAATGACTGATGAGCTTTACGTGTATATACGCCCTGCATTCTTGTGCAAACTGAACCCAACCTGTCAAGGCAAGGGTTGCAGTGCTCTCCCCTCGAGAGAGTGGCCATGCTCTCTTTTCCTCCACAGGACTCAGTAGTCCGTGTGAATTTGTCTCACTTCCTCCCTAATGCCGCAGATCCCAGAAGCTGGGATCCGCATCACGTTCCTAAAGCCCGGGCGGAGGAAGCAGCTGTGAAGACCAGCCCCATCTGTAGCAGGGCTCACCAGTTCCCTCCTCTCCACTTCAAACCACCGAGAGATGCCGGGCAAGCTGTGCGTCAGGGTCAGCGTGGTGCGCTCGATCCACAGGCTCTGCAGGGAGGGCACAGGTATGTATAGGCCATTAGGTAATTTTTGCCACACCCCATCTACTCCAGGGATGACACAGTGGCGAATTGTCAAGGAAGTGGGGCTTCCCTGTTTGCTATGAGCATGGTCCAGTTTTCCCAGATTTGTTCACCTTGAATTCATTCTCCTTGTCCTTGGGGCCTTTGTGAAAAGGCCTGTCGTACCGGAACTTCCTCACATTATTGACACGGTAGAAGCTCTTGACGCGATCTGGAACCCTGTCCATCTGCAGGACATCCACAAAATCTGGAATGGGTGTCACTGCATAGATCTGCAGGTCTGGACAGGAAGTGAAGGGGGAATCTAGACTTGCCAATGAGATGGACTTGAATGGCTGACCCCTGTCATCCCCCAAAGGAGAGAGGAGCACCACAGCCGCTGTCCCTCCTGGCAGGGGTGGCAGCACTCGAGGAGTGGATCAGGCCCGAGCACAGTCAGACCAAGTCTCCGACCTGCAGCCCTCCCCTAGGCCTGTAGCGCGTCTCCAGAGTGCTCAGCCAGGCTGAACTGCCAGCCACCAGGGCTCTCCAGTGCCCCTTCAGTTCGGAAGGGGAACAGGCCAGGGGAATACAGGTAGTACCCACCCCACAGCAGTGAGAAAGTTGTTGGGGCCTGCCCACTGTAAGTAAACTGTTACTGTAAAACAACCTTTAATAAAATACTCTTTGGGGGTCTTTGCAGAGAGCTAGCACAGGGGAGCCCACCTGCCTCCTCCCACCACAGTGATGGCAACTCTCATGAAGTCTCCAAACAAGCTGTGAGAGGGATGAGGGGCCAGTGTTTCCAACCAGACATCCATGTGCCACCAAGACACAGGCACACCCCATCTCCTCTCCACTCCCTCTGCCGCCTGACAAATACCAGGAGCAGTGACAGACACACATGGGAGCACAGCAAGGCAAGAGCTAGTGGTAACCCTGGCAGCCCCGCCACCCTGCCCCCATGCTGTACAGTTACTGTTCCTGACCACCTAGCTTCCCCTTCACAGGGCAGGGTGGGGATAGGTAGCAGTCAGCCTGAAGGATAAAGGTTCCTCTGAGGCCCTGATGACTAGGCCCCACTATGGCTAAGGGCCTGCTAGGGCCTCCTCTGTGTTACGAGTGCCCTGTTAGTGAGAGCTTAGTGAGGAGGACATGCTCTGGCTCAGGACTTATGGGTAACCTAGCTGGTATGGCCAATGACCTGGCAGAGAGGCAGCTGACTGGGTGGGCCCCCCCTTGCAGGGCCCCAGCTCTCCTTCCCCCACTGCATGTGAAAAGATACACTGGGCATCGCACTGTAGGATGGCGTCATCAGGGTGGTTGGGGTGCTGCATGGCGACGGCCTGTGGGAACTCGCTGAGCATCCTCTGCTGGAACGCCTCCAGCCTCTCGTAGTCGTGGCCACGGCACACATATTCCTTGTTCTGTCACAAACAGGAGAGCACACTCTATACCCTAGCTGCAGCCCCACCTCCACATGGGGGTCAGCAGTTACTCATCACACGAACAAGTCCTAAGAGCCCACGGCAGGCAGGGGGCACAGCACTCAGTCCCTGTCCTTGGGGAGATGATGGTCAAGAAGGGGAAGGGAAAGAAGAAAACTGCACTGGAATGTAGCAGCGGGGAGGGGGCACCGGCTGCAGGAGGCTTGAAGGATGGAGGGCACCCAGGAAGGGGTACAAGGTCGGGGGTTGGATTCTGAAAAAATCATGCTGGAGAGTCCTGAAAGGTCCAGCTGGATCAGCCTGGGAGAGAGGACTGGGGAGGGCAATCTATGCGGGAATAGTAGCGACCAGGGCAACAGCAGCCAAGGTGCAGCTGGAAAAAAAGGTGTGTGTGCAGAACTGGTGGGGGTGGGGTGGCTGGACAGGCCTGCAAGTGTGTGCTTTTCAAGGGTCGCTTTTGTCAGCTGGAAGAAACCATCTAAACATTGCCCAGTTGTCAGCAGGTATTCATGAACTATTCAAAGAATTTCTTTGCAAATACCTCAGCAGGATAAATTAATATTATTCTAAATACACATTTCTTAGAACCTGTGTTGCATCACATTTGTTTGGGTTAGTCCTCATTTCTTCCCCTTCGTGGACTGAAGGCATGACAAGACACCCTCAACCCTGAAGCACTGTCTACCACAAAGCTGGTCAAGAGGAGTGGCCAGGTTCTTCTGAAGCCCTCAGGTGACATCTCTCTGCCCGCCCAGTTGCTTCTCTAGACCTACGGTGACAAAGTGGTGTCAGGCACTGGCAGCCCCTCCTAGCACGTTTTTGGAGGCAGAGACAGAAAGAGGTTCCACATGGCCAGTGTGTGCTTCCCAGTACATGGAGGATCAAAGGCCAGGCCTTGGAGGACCTCAGCCTCTTTGGGATAGGATTTGTACCCCCTTCCACTTGTCCTTCCATAGGAGAACTTGTTTAAGGCTGGGCCACATATCTGGATGGACTGGAGGGAAAGGGCGATATCAGAACACAAGTGAAGGTCAAAAGAAGTTGGCTGGCCTCGCCCGTGGAACAGACCAGCAGTCAAAGGACAGACATTTCTGAGTCCCTTGCCTGAAAGCAAAACTGACAAAAAAGGCAATTATGAAGAACTGATCTTTTCCTATCCACTCACAAATGTACAGTCTCCACCAATCTCTGTTCATGGGTCAAAGAGAGAAACGTATTCCCCTAAGAAGGGAGGGCTAGATGTTTTCCTGTCTCTGTGCAGATTATTCAATAATCACATTTGTGAAGCAAGGCAAGCAGATGGTCCAGAGAGACCAAGCTGACAGAGCTCAAGTAATCCACGGCCTGTGTGTTCAGAGAAGATTCAGCAGAAGGAAGGCACGTATCATTGACCTTGAAGTGCACTGTGTGTTCCAAGTTTGCTCAGGCAAAAGCCTCAGCACACCCACCTGAGATAGATCTGGCTGCCGCCGCTCTGCACTTTGTCCCTGCCATCTACAGGGCAAACAGCTACCTCCCGGGAAGAGCTGAGAGAAGGCAAGGCAGCATGTGGCTAGGCCAGGCGGATGTGTACGCATGAAACACACTCCTAGAGACTGCTCTTTTATGTGGACACAGGTGGCATTTCTGAACATCCTTTGTTATTCTTCCTTCAATACTAGCACCCTTGAAACCATATGTGAACATTCAGACTGTCCCTGTGAGCATTATCTGATGGCTCAGGTGCAGTTTCTATGCCAGGTCCCACTTGTCAGAACCCTCTGTAAGCCCTGAGACACTGATGTACCCTGTTACATGAGCATGAGGGGTGGGAGCCAGGTCAAACAATGACAGAGACCTCCTGTTTGGCAGGGACAGAAATGGGGGACACCAGGTGTTGATTTTGTATCTTACAGCCAAAGTAACTGTGTGTTGAGAGTAAAATCTGATTTATGATATACAAATTATGGGACCAAACAAGGAGAATAAAATGGAAATAAAGAGTAACTTGCAAAGATGAAATGAGAAAGCAGTAGGTTACAGGGCCAGAATCATTAGTTTGTCAAAGAACTTTCTGGAGCAGCTTTGGTTTCTCACGCCTGTGGAATTCCTTCTCCCTCTTCTGACCCCCACCTCTGGTGGCCGTTCTGGCCACCAGAACGTGAAGGAGGCCCTCCGCTCACTCACATTCTGCTACTCCAGTCGCTGCTGTGAAGTAGGGTCAGAGCCTGCCGGGGGATCCAATTACGCAGCACGTGCTGGCCGTCCCTGTCGGTATCACCAGTTCCGACAGAAAGCACTTTTCCTTTCCGCCTAGGGTGACTGCTGCCCAGGAAATGTGCAAGTTGACCTGCCTTACCCCTGAAATGTGGTTAGTCTGAGCGCTGTTGCCAGCAGACTGGCTTTTTTAAAGGAACATTAAGCGCAGCTGAACTCTGATGTGATACCAAGCTTATTACTGCTCATTGACTGAAGTGCTTTCTCCAATAAGACAGGATCCCAAATATATAAAAGGGATTCTATAAATTTTCCCATCTGCTTGTTAAGACTTGTTGACTGAACTCGAGTAAAATACTGGAACTGGGGACAATCAGAGCTCGTCTCAGGTCTCAACTGCACCCCCAGGGCCCTTTTTATCAGCACAGGTGCACTGAGGTCACCTGAGAATGACAAATCCTATGGGCTACAGCCCACAGCCCAAGCTGACTCCCCTGGAGCCTCTGGATTATGCTGAATATATAAGAAAATCACAACTGTTCAACTGGTGTCAGGACTCCTATGCTTAGTCATTCTCTCCACTGTTCATACCCTCCACTGTTCATATCCCAGCCTGCCTTCCAGGCAATGGTGGAGAGGAATGTCTGTCTTCATCCCAGGCAGAGAAATGGCTGCCTAGAAAAGGCTTTGCACAGCCAAAGCTGTTCCACAGCCCCAGGATCAAAGGGGACCGTCCTCTTGGTTGACTCAAATCAACACTTCTTCATCCTGGCTGTAAAGCCTATAGTGCAACCAGGGGAAAGAACCATCATCTTCAATGATGAACCCTAAAAGGCCAGCCCATTGCTGAGGTCAGGGTTAGACTGGTGTCCCGTCTGGCTGAGATAGTTCAATGGAAGATTCTAGGCACTGGAAGCGGAAGCTAGAAGGTTTCTAAACATACTTATATGACATTCTCAGACCCTGGTCATTTCCTGCAAGAACTTGGTTGATTGGGTAAGAAAACCACCCTCACATTTTACATAGCTATAAAATAGCATAGCCCAGTAAAATAGGGCCTAAAGTAGGCAGCCAGTCCAGATATGCAAAGCCAAATGCCTTTTGTTGGCTGGTCAGTCCTTCCAAAAGAATTATTTGGTAGAATAGGAAAAAAGGGGGTGGGGGAAGGACAGCTTATAAATGAATGATGTGTAAAATACGACCTAAGTTGTTGGGACTACCTGAATGGAACTCACCCGAAGGAAGAAAGGAAACTTCCTGCCATAGAAGCCGACCCGAAAGAACTCAGGCTCCAAGCGCTGCTGCTCCATGATGTTGTCATAGTAGCTGGCTTCCATTTTCTGTGAAGGAGAAAGGCAGGTGCCTTCAGGTTGGCTTGACTGCTAGTATCCAAAGCAAGTCCACCCAGGCCCAAGGAGACACTATCTTTTTTGTAAAGAGAACACAGCAACTCAGTCTACATGAGAGGTGAGCACCTAGGCATGACCAGCCCCTTCCCGGGGAGCAGCAGGGTGGAAGAGGAGGCCCCATCCTCTTTCATCAGCATCTGATGGCAGGCTGGAGAGGGGTCTGCCCCAGCAGCCCCAAGAGACTGCCCTGCATTTCTTTTCCAGTGGGTGGGCCCGGCTCCAGGGACACCAGGCTTCCTGCACTTTGAGAGGCAAATGTTTAACATGTGTATTTAACACCCCGCCCTGCCCTGGGTATTTCTGGTTCTGAATGGTACTACACCATTCAAATGTTGCTTATAGGGGGCTAACAGCAATTTTCAGCACCATTTTCCATCAGTCCAACTGTGTTGCTTTTATTCATTTATCGTGTGACATAAGAGGCTAATAGAGCAAGGAAGGCTCCTTTGCCAGCATCACTGGTACTAGTTCCAATTTAGGAGATTTTAGACTTTAAAAGTTGGACTAGACCAACCATGATGTCTGGCATTTCCAAAGTTGGTAAGTTTTTTAGCCTTGGCTGACCTCGCTTTACATTCAGAGCAATTCGGTGGACTCTGACCGGGAAGACAGCTCTAATGTGTTCAACCAGCCCAGCCTGCCAGGAAGGAGAGGGCTTCAAAGACCAGTCAAAAAGCTACTGCTCCAGAATCATGTCTATCCTGTATGCCGAATTTCGACTGGGGCTGGGGAACACAGCAGAGCTAGCCTGCCAAGGGAGCAGGAGGGCGAGCTCAGACTGCTGACCTCTCTTTGCCAGTGAACTCAGCAGCTATTTTAATTCAAAACCCAGCACCAACAACCAAGAAAAATTTGGTGGACACCTTCAAAGTTCATGGGGCATTTCACTGAATTTCTGAATATTTTGCTTCAAAGAAAGAAGTAAGAACGAGGTGCTTGAAAGTGACCACAAGCACAGCGGGGAAAGAGCTTATAGTTTTCAGGTGAAGCAACCCAGCATAAAATCATTTCAGGAACAGCTTCTTCATGAAGTTGAGCTGCCACGTGCCCCTTGGATCCCCCACCCTACCCGGCATACACTGCTTCTCTCCTCTCTGTGTGCCCATAGCCCTTGGGGGCTGATCAGACCATCGTTTGTCAAGTGTTTTGGTTCCCCAGCCAAACTGCAAGGCTCTTGAAGGCAAAAACCTTGGCCTCTGCTCCTCCTTAATGTCCAGAGCACCAAACCAAAGGGCTGGGCCTGCTGTAAATGCCCACTCAGAAACTGACTCCAGGAGAGCCCTGACACCTCCGGTGAGGGCTGGGGTGGGGGAAGAGGCAGAGCTCACCCGAATCCAGCTGAGGCTCTGATAATCGTAGAGGCTCTCATACTGACACGCCAGCTCCCTGCACAGTGGGATTCCAAACTCCCAGCTCTGCATCAGAAACAGGAACAAGGCTTCAGCACCTTAGGCATCCTCTGAAGGGCCCAAGCCCACATCAAACACATCGGAGGGCACAACCAAAGGCCTCCTGCAACTCATACAATCACAAAGAACATGAGCTCAAAGCCAATTTTGCAGAGCAGAGCACAAGGCACTCTGGCTTCTAGCTCAGGGCACAGCTTTCAGGTTTCTACTTAAAGTCCTCCACCTGCAAAAGGCCTTTTCCTGACTACCCTGTCAAGGACAAGGACAGGCACTTCACATCTAGTCATTACTCGAAGTTATTTTATTTAAAAACAGTATTTACATTTTTGCTGTATTAGTCTCAGTTAGATGGCAAATTGCATGAGGGCAGGGACTCTGCTTGCTTTATCCTCAGAGCCTAGAATAGTAGTAGGCATGAGCGGGTCCTCAATATTTATTTAATAAGTTAATAAAGGAAACAATGGTTTTTAAATTAAGATTATTTAAGCTCAGAAACCTGACAACAGAAAGATTAAAAGTAGGCTTTAAATCTTAAAGTAGGCTTCAGATAACCCTTGCCTAGACAGGTCCCAGGTTGCTTCTGTGGTGTGGCCCCTGTTATGGTGACAGGCCCATCGAACAGGTGCGTAAGGAGGGCTGCTGTGGCCTTTGGTAGAGGCCACGCTGTCCACTTCTTCTTTTTAATATAATGCTGTCTCTGCTGGGAACCACTGGTTTCCTTGATATTTCAGCTAGCTTCTCCTCAACATCTACATAGTAATTAAAGTTTTTATATCATGGGAAATTTTAAACATGGAAAAATGGAACAGAAGAACGAACCCCTAGGTACTCACCACTCGGCTTCAACAACGAACAATTAGTGGCCAGTCTTGTATCATTCATGCCCCACCCACGGACTGACTGACTCCTCTCTATAATTTCTGAAGTAAATCTTATATAATTTCACCCATAAATATTTCAGTATGAATGTTTAAACAATAAAGATTATTTTTTAAAAAGAGAATATTGTTTGAAACAGCATCAGGGAGGACAACAGTATTTCATTTGGGTCTGAAAGAGCATATTATTTCTATCCTTTGAAGTGATTAATGGCATATGGATTGAAACTGCAGGACCAATAAAAAAGATGGAAAAAAGAGAGAATTTTTAACAGACCCCGACTCCCCACCCCACTATAGTGGCTGCCTCAGGGAGCTAGAAAGCTCCCACTCCCACCCCCTCAGCTTCCAGGGGCATACACGGACCCCTCCCTGGCTCCTAGTGCTGCTCATGCAGGTCTGTTAACAGCCCACAACGGGGCCTGCTTGGCAGGCAGTGGGATATGCAGCTGAGATATGTGCAGAATTTTGGCCGCCTACTAAGAGTACCCACTGGAGAACTGCTCATTTAGGGGACAAGGGGCCCACGTAGAGCTAAAGGAGCTCTGCCCGCTGATGGCAGCCCTCAGTAAAGCAGGACTTCTCCCCTCATGGGATGGTGGGATGGTGGGATGAGTATCTGTCTTCCTGGCATCTCTGCCCTAATTTGAAACTCTGCTGCCCTAAGCCCTCCCCCACCCCCAATTATCTAGGACCAAGCCAGAACCAAGATTTTTAAGATGATCTGCCAGTCCTGAGAGCTTGCGCTGGGAAACCGGTGGGTCTGGGGGCTCTGAGAGCTGCCTCTAAATGCAGGTGGGAACATGCTGCATCAACATCTAGTCTTTTCTCATGGTTTCCTTCCTCCTGAAAGGAGGCAAATCAACTCTAAAACTCTCTGCCAGCATCTGAAATTCAATCACTTCTACCAGCTCTGGCAAATGTGTGCTTTTCCATACCCTTGTCACCCCCACCCTACCTCCAACCCTGGCCCATCCCCCGGGATAGCAGAAAAGTTTCACGGACTTGGGATCACTGTAGCCAAACTGGAAAAGAAGGCAAATCCAGGGGCTCCAGGATATTGTTAGTTTTCTTGTAACAGCCAGGTTTTGCTTTTCCGGAACTATTTTTAAAAACCCAAAGAACCCTAAAAACTTTCCAAAAACTGGTTAGCCCTAACTAGTTTGTGATGGCACTGGTTCCATCACATCTTGAGGCAGAGAAACAGAGAAAGAAGTCAGACCATCTGTATGAGCCCAAAAGAATCAATCTGATAAATACCCCTTTGAAGATGAGCTCATGCAAGGGCTCCCTGTGGGGTCTATACTTAGCAGAGAACCTGCCCTCCAGCAATTCACAGCACAGGCAGGAGGGTAGCAGTGGAGATTCCTGGGAAGGTGGCCTGTGGAGCCTCAGGTCCTTCTGCCCTTCCAGCTCAGTCAGCCCTCAGGCAGTCTCTGCATTTCATTCCCGTCCTACTAAGCTTTAAATCTGCTTTTCTAATCACTACTTAGTGTGGGGTGGGGAGGGGACCCTGCCTGTTCACACGTCCCACTGTAGGCTCAGTCAGATTAGGATAACTCTGCTCTGCCCACTCTCTGCCCAGGGAAAGAGAGAACTAATATAACTGAAAGAACTCATGCCTCCGCACACCATGCTTATGCCATTTCTTCCAAGCTGGGAGGGCTTGCCCGGCCAGCAGGTAAGTGGCAGCTTTAGGTGGGCTATGTGCCAGGATCACAGGCCTAAAAGTACGCTGGCATGGAGCCCTATGTCCAGCCCTCGGCCAGCGAGGAGGCGGCTTTGGGCCCAGACAGTGCATCGGTCAGGTGTTATAACTGAGAACTGAGCATGACCACCTTTCTGGGCTGGGTTACATGAGGGCTCCCCAGGTTTCGGAAAGGTTCTTGCTCACCAGTGCATCCCTTGAGGGGGTGAGTGTTTTTGACAAATACAGAAGTCTCCTATGTTACATAAAAACTGGCATATGGGCAAAATTCATTAAGGCTTAATCAGGGGTGTCCAACCTGCAGCCCACGGGCCACATGCAGCCCAGGATGGCTATGAATGAGGCCCAACGCAAACCTGTAAATTTACTTAAAACATTATGAGGTTTTTTTGTGTGTAATTATGTGTCCCAACGTATTCATTGTGTGGCCCCAAACAATTCTTCTTCCAGTGTGGAATAGAGATGCCAAAAGGTTGGACAACCTTGGTTTAAATCTTTCCTTTTTTATTATGAAAAACTCACTTTCCATTTGAAAAAACCAATTTCCATTTAAGTTAGGGGCTCAGCTACCATAGTTCCCCGAATGATCCTATTTCAGCCTTCAAAACAAACTCAAAGCTGAGTAATGAAAGAACGCCTTCGATAAGTTACACGCTCAGCCTTTCAGTGCATGGGCCATAAGCAAAAGTGGTGAACAAGGGGTGGTGGTGCAGAGGGCCCACCAGGAGCTCTGCCAGAGGCGGAAGCATGATGGCCGGGAATCCCCAAGGAGGCCTGAACCAATGCTGAGCATGCCGGCCAGCCCCACAGCACCGGGCCTGGTGGAGGGCAACCCGATGAGGGAGAGAAGCCTAGGCTGTGCCGTGAGGAAGGGACATGCAAGACAAGAGTAGGCACCAGGGAGAGGCAGCACAGGGCTCCTTAGGCTAGGTTCAAATCCATTCATTTTCACAGCTCATTTTCCATGGCAGATTAGGAAGCCACATCTAGTAAACAGAAGCGGGCCCAGGAGCCCTGCTGTGGAAGCATTAGCATTTATAGATGTGCAAAGCTGGTATGTGGAGTTGTCTCTTACACCCCCAATCTGGAACTGGCTTCCAAGTTACAGAATCAGCCCATTCTCCCCCGCCCCTGCCCCTGCTCCCAGATAAAATCATGCTGCCTCCAAATCTGATGCATACACCTGGGCACCCGCCCACTCACCACCCCACACAGCACTGTGGCAGCAGAAGCTGAGGGCTGGAAGGCTTGCCTAATGACCCTACCTTGCCTTTGTTGAAGTAGTGGATGATCTTGCGGCACAGACCCTCTCTCCGCTGCCACTCCGTCTGAGGTGGGTAGTGGAGGAATTCCCGCAGAGGCCGCTCCTCCCACCGCAGCAGCTCACAGTAGAGGAGCAGAGTGAACGCCGCCTCTGCGGGGACAGGCGATGCGGAAGTCTGGGCCTGGGCAGCACGCCCAGGCAAGGCACGTGCAGCCCAGGTCAGGGACACCGGATATCAAAGGCGAGTCAGGAGTGCTGCCCAGCCATCCAACAACCCTTGACAACAGCACGAAGGAGCCACGTATCCTGGTAGACACCTTCTTCCCACAGCCTGGTTGTTTGTCTTGGACTCCAGATGATGTATGGCCCGGCTACCTGAGGATCCCTGCACATGCTGCCCTGCTCTGGCAGACACGGGCATGTCAGGGAGAGCTCCTGGGTTCTTTGCTCAGACGACTAGAACTTCCTTTCAGGCTTATCAGAACTAGCTCTTAGGAGTGAGCACTGACCAAGGCTTCTCTCTGCTCCCCCTAGGCCAGCCTCAAGGCCTTTACCTTCACTTTCTAATTCAGCATAGCCCTGGGAATGCCCCTCTCTCCTCATCTCTACTGATTCTAAAAGGACCAGAGAGGGGAAGTGTGCTGGTGCTGTGTGGTGGACCTGGAGCTAGAAGCTCCATTCCTGGAGGAACCTAAAGTTGGTGCTAGACCCAGGGAAGACACCCAGCAACACCTTACCCTACAAGTGGAATGGTTAGAGAGGGTTATATAACACAGCAGCTAAACTCCACAGCTCCCTAAATTCTAAGGAATGAGTCACACTAAATTCCAGCTGCTGCTCAGGGTCCTCACTTCATTGTCTACACTTTCCTATTCTATTCGCTCATTTTTAGAAATCTCCTCTTGGAAAGTTCATTAGTACTAGCATCTGTGTGGACTTTGAGGCCCCACTCAGGTCTGTTCCCCAGGACTATGAAGCACCTCTTTCCTGATTGTTCTGTGACCCACTCCCAGTTTTAGCCCCGCCCACTGGCTTGCAGAGGCCCCCTGCTACTCTTCAGCCTGGCCCCTCTACCTGTCCTCTGGCCACTGGGCCTCCTGCCCAGGGATGCACATGCCCCCATGCTGGACCTGGGAAGCCGTCTCAGGGGGACAGGCCTCTGAGGCACTCAAGGCCTGCCTCTGGAGCTTAGGAAACAATACATTCTTTTCAAATGCCACTCCTGAGGCCCCAAGAGACAGCCTCCACCCCTTCTCTGTCCAAATCTGTGACCCAGCCTCTCGGTCATGATGGCCCTCTAGTTCAGTACATGCTGCTGCCGAGGCACGGGATTTATCAGTCCATCACCCCACTGCCTTCTTTGGGAGTTCCTGGAAGCATGAGTAGAAGTGGACGCAGAACATGGCAGAGTCAGCCCAGCCATCATTCAATTCTTGTCAAGCTCTGTTGTCAGAGCATAGATGCTCTGTTTGGCATCTATGCCAAACACCCAGCCAGAGATAAGGGAAAAAATTCTGTGTTTCAATAAATCCATCTAATTCTAATAATGTTTGTGGATAATAGCTTGAATTTCCTGATCTAGCACACATATTTCAGTTCTGTGGTCCAAGGGCTAGGATGGAGTGGCTGGTCACCACAGTGAGAAGGTGAATATCTGGGGGAAACTATGGCTCAAGGCAATCAGGCAGGACTCCTGACTCCTGTGTGATAGGCACACTGAAATGCTTTTGAATGTATTCTGTTAGAGGAAGCCTTAGTAATACATTAAATTGTGGAAGGGCCCGTCAGAGAGCCCTCTCCAGACTCTCCTTTGGAAGTGCGATGTAAGCTGCTGTGTTGTTGGAGGGGAAGAGCCTAGACTGCAAGGCAGGTTTGCCAGTGGGTTCGAGTTCCCCAAGTCCAAGGGTGGACTTAGAGAGGCACTGTGCCTTAGAGAGGCACTGTGCATTAGAGATGGTGAGCTCAGGGTGCTCTGAGCCTGGCACACCAGAACTTGGAAGTCCCCCAGGAGGCCGCAGAGAGGGTGAAGAGGAGGCAAGGAGAATGGAACAGCAGCCTCAGGCAGCAGAGGACGAGGCACAAGGTATAAACGAAGTTCGCCTGCTTTCTCCACCACATGTCACAAAGCAGCTGAGGGAGAGGAGAAAGGCGAGGGGCAGCAAGGCCCCAACACTGTGCTAACATCTGGCAGACAGCAGTCCAGAGCCCTTTCTCTGCCAGCTGTGCACATCTGTTGAGTCTGTCCTCTCTAGGAAGCATGGCTTCCCTCTCCTACTCACCTGTGTAGTTCTCAGCCTGCAAATGCATGTCACAAAGTTTATGGATGTAGCGAATGTACATCTCCTCTTTGTTAATCTCTGACTTGTAAAAGTTCTGTAAGAGAGAAGGAAATACACATAAAGATGGGAGAGGCTGCCACCTGTGGAGGCCATACCTGAGATCTAGGCGGCTGGCCACAGCCCTCGTGTGCTGGGCAGGCTGTGGAGGCAGCCCACACCAGGAAGGAGAAGGACCCACCAGAAGGCACAGCTGCTTAGGGTGAAGCCACTGGCAGATGTGCAGGAGCCCTGAGGACTGAAGAAGAGGAGGAGTGCCAGTGCAGCCTGGGGGTCAGGGCAAGCTAGGAGTTAGGGTATGTCAGGGATGGTGGAACTTTGCCAACAGGCCAGGCTAGAGCTCTGTCCAAAGAGGAGTTCATTTCATTTCATTCCATTCCCAAGTGGGAATGTGACTGAAGAGCGGCAGATCTCCAAGATGCCAGTAATGGAGCCGATGTCCTGACTCAAACTCTGAGGCTTACAGCCATGTACTGTAGGAAGGCCAAGCCAATTGCAGGGCAGGACAGAACTGACTCTTCTAGGCAACAGGAGGAAGGGCCCATGTCCTCTCACCATCAGGTTAACTGTGCAGCCAATCTTCTTATTCTCCGTTTCCTCTCCTTTCATGCAATCCCTGGAAGGGAGAGTGTAGATGAGAAGCAGTCCTGTTCTCTGGGACAACACAGAACTGCAGTGTCGCTGAGGCGTTAGTGTGACCCAACACTGGATTGGGCTGTTCTCCAACTGGAGCCGCTCCCCCTGATGCCTTCCCCCAGATGAGCGGCGAAGACTCTTCTTAAAGAGGCTTCTGAAGCACCCATCTGGCTGTGGCTGTGTGCAGTGGGCTGGCTGTGCCTAGACCAGTGGCTGGGCAACCCTCAGTGTGACAGGAGGGGCCTGGGAAAGGAGGGCTCCATGACCTCCAGCTGCCTCTTCCAGGGGGAGATTCCAAAAGCACCACAAGGGCTTGGCAACCCCAGCTCTGTCTGTCTGTTCCAGGGCACTAAGAATACCTTTCTAGGTCTTTGCTGTCTAACCTGGGAAATGCAGTTGCTACCAATGAGCATTTTTGCATCCGACACAAAACGTCTGAGATTCGTGCAGAAGTTGAAGACATTAACACAAGAGTTAAAGAGGTAATTCTCTAAGTACCTAAGGTCCATACCAATATAAAACTGAGTATCGTACTATAGGTTCAAGTCATCCTGGAGTACAACACATTGATTACTTATATAATCAGTGTGTGTGTGTATATACACATATACATATATACACATATGTATACGTACACACATATATATATATATGTATACATATATATTAGCTTTCAACAGCTATATTCTTATTAACTTCTTACTGAACTAAACCTCATTGAGGGAGAAGAGACTTCCTTGGTTCCTGTATAACCTTCCCGTAAGTTTATCTAATCAATCAACATGTACTATACACCTGCCAGGGACTATCACGGCTCCATGCAGGAAACCAGGGAAGTAAGGACAAGGTTCCTGTCCTCAAGGAGCTGGCTCTCTTCTGCTGAGTGAGTCAGAAAGGTGACAAATGATCATCATCCAAGGTGATCCACGCTTTGAAAGAGGTCTGTGGAGACAAACCAGCTAAGCTCCTGGTTGGGAAAGCCCCCTTGTGGGGGCGGAAAGCCGACTCTCGGAAGGACACACAGCAGAGAAGCCTGAGGGGAAGAATGTGCGTGGGAACAACATGGATGAGGAGTTAGGGCATGGCCCTGGAGTCAGATAGGTCTGGGTTCAAATCCTGGCAATGGCACTTCCCACCAATAGTGTTTCATCACTGGTAAAAAGGATCACCCTTCAGGGCTGCTTATGGTATTAGAGATGACGTGTGTAAAGCACAAAGTATGTGGCATAGTTTTCATAAATGGAAACTGTTATCAGCATCATGGTGCTTCCTTTTATGTTCACAAGGAACGACACTGGGAGGTTGGGGTGCAGGGCATGGGTATTGGGGACTGGTAGGAGATAGGGCCAGAGAGGTAGGCAAAGGCCAGTTTATGAAGAGCCTTTGATGTCATGCAAAAGAGTGTGAACTTTTTATTGTAGGTACCATCACTGAGACAAGAAATAGAGGAGAATGAACTTGGTTTTGGCCATGAGTTTGAGTTATCTGTGCAAGGAGGTAGAGAAATCAAACAGCTAGAACTAGGCCCTGGAGCCAGGAAATTAATTCCTGTTCTTTTTAACAGGCCACAGTGAAGAAGGCCAACCTTCATTAAGTGTTGTAGTTAGGAAGAGAGCAAGAGTTTGCCCACACGTCCTCCCTGGATGATGGCATGTGCAGGAAAGGTGAGGGCTATGGCGCGAACAAGTAAGTCCTCTGGTTCTACAAGGGTCTCCCAAAAGGCCCCTGTGACCTCAGAAGGCCCAGGAACAATGGCCTGAAGCTCGCACAAGCATAATTGTGCTATAGGAAGAGGGGATGCTCAAGGTGCGAGCACTTTTCTCATGAATTCCATTTCCGCATCCAGCCCAGTGCTCTGGGCACCCGAGTCTCCTGCAGAGCAGAAGTCTTGGCACAGCGACATCTCCTATGCAGCAGCAACTGGTGGTGGCCTAAACTTGCTCCCACTTCCTGATCCATGGGCTGAACATTCTTCCCCTTGGCATTTCCATGTCCTACAGCACAGAGGAGACAACTATTGCTTGGGGCTGGGTTTCCTCTTTTATTCCCCCTCCTTTCTTATTATCTTCCTCTAGGTTCCAAAAGGCAACCCTAAGCCACCACACCTGAACCCTCCTGAGGGAATTACTAAGGCTCTAGTGGCAGTTTCACGGTCATTCGTAGACTAATTCAAAAGCCAGGAAATGACTGAGAAAGCAGGTTTTCATGAAAAAACTAATTTCACATGAACTCTCAAGCTGAAAAGAACATAAAAATCTCTGAGCTCACTCACGGTCTGCTTCCTTCAATCCGTTCACAGCCAGGACCAAAGGACAGAAATAAACAGACTTTGGGCAATGAATGCAGGCATGGAAAAATGAAGTCCCTAGACAACGGAAAAGCCCTTCTGGGTCACACTTCTGTACGAGGCAACACTTCTCCACCCATGTGCCATATGGCTCTGAGGAGGGGCTACGCTAAGGACCTAGTTATTCTCTGCCTTGCTCTGGAGACTGGAGACAGCTTTCCTCTCCCTCCCTGCTGTGTCCCTTCCTCTGAATGGAAAGCCAGGTGGCTGCATGTCCTGGGGTGTCTCCTGGGAATGTATGCCCACATATCAGGAGGCATCCCAGGAATTAAGTCTCTCTCTCCCCTTCCCCCTCTTCCTCAGCCCCCACCCCTGGCCATCAGTAAATTCTGAATAACTGGTGGTGGTACCCAACGCCAAAACAGTCTGCCCCTTCAAGGGCACATGGTCTCAGCTTTAAGGGTTAAAGGATGTCCTCGCTGGAAAGAGTATTCTGACCTGAGAGTGGATCAGGTAGATGCCTGAGAAGATACCTGTAGTCAAGAAGGCGTTCCATGAGGCGGGTGACTGAGGTCACAAAGGAAATGCCAGTCTCGCGCCATGTTTCCTGTTCAACCTTCTCCAGTAGGCTATTTGTGGAAGGGTGAGGGAAACAAACATGATACACAATTTGTGAGGCTTCTCTGGGCACTAGAGAGAGATCCTAGAGTCCATGGGGCTTGTGATAAATCTGGAGACGGCAGACTTACCGCATTGCAGTCTTACCTGGGGTAGGGCCCAAACAGCTGGGTTCTACTCCATGCAGCAGAAAGCAACAACAAAGCAATTACTGAACTGGCAACAACAACTGAACATCTCTTCCATTTTCCTGTACAAGAGCCTTAGAATGCCACTGAACTAAGGGAGGAGTTTCAAAGCCACAGACCCTTTCAGTATATACTGTGAGATCTGTTCTGAAGAAGTAGCTGAATTAAGAGTCTAGCGAGCATTGGTTGGATCTGGCTTTGTCAATTGGCTGACTACCTCTATCACTGTTTAGAGTTGCCCTCAGCAAAACAAGGGAAACTAGGGAAAGATTCCTACCTGTCTTGATTCCCACCTGTAGGACCCAGTGTGAGACCCCCCCCCCCCCGGAGCTACACTGGCTATTTCTGTCAGGAGATGCTCCTGTGCAAAATGTGCTGGAGCCAAGAGCTAAACGCCCAGGTCCTCTTCTCACTCACCAGCCCCATGCTCCGGCTGCCTCGGGCATCTGGCTTCTCCAAAGAGCCTGGCTCCTCAGATCCTTTGCCTTCCCACAGGTTTCTCTCAACTCCTTTCCAGACTGTCCCTAGCTCCTAAGTTCATGAAAAGTCACTCGGGTTGGAAGGCCCAGCTAGGGTCACACCACTGGGGACTCACGCCCATAGCCTAGCAGCTGTCAAGGCCACTACGACAGTGACTGTTTATCCTGCACCAAACCGAGGTTTCTGGGAAAGCGAGGTTTTCCCATGTTACTCATGTCACTAGAAGAGAAGGTGGGACCATCAGCTTTGGCCCCTGATCCATGTGGGAAAAGACACCATGTCAGCATTCTCCAAACTATGTCCTAAGAGCTCTGCTGGCCTGAGCGACTGGGGCAGCCCTTCCGGGAGCACACAGTACAGGAAGTGCTGATCACAACATCCTCCTTTTGGAGATTTTTCACATCTTCCTGCACATTAAAGGCTGAGAAATCCTAGTTACAGAGACCAGTTCAATTTTGTTCAGTTGAATCTTTTCTAAACTGATCAGCCCATGATCCACTTATTCTTTCCTCCAGCACACCCACAGTCTTCTCCGAAACACAAACTGGGAAATGCTGTTCCACGTCATCAGTGGCTCTCAGTTCTGACACATGACTTTAGAGGGGTTTATGAAACACTATTTGGTCAGGTAATTAGTAATTACAAGTTATTTTGTGCTTCTCCTTTTGTAGTAAAGTCATCTATTAGTGGCTTAGGGAGAGATTTCTCTTCCTGACTTCCACAATTAGAAACAGCTTCAGCTAAAAGAGAAATACTAAAAGATGGATTCATTCTCATAAAATATAACTACTTGAATTTCAAGTAAATTAACATTTTATTGTGCGACTCATCAGGGAACGAAGCGGGCACAGTAGACAGGTTTCTCCCTCCTAAACCAGAAGATCTGCACCTGCTCCCCCCCACCCCCAGCTGCTGCGTACTGGCTGTGCAGCTGAGGGCGTGTGGACACTGCTCGGAGCTGCTGTATCACCGTCATTTGTCAGGACAATATCTGCCCTGCTGCCTCACAGGTGCGTTGTGAGGATAAAACAGGAAATGTCAACACATTCTGTACTGTGCAAAGTTCTAAGCAAATGTACAGTATCATTACTGGAAAAATGTTACAGGTTTGTCTTCAATGTGGCACTAAAACGAAATCTCAAAGCTGGAAAAGAGTGACATGGCAGGAGACTCTAAAGATGTAAATGTCTTAAGGTTTTATGTCTTAGAAAAACAAAACACCCAACATGTCTATCTGTCTGGGAGAATCCCAGCTTCCCCAAATCCCTCCCTTTGGAATTAGCCCTGTGTCAAATCCTGTAAGGTCTCTCGGCCTCCATGAACTCAAGACAGAGTCCATGAATGGTGGACCTGGGAGACCTCTGATGTCATTCAGCACAACCACCCTGTTTCACAAACAGGGAAACTGGCCTGGAGAGGGGATATGACTTGTTCAGGTCACAAAGTCCACGGTAATATTTTTCGAGCTGATTGTACAATCTTACAAAGCAGGGATTTAATGTCCCTTCCAACCCTGAGCCCTCACTGAGTCCCCATGAGCGACTTGCCCAACTGGATTCAGTGCATGCTATGAAGACATATAATGATCCTTTTCCTATCAGCAGATGTAGGAGCTCGGAGTGATCATCTGTCAACTATGGCTATCTCTGAGAGAGCTTGCTGTCATGATGCCACTTTCTGTACTGACAAAGGTGCTCAGTGCTACTGCTACGAACAACCCAGGTCTCTCCTGAAATGCACCCCCTGCCCAGGCCTGCCCAGCACGGGGTGCACTGCTACCCTTCATGAGCCCACTCCACCCCCTCCCCCAGTGTGGGATGCCTGGGGCTGAAGAATCTTACAGAAGGCCGAAGAGCTCCCTGTAGCTCTCGTCACCTTTCCCTTCTGACACCATGCTGTCCAGCTTGTCAATCAGCTCGGCCTCCACCTAGAGGGAAGCAGAGACTTTATAAACCGGAGCTGACCCTGCGATAGGTGAGGGTGGTGAGGAACTGCTTCCTGTTTTGTCCTTGCACCAAATAAATGCAGAGAAGGCAGGACCTCATCCACAGCCCCAAGAAACCACCCTGCCTCTCCCAGCCAGGGAGATCTCCCACTCCAGTGGCTAAAAAGAGTTGGAACTTACAATTCTCAGATACTTTTTCCCAGTTTAGGGCAAAACATAAGGACTTCCTGGAGAGAAAAATATTATGGATCCAAAGAGGCCTTTGTTAAAGTTTTTTTCTCTCGTAAAAAATGTTCATTTAAAAAAAATTTGTATGTATAAAAAACATTTGGTTAGAACTTTACCCTCTATTCAGACAGTTACAAAGAAATGAAGGGGGAGGGCCGGTCCTTACTCTGACTGCCATTCGGCTGGGTTGAGGGAGAGGTATTTCCTTCAGAGTCTCCTGCAGGGTAAAAGGCTCCACTGTTTGTCCCCATAGGACCTGAAGCCCTTGGGTCATCAAAGGGACACCTGCATTTGTTACCGGACCCCTAAACTGTGAGGAGAAACACTGCACGTGTTACCACTGCCCCACTGGATCTGCAAGCCTTCCAGCAGTGCTCGGCACTTTTCTAATAGGCTTCGCTGGGTTACTCTGAGGTGAGAAATCAAACCCTTCATTATCCTAGAAAATGTGGCACTGTAGTATTACTATATACATGTGTCATATGAGCAAAACGTGGTGTGGATGCACTTAATAGTGAACCATAAGAGAAGCATTTTCTTACTCCACACAGGGCCAAAGGGTCCTAAGGCAATGAACTAATAAAAGGATAACTGAATTAGAAAATTCATTGAGGGCAGCGATGTTTTCTGGAATCCCATTAGCAGAGAACAGGAGAGTCTGCTACACGGCCAGGATGGGGGCAGTCACACAATCGTGGGGAGGCAGCAATCCATGTTCCAACAAGCCTCCGGGTGGTTCTGTTGCCTATTCAAGTGTTAGAACTTCTGTATTAGGCATAGAAGCTGGTACTGGAAGGATATGAGAGAGCTACTTTATCACCCTCTGCAGTGCTGATGAAAGAAAAAGTCAGAAGTTGAGAAATCCAAAACAGGGGATGCTGAAGACCCATGCACACAAAACCAATGGCCTTCAGTCAAATGGAATGGTAAGGTCTTCAACTCTGTCATGTTCAGGTTCGAGGAGCTGCTTTTATTTATGAAACTGATATTCCTGAAGTGACACCTTGTTATTCATTCATTCAACAGGCACATTTCCTAGACAAAACAGCTACTTCTTTAAGCCCAAGTTTCCTCATTTGTGAGACGATAACGGTGGTTAGCACCTTTCTTCAATTCCCTGTGTCCTAACTCTTAGGAAGTGCTCAATGATTTTCATCTCCATGAACTCACCATGTCCCAGACACTGTGCTGGGTTCTAAGAAATAAAAGCACAAGAAACAGTGCTCGTTCCTAATAGCTCGTTGGGTGGTGGTGGAGGGGAGGCAGGACAAGAGCTGACCAGCTCAGCACCATCAGTGCTCGGATGGGGCACACACTGAAAGGGTGGCCTGGCATCTGAGAAGTCAATGGACTTTCAAGAGTCTCAAGAAATAGTGTAAAAACTTAAGTTTTCGTTCTTTGATTCAGCAATTAACAGATGAGAAATTAACCTAAGAAAATAATGAGGAATGCATTTTTTTTTGCAATTTTAACAAAAATTTGGAATGAACCTCAGTTCCTAAAACTAGAAGCCTTACTGAATGCACAGTGGTCCAGCCACACAATGGAGTGAGCGCCAGGCAGCTTCTGAGCTGACAGCGTGGGGCACACAGCGCTAACACACGTGCAGAGATGGAGCGGACATGGTGCTGCCACCAAAGGGAGAGTGAAAACCATTATACATAATTGTTCTAAAAAAAGCAAAACCCAGAATGATTCCACTTTTTAAACTTAAAAAACTATGAATTGGAAAAAAGTCTAAAAAGACACATCCTGACTCCCTCCCCTACAAGTTAATATAGGGTTATGGGTTAGATTTTTTCATTATAGCTTGTTTGTATTTTTAATTTTTTATATTAAGCACCATTTTATCATTAGAAGAAGTATGTTTAATAGGTGGTAAGAGTTAAGGGAGTAGTTAACAGAGTCCAAGCCATGAAAAGCACAATTGGAAGGAAGTCAAAATTCACTGAATTTTGGTGGTTATGGATGACCTTCAGGAGGACAGCTTCAACAAAAGTGGTGCACGAAGGACATCAGACTGAATAGGTACTTCAGGAGGGTGGGAAGCGGGAAGAGCAGACCATTCTTTTAAAATACTTGATGACAAAGGGAAGCAGCAGCGAGGCTTTTCCAACCAGGGACAGCAAGGTTTACATGGCTTATCAGATATCAGACAGTCTTACTGGGGCACAGAACACAGCTCATTAGCTGAGTTTTGAAAGGTGAGACGAATGAGCTCCAACTCAGTCTTCTACAAAGCTGACTTCTTGATTCTGTGCCAGTGATGGAGGAATGTGGCCCAGCCCCTCTTATAGTACACCCAGCCGACCGATGGTGCAGAATCAGCTGACTGATTCTGCAATGCCATCTACTTCTTGGTCACTGGGTTCTTTCACCAGGCAGTTGTGCATTTTGCCCAATTTGAAGGCACATATGTGACAACACAGAAAAGCAGCAACAGTTCTTTTGTTTGAAGTTATTATTTTCTGAAGTTCTGAAGGCATTAGAACTACACACTTCAAAAATAGATTCTCATCTTACATACTATTTATCCATGAAGAAGAGGATCTATAAAAGACCTAGAACTAGCATCGTAATTGTGAAACACTGAATGCTTTCTCCTAAGATTAAGAACAATGAAGCCCTGGCTGGTGTGGCTCAGTGGATTGAATGCCAGTCTGCCAACCAAAGGGTTGCTGGTTCGATTCCCAGTCAGGGCACATGCCTAGGATGAGGGCCAGGTTGGGCCCCCAGTAGGAGGCGCACAAGAGGCAACCACACATTGATGTTTCTCTCCCTCCTTCTCCTTTCCCTTCCCCTCGCTTTAAAAATAAACAAACAAACAAATTTTTAAAGAAGTAAGAACAAGGCAGTGATGCCCACTCTAATCACTTAACTTCAGACCAGAGGTCCTAGCCAGTGCAATTAAGCAGGAAAAGAAACGAGTCATACAGATTAGAAAGGAAGAAAGAAAACCATCTCTGTCCGCAGGTAACACAAAAAATCCCAAGGAATCTACCAAAAGCTTCTAAACTAATGAGTTTACTACAAACGGTATAGAATGTGATGTTAATGTACAAAAACAATCATATTTCTTTCTACATGGTGGCAACGAACAACCAGATCACAAAATTAAAAAATCAGAATACTTTATAATAACACTAAAAACAAGAAATACATGTAAATTTAACAACATGTACAAGATCTGTATGCTGACACTATAAAATATTAATAAAGTACATCAACGAGTTTCTTTTTTTAATGCTCACAGACACAAAGAACAGTGTGGTGATGACCAGAGGGAAACAGGGGCGGGGTGGTGGGAGGCAGGAAAGGGGGACGGGAGAGAAATGGTGACGAAGAGAGATCTGACGTTGGGTGGCGAACACAGAATACAATACACAGATGATATATAATACGACTGTATATTCAGAACCTATATAATTTTTTTAACCAATGTCACCCCAATAAATTCAATAAAAATTTTTAAAAATAAAAAGGACCTAAATATTCAAAGAGATGTACTGTCTTTGTGGACTATGAGTCCATGTAGGGTCCCTTGTAGGGGGCCCACGACAGGTAAACCACACACTGGTGTTCCTCTCCCTCTCTTTCTCCCTCCCTTCCCCTCTCTCTAAAAATAAATACATATTTTTTTAAAAGATGCTCAACATCATTATTAGAAAAATGGAAATTAAAACCTCAATGATAACTATACACCTATTAGTATGGTTAAAATAAATGAAGATATAATATCAAATGACGGTCAGTATATGGATCAACTTCAAAGTGGTATAGCCACGTTGGAAAACAGTTTAATAGCTTCTTATAAAGTTAAATATACCTTTACCACAATACCCTGCCATCTTATTCCGATGCATCTACCCAGGAAAAATGAAAGTTTATACCTGTACAAAAACCTGTAAAGAAATGATTTTCCGCAGCTATATATACTCTTAATCACCAAAAAGTGAAAATAACCCAAATGTCTTTAAAAGTGAATGAATAAGCTGCACTGAATACTATTCAGCAGCAGAAAAACTGATAGATGCAACAACATGGATGAATCTCTCAAAGGCACCATGCTAAATGAAAGAAGCCAGTTTCAAAAGGCTGTGGTCTGCATGATTCCACTGACATGGCCTGGAAAATACAGGCCTACAGTGATGGAGTACAGATGAATGGTTGCCACAGGTTAAACGGAGGGGAAAGGTTTGCTACGAGGGAGCAGCAAGATGGAATTTTTAGGAATTCCATCTTGCTGCCACTACAAAATATTTTTGTGGTAGTAGTTACATGACTTTATATGTTTACCAAAACTTACAGAACTGTAAGTCATATAGAGAAAATTTTACTTTGTAAATTTACTAATAAATAAATGGAAATTTAAAAATTATTCTTTGCCTGGTCTGCTCCTTACTGTTACAGTCTCACCGTAGGGCCACCGGTTCTCCCCAGAATCACGGAGTTGGCAGAGAGCTTGGTGGGAAACAGGCACACTGCCCACGCCAATACAGAAGTTTCCCCCGGAAGCTTCCGCTTGAAAACCACCAGTTAAGAGGAACTCCCCATCTGCCAAATCAGGCCAGCTCAGTGGACAATTCTTGTTGCTAGTAAGTTATTTAATTGCTAACATCGGCTCCCCTACCACTGACCCCTAACAGCCCTGGTCCTATTCCCGGAATATAGATATATAGGCAGGGGCCATCTCCTCCATGTTAGGTGTGGCAGAAGAACTGCACAGAGGGATGGCCTGAAGCCACTCAGTCAGAAGCCAAGGGCTCACACCCCCTGGAACCACCCCTTTACATAGGAGTCTGTGAAATTGTGGGCGACCCTGAGCCATGAGAAATCATCTGGTCTGGGCTCTAACCCTAGAAATGCCTAAACCATACACCTTGGGGATCCCCCGGAGAAGAAGAAGAACATGCTCCTAGGGCCCTCTCCTGAATTAAGCTAGGAGGTTAGAGTCATAGTTATTCTCCCCTCGATCAGAAAGTTCCTTCCACATGACATTCACTCCTTTCTTCTGATCCTTTTCTGGCCTAAGTTCATGAAGAAAATCTACAAATCAATCCTGGCCAGCAAGTAAGAGAAAACCCTTAAACAAGACTTCAAGGAGTCAGCCAAGGTACAACTCATTCCCATTGGAACTTCAGCTGGGCCATCTGGATCAGCTTCTGGGGCAGAAAGGGTTCATTGCAGAGGAACGCAATCCGAGCACCACCAGGTGTCATCCTACCTGTTTGAAGTTGCCATTTTTTCTCTGCTCCCAGTCCATCATGTCATGAAAGATGGGAATCATGATATTCCGCACTTCTGGCTGTGGGACCAGTGTCACACCCAGAAAAGGACCAATCATTCCCGGAATAAAATGGATCTTATGTTCACCTGAACAACAAAACCAACAGGTATTAGTTTATGCTTGCTCTGCTCCTTCACGGAAGCTTCCGAGTAGGGCCACAGCACATGACCTGATCTGCACTGGAAACGTCTGAGAACAAAGCAAGCTCTCCCTAATGGCTTTCTGAGATACTCCCACTCTTGGATTTTTAGCCAGTTAAAATAGACATTTAACAAACAGACTCTCCAAAAAATCTACTGGGAGACTCTACAAACTACCTGAAAATCATTGTGAGGTCACAGAGCAGAGTACACTACTCTAGATAGAATAGGATTTCTGAGTAACTTGTGATTGTTTCAGATAATCTGTTCACAAGAGTTATTTAGTTAGAAAAATGCATCTAAACACAACACACACTCCCTGGGGTTTCTAACTCTAACCCAGAGGCATTTAAGTGATGAGGATGTTCACTCCCTGGTCCAGCCATTAGAGGTCGGAAGTCCAGGGGCCTCTTCACTCAGTGTGCTCATGAATGCCTGTGAGGCCCCTTCCTGTGTTAGCAGGGGCCTCCTGCACAGCCCTGCCCTACTCCCACATGATGGCTTAGAGACTCTTTTCTGGGTGCCTTACCTGCCGAGCCTGTGGTCTTTACATTGTACTTCTGATGGTGTAACTACATCTACTCAGACCAGCTCAGCTCACCCCCCAACCTTTTTAATGAGGCCTGCCCAATGGAAGTAGGTGAAGTGGGTTTCCCTGCAATTGGCCTGATCTGGGGCCCAGAAACCAGAGCCAGTCCTCAGGACTGGGGATGGAACTTATCTCTTCTGTGCAAGGGTGAAACAAGAGTGAACCATCTGTCAGAGACCTGCTTCCAGTCCTTCAGAGACAAAGGAGGAAACAAACTGTGTGCCCACATACCAACAATGGCTGTAGCAAAGTAAAATCCATTTTTGAGGACCAGAAAATGCCATTTCCACCAAAAACAGTAAGACAGGATGGTTTTATCAGGAAACTTCGGCATCTTTTAAAAAATCTCTTCTACTTGAGAAAGCTTATCTAAGGATCAAGTGTTAGCCCTGAGGCTGATTTTGCGTATGCCAATCTTGGGGTTTGGTACAATTGCAAGTTTTTGTGTTCCTGGAACTGGAGTCAACTTCAGGTTTAAAATCTACACCCAACATGTGCTAAATGCAGGAAGTAAGAATACTGAAGCTGGAAAGCCTGCCTGGGGAAACACATCTCCACCCATTGTTTGCTGGCAGGAAGAAATGCCACACACCTCACTTGTTACCTCTGGTGGTTAATGAAAGATCAGAAGATCTTAGGATCTTATATCATCATATCCAGGGCTTCAGAACCATGAGCTTATCTGAAAGCAGACTTTACTAGCTAGAGTAACAGGAGCTTCTTCTAGCTACTAAAAGCCTACATTACCGAAGGATGACCCACCTAGCTACCAGGGCAATCCAACTATGCTACCCCAAACTCTCACAATGTCAGATCCAAAGCAGTGGATATTACAGGAGCTGAAAAAAGAAGTCATCAAAAGGAAACTAAAACCTACCTAAGGGCTAAAATTCCCTTCTTACATCCACTCTTCATGCAAGCGGTATCAGGAATGTGATCTGCATGCCTGAACTCCAGAAACTCAGGAAGTGTTTCAATCTTTACTGAAATGCATGGCTGCCCCGTGCTTTGGAGCCTGCAACAACCAGACCGGGACACAAAGAACACGGGGCACCTCACAAGCATGAGTTCTTAATGTGGGAAAACTACTGGAGCCCTCATCTTCTTTTTTTTCCTTTTGATTTTCAGTTTTCAAAAAGGGGATTGTGAATATGTATTACTTGAGTCTTATTTTTCAGCTTAACTTTCCTGCCAAGGGCTTTGTGCACATGTGCTACACCATCCATATGAGGTGTTATGTTACAGACATGTGAAGATTTCTTGGGTCTGAATTAACATTCCTAAAACCTGGTGGAAGCTATGAGTCTTGCCACTTTTTATTTGGCTTTGCAAAATGTAGAAGAGACAAATAAGGAGAAAAGACCTACCCAAATTCTGCCACATGCTGAACAGTTCATAAGCCATCATCACACGCATGTCCCCATACCTGGAAATACCAACACAGGAGACAGTTATTAGTGGGAGAAGGTTCAAGAAGACAAGGCTACAAATCCAATGAGGCCAGTACTTCAGCACTGTTTCTACTGTTCCCCAAAATACTAAGTCATCTGGCTCTCAACTGAACTGCACTCTCTCCCTTGGCTCCTTGGGAAGCCACCTCAGTGAGAACCTTCTGGACTTCTAAAGGAGCCTCCTATGGAACACAACCCCATCTGGACATGTCTTACTTATCCAGAATCTTCTTCCTCTTGGCTGAAGTGATGATTTCTAGCTGGAGGCTTGGCTGATTTATGAACAGAACTGCCAGGCTAAAATAAGAATTCCACACCTAGAGAGACAGAGAAGAAAACACATGACAGCCTGAGTCCTTAACCTTGCAAGGAGAGCTTCTAAATATATATGTATGTAGCACAGAATGCATTTTATAATGTTAGATCTTGATTTCTTTTTCCCTTTTTAAATATCTTTGCAAAGAGAACTTTATTTTTCTTTCCCGAGTCCTCTGAAACCAACAGTTAATTCCAGACTAGGAAGCAGACTCATGGATGTCTAGCTTCCAACACCTCCCAAACTATCAAGCCTGAGAGTTGTTTGATACTACCAACATATTAAAAATAATAATATAAAAAAGCCAGTGAGCTTGCTCCAGCCCCCAAGCTGACGCCTAGCTGAGTCCATCTCAAATTCCTGACCTACAAAATTGTATGCCAGATAAAATGGTTGTTTTAAGTAAAACAAAAAGAGTGAGCTTTGGCTTTCTTGGTTTATTACAAAGACAGTGATAGATCTTAGGAGCTCCTACCTTAAAGTCGAAGTCTGTCTCTGCGAAATTCTTGTGCAGTGCGGAAGACAGGTACTGGACGGTAGTGACTATAATACTGCAGCAAGGGGACAACGTGTTTGGCAGAGTTAAAAGACTAACAATGGCATGATAGCTTAGCATCGACTGTGTACGGCCTGTGAGCAAACTCTGAGTACAACACACTCTCATGTAAGACATGACTATAAAGGGAAAGAGAGGGATGGTATACCTCACCCTGAAAACCAGTCTTAGAGAAATGCCTCATGGTTGGCAGAGCAGCAAAGAATATTAGTGGGTTCTAGATCTAGCTCTGCCATTATCTGGCCTTGGTACTACTACTCCCTGGCCCCTGTTTCCCTGCCTATAAAAGGAGGGAGGAGAGTTTGATGGTTTTTAAAAGATTCTTCTAGTTCAAGGAGTGATTCTAGTATGCTGGGGAACACATGTTATGATTACTAGAGGACTTAGTATAATTTCATTTTTTTAACTTGATAATAGGGATTTATAGTTTTTAAGAACCTTTGTCATATAGTATAGTTTTCATCTGTAAGTCTTTTAATTACAGCCTTTGGTTTAGAATGTCGCTCTCAATTTTAGCTTGGACACATATAAGGGGAAATGAGAAGCTGGCTTGCTGGAACCCAGGGCACAAGCAGAGGTAGAGAGGAAGTGAAGTGGAAAGAACTGACATCTAACAATGACTACCAGGGCTTTGATGCAGGAGAGGGCAAGGCAAAAACCAGTGCATTAGAGAAACCAGTCCACCAGCAGAGGCGCTGGCCAATTTGAAAGGTAAAAGCCTTGAAAGAAGAAGCTGCTCTTGCATGATGGGCTGGGAAGCCTGAGGGGCTCCGAGTAGTGGCTGAGAGATAAAAACAAGAGGGATTCAAGTGGAAAATTCACTATTTGAGGAAATATCTGTGCAACTATTCATTCATTCTGTTCTATATAAAATGTTTGCAGTTCTGAAGAAAGAAGAAAAGGGCACTATAACAGGTACAAAGTGGAAAGCCACGCTGATACCCTGCTAATATAAGCTAACTCAAATCATTTCACTACACACTGTGCAATGACAACAAAAAAGGCAGATCAGCAGGGGAGGCAGTGGGTTAGAGAGGAGCAGCCAGGTGGCCCTCTCCTGAGTGGAGGGAGATCAGATGAGGCAGCACTTGACCTCCGGCATCACTTGTCTTGTTTGCCAATTAGAAGCACAGGCTAGAAATATAAACAGGGCAGGCAATTTGCGGTCAGCCTTAGTGTGAATTCTGTGGCCAGAGTTAGAAGTGGGTAGAGCCTCACAGCCAGGTCTCAGGTGGGTAATTAGCACTAACTGTGGGAGGCAAGCAGTGTCTGGCAGACAACACAAACCAAATCAAGAGGAGGGTTTGAGATAGTGCATGAGACTCAAGAGCCACAGAAGCCAGAGGGCCACAGAAAAAGCCTTCCTTAGGGGGGAACCCTTTGCTGGGAATTGTATTTCTTATCCTTAACATTTCCTTTTCTATCCTTACTATGAAATCATCTGCCAGGCCCTTGGGCTCCATTTTTTAAAAACTATCTTTGACTCTTTCTTCTCTTTGAATTTACAGTAAAACGGTCAAGTCCTACTGATTGTGCCTAAAACACTTTTTCCCATTTACCCTCACCTCTCTGTCCCCATGGCCATGGTCTTGACCTCTTTCTTGCTTTCTCTCTTGCACAAACACACACCTTAGTCTGAGAACAACTCTGTGGATGCTAGCCCAGGGCCCTTCCACACTCACTTGCTTGTGAGAAGTCTCATCACCATCCAGTCCCGAGGAAAGACGCTCATCTTCATCAGGTTCCGGAACACACAGAAAATCTTCAGCAGGAATTCCTGACCCCAGAGGAAAGCCTGACGTGAGCCATCACCACGCCCCAGCAGCACACATTTCCTTACCAGGGCTCTCCTGACATCCAGACCATGAGGACGAGTGTGACCAGTGGGTCAGAGTCTGGTTCCCTTGTGAGGCACTTTTCTCTTACAGTGTGAGTTCTAAGTACTCTCACAGGTCAGATATAGGAGCAGATCCAAACCAGGTAGATCAGAGGCAGCTATGTACTCACTTAGCCCAGTGACTAAAGCCCAAAGCCTAGGTAATGCCAGACTCCAGATGAACCGGTATCCATCCAACTGAGTTTGTGGGTCTCACTCTTTGGGTCATGGCCCCTGAGTATTTGATTTTAAGAATCTGCTTTCTTGGATGTCAGGAACACACTGGCAGGAGAAGTACTTTAGGAATGGCAGAGCAAGGACCTCCAAAAATGTGCTCCTCCAAGAAAGCAATGAAATGGTGACAAAAACTGGTTAACCAAGGGCTTGCAGTAATCCAAGGAGTGTTATTCAAGAAGAATGGTTGTATCTCAGCAGAAAGAGTGAGCTTCATTGTGCTTTCACTTTCCCATTCCCATCCCCTCCCTCTCCCCACCTCCATGGGACTGGGAAAACAAGCGGCACCACGGCAGTAGTGGGACTCTGCAGCCCAGCAGTCACTGAAGGGACGAAATGGTTTTGGAACTCCTGAAAGAGTGCCATCCCCAGAGAATTGTTACTCTCTGATCTGTTTGGTAGTCACTGAGGAAAGCCCCATTCAGAGGACTTCAGAGCTCACTCAGTGAGAGAAGCCTTAACACTAAGGCATTTGTTGGGAAAAAAAGTCCGTCATAATAATTTTAACATCCCAAGTACATGAAGCAGTCGTATGTATCAGCTGGGGCGAACAAGAGAACACACATAACACTGAAAAGAAATATCTGGGGAATGAGACAGCCATAAGGGTCTTTGAAAAGCTCTGGCACATTGCTGGGCATCAAGAAGGTCTCCCCTGTGTTGTACACACAGGGTTGTACACATGCCCAGGAAAGACCTCTGGCTGACCGGGAGGCTCTGTGTAAGTGGGAAGCGATGGCCAAGGCAGTGATGAGACTGCTCGAGCGCTGACAGACCCAACACACTCACTTTGCTAAGTATGGGAGACTTCCAGGTTCAAGGCATTTAACGAAATCTCTGTCAAGTTATTAGCTGACCACTAAGCTAATTGAATGAAGACTTCAGTGGCTACACACAACAAAGAATACAGACATTTAAAAATTAGTCCAGAAAAGTCACCAAATAAATAAGCAAACAGTCATCATCACCAGAAACAACAAAAAACAACAACCAAACCTGGGGTGGGGTGGGGTGGGGGGTGGTGTGTGTGTGTGTGTGTGTGTGTGTGTGTAGATGGGTAATCTGATTTCCAGAATTCCCATGTTACTTAAATTGTCTAGTTTTCAACAAAAAGTTATACAATGTGAAATGAAACAGAAAAGTGTGGCGCAAACATAGGAAAAAAAAATGTCAACAGACACTTTCCCAGAGGTAGCTCAGACATTGAATTTACTAGGAAAAGGCTTTAAATCAACTACTTTAAATGTGTTCAAAGAACTAAATGAAACCATAACTAACAGAATTAAAGAAAAGTATAAGGGCAACAGTTCGCCAAACAGAAACCATCAGTAAAATAGAAATTATTTTAAAAGCATCAAACAGGAATTCTAGAGTTGAAAAGTATCCTAACTCAAGTGAAAACTTCAGTGGAGGGGCTCAATAGCAGGTGTGAACTGTCAGAAGAAAGAATCAGAGAATTTAAAGACGGGCGATTGAGATGATCTAGAGGAACAGAAAGAATAAAAATAAAGAAAAACAACAGAGCACCACAGACTGTGGGACGCCATCAAGTGCACAATCCTATAAATAATAGTGTTAGAAAGAGAGGCATGATAAGGAGGACAAAATATTAAATAAATATTTGAAGAAATATTGGCCAAATTGCCAACATTTAATGAAAGAAATTTTTTAATCTACACTTCCAAGCCACTCAATGAACTCTAGGCTTTTGCCACTGTGTCGGAAGACTGAATGAAGGCTGCTCTCTGGAGCAGCTGATCACTGAGGGTCTGTCCTCAAGGACACAGTCGGGGGCCAAAGTACCAAAATAAAACCAAGCATACATAGAAAGTTCACCTGCTGCACTGGTAGACTCCCAGCCTCCTTTCCCTATTTGGTTTCCCAATATTGGCAGGCTGCAACATCCCTAGTAGGGGTGAAGGAGTCCTCTTTGAGGAAACAGGCAAGTACCAGGCAACAGGCAAACAGACACTGGGATTAGAGGACGCACTGACCAAGTGGTCAGACACCCTTTGGTCATCTACGGGAAGCCTGCAGGACACAAGCCCTGTGCACATGCAGTTTGTTTTTTTTTTTTTAAAGATTTTATTTATTTATCTTTAGAAGGGAAGGGAAGGAGAGAGGGAGAGAAACATCAACATATGGTTGCCTCTCGTGCATCCCCTGTTGGGAACTGGCCTGCAACCCAGGCATGTGCCCTGACTGGGAATCGAACCGCAATTCTTTGGTTCACAGGCCCGCACTCAATCCACTGAACTACACCAGCCAGGGCCACACAGTTTTTAATCAGTACCAGAGGCCCTCGCTTTTGGACACAAACTGACATGCAGGGGTCTCTACGTACAGGAGGAAAGCCTCTAACATGAAAGACAGAGAGTGAAACAAATAAAAACAAATAAGTCTCCAAGAGAAAAAAAGTGGCCTGACAGTATCTGTCATATCTGACCATGAGGAAAATGAAAAGGAGAGTTATATTACAGAGATGACAGAGAAAGTAAGAAATCCTAGCCAGATTTTAAAGTTAAAAGAAAATAAAACCAAGCAAATAACAATAGAGGCAATTAATTCCAGGAAAACCAAAAACTTTTACAAGAAAGGAAGTGTAAAAACAAACAAACAAAAACAAAAAAAGAAAAAAAAAGAAAGGAAGTGTAAGAGTACAGCTCCTGGCTCACCACAGTACTTAACCCTAGCTATAATAAAGAAGGGTAGACTACCAATTAAAAAAAAAAAAAAAACATACGATGGAGAATGAGAGGAAAGACATGTGTATGCGTGTGAGAGTAATGGTTCAAGAGAATCCTCCTCACTTTCCCTGGGAAGGAGAAAATAACTAATAATTAAAAATTTCAAAATGCCAGTAAAAGCTACTTGAAGAACTGCAAAAGAGTTCCAAGTGGTTGTCTTTGGGGAGTAGTGACTGGACATGGGTGAAGCTGAGCCAAGGAACCACTGTTCTATGTTGTAAGATTTGTAATGTTTGGCCTTTAAAATTATGTATTCATATTGCTCTTATAAAAATAAACATTTAATTAAAAAGCAAGATGATGATGCTGGCCTGAGCTTCTGAGAATTAGTAAGTATAACACATACTCTGCAGATGCAAATGATCTAGAACAGCGAAGACGGGGTTCTCAGGCTCCACACCCTGGGCAAGCACTGCTCGACCTGGCTGTGCACTTGGGGCTCTGGCTAACTCTCCGTCTGCTTCAAGGTTGTTGAGTTCACCTCCCTGAGAAGATCAGCTGGCCTCACACAACCAGTTAAAGATAACAATGTACAGAGACCCATGTCTGTGGAAAGGCAGGCAGGGTCAGATAGCAGAAAGTGACAACTTACTAACTGATACAATATAATTAAGAAAGATCATACAAATGAAATACAGTGTAATGCATTACTGTGAAATGAAAGTGACTTGGCTCTGAATGGAGGAAGAGCACAGACCTAAAGTTTGCAACAGTTTCTTTATCCTGAGATGAACTTGAGTGGTCTGTTTTAATGCACAGACACAAGGCCCAGAAGTCTGTCAGCAGCTGACACCACACATGAACCTTGGGTATGTCCTTTGCATCATGGGCCCACTGTTCTGTGCTCCTCAGTGCCCAGCCCCTCAGTAATCTGGGATCCAGAGTCTGGCAGCCAATGGACAGTGCTCACTTTTGCTCTCCATGGTAAATGTCCAGAAATACATTTTAATGAGGAAACAAAGTTATTAAACAAAGAAGCCTGGTGTGTAGGGGAAAAATATAGGCACAAGAAAGGGAGGGATCTTGGTTTGCTGCCAACCAGTGTGGCCCAGAGTAGCTTCTCAGAGGCACATGGTCACAAAGCTACTGTCAGTCAGAGAAAGCCTGCCGGGATTATTGGGGTCTGGCGATATGGGAATGTTGCCAGCTCTCAGCTTCCGGAGGCCATACAGTCAGCTGTAAAGTGGGGCTGATGGATCTTGACCCTTTGGCAGTCCTGGCCTGATCACTTGCACTTCCCCCTAGCAGGGGACAAGCCCCTGGGCGGTCTTAACCAAATACTTCCTTTCCTGGGTGAAAGGTAAGTGCTTTGCTGCCTACCTTGAGTTCGTCTTTGCTCTGGAAATTGTCCAGGAGGTGCTGGTAATGGGTGTCACACATCTGGCGGAGCAGCGAGAGAAGGCAGGACACATATTCACCCTGGGGAAACCCAAACACCGCTTAGCACAGACAATTACAAAGGATATGTTCCCCAATCCACAGAGGGCAAGGACAGAAGGAAGGGTCTGAAATGGCCCCAATGATAATGAAAAGCAAGGTGACAACTCTGGCCCTGAAAATGAGTTTTCTTTTCTGCTAAATGAGAGCTGGAGGACTTGGGAGTTTTGCAAGATTTCCACAGCACGGGGCTAGTTGAAAAGCCTTAACCTGTAACAAAGAAGTACTGTAAAGTAAGATGGATATTCTAGTTTTTTTCCTAGGAAAGTTTTGGCTACAGAGCCTTTGTCACTATGAGACCAGGGCACTGTAGTGAATCTGGAGGGGCTACTTGAATCAGGGTGCCTGGCCCTCTTTGGACACAATTTGGACTCTGCCCATGCTGCTGGATCCTTCTCCACAAGACTCCCCTTGGGGACCTCTCAGAGCTTACTTGTGGTTTAGTGGACCAGGCAGATGGAACATAGTAGGTCAATACAACTGTCTGGGAAGTTCAGGAATTGAAACTGACCTGTATGAGAAGACAAGCTATGGACCTTAAGACAAGTGAAAATTTAAAGATAAAAATGAGTCTTAAAACTTTCTTCAAATTACAACTAGGTACCTTGGTAAAAACCCTGTTTGAAGGACTCCCGAGACCTCTGCCCTCTCACGGCAGTTTTTGGCATGGGGCAGCTGGGTATGGCCTCTTCTTGGAAGATGGCCTCCTCAGAAAAAAGTGGAGGAAAATGACTTCATTTGGACAATTTTCAAATGTTTTAAACTCATGGGAATTTGAGCCATGAAATTATTATACATAAATGTATGTAAAATATATGCATATATATGAACTTCCGTTTTATCTGAAAAATAGGCATAATCAGCCAAAACTCATAGATCAGATAAATATCCACAAAGAATTTAAGTAAAAGGTTCAGTACATAAATAGGTACTCAAACTGTAGTTATTATCTTCATTAAACCTATATAAAATTAAACTCTTTGTAAGTATTGCTGATAACTGAGGTACTATTTGTAAGGGACATACGGCAGGGACTGGACACAGCAAGCACCAGGTCACTGTTAGAACTGGTTACCAGGACGTGCCAGGGAGCTTATGTCTGTACCTACAGTGAGGACACCCTCAACAGGAGCTCCTAAGGGAGCAGGCGTCTTTCCAAGCCCAGTGCCCCACAGCACACGCCTGCTCTCTGCTCACCCTGGCATGTGGAGCCTGGCTTGCTCCCAGAGAGCGTTTTCTTCAAAAAGAACACTGTAATCTCCCATGTGCCAACTGGAAGATTCCATTCTATGTTCACTATGTTCCAACATCAGGTCTGAGAGTCCACTCTGGGTATAGGAGAGGGGACTCTGGGGGCTGCCTCTCTGCCCCTCCCTAGAGGCTGTCCCTGCCTGCTTCTCTTCTAATTAGGTCACAGGAGATCACTGTCCTGTAATGTTGGTGCAATTCTACCTCATCACCTTTATCCTGAGGCTGGACATTGAGATATAAACACTATGGATGAGAGCAACTAATTGGTAGGTTCAACAAAATTCTGAGAAAATTATTCTGCTATGCACACCATTTAGGAGAGCTTGTTCCGAAAGCTCTCCTATCATTTAGAAGGAACAGTCTGTTTCCACCTTCAGTCTCTTACTGTATCTCTATTTCATTCCACATTATAGAAAACGGCTTGGCTCAAGGTAAAGGCCAATGGACAGTGTGCAGGAAACAGGACGCTTTTCCTGAATCTGCCCTAAAGCAGGCTCCTGGGAGTATGAACACAGAGCTCTCAGAGTGGAGATGGAGTCAGACTGGAGAGGGGAGAGGACAGCATGCTGACAACCATGCAGGTGGGAGGCGGAGATGAAGGCAGTGTGAGGTGAGATGGGTTGTTGTGGAGGAGCCCCAGGTTAGAACGGGAAACAAGGAAACCTGAATGTTAGTTACTAACAGTGATCTCCGCTGTGCACTGCGGGCACCGCTGCCCTCTTACCGCCTCCTGAGCGTGCGATTTGCTCATGATGGTGAGCAGAGTCTGCAAGAGCACGTCCAGGAGGCTCTCCACCATCATTTCTACCTCCTCCATGACATCTGCCTCCTGGAGCGAGCAGTGAGAGAGCACACCATTAGCCCAGGCCGCGCCGACACGCAGCTGGCGGTACTTACTACATCAGCCACCTCAGCACTGGTCTTCAGACTGGACTCTCAGCACTACTCAGCCTCACTAGCATGCAATGTCAAGGAACCTGGGGCAACGGCTTTGAGAGACAGTGAGGAGCACCCACCGCTGCTGCCTGGCATGCTGGCTGGGACCTTCCCCTAACCCAGCATCACCTGACCCCCACAATTCTGAACTGCAGGCAGGTACATTAATTTCAATACCCAGGACATAAGCAAAGGTCTTAAGTTAAAGGTTTTCTTTGATTTCCCTATAAATGTCAGCCCAACAGTGCTGCTAACACTGAGAAAGTGGCCAAGTATTCACACTACAGGGTGTGGGAGGCAGCGCCTTCACCATTACTACTGCACACAGAAGTATCTCGGTCTTTCTGAAGACTGTTTTCTCCTCAGCATGTTCTTCCTGGGTGGTCTCACTCTCTGCCAGCCCCATCTGCCTGGGTCTCACTTCTAGCTCCTCAGCCTTCTGGCTCATGGCTGCTGGTCCACTCAAAGGACTCCAGTGTCAGTGCATCTTTTCGAGTAGCCTCACAGAAACACGGAGCGTGCCTCCTCACTAAGGGCTGTGTCCCAGCCACAAGTTCTGAACTCAGGAAGAGTCTATGCTGTCCCTTTATAGACCTCTCATTTTCAATCTCAAATCCTGTAGCTTGATTTTAATGATCTCATGAAGAGATTCCCATGGCCCCTTCTTCAGCCTCTTTATGTTATTACTGGTCCAAAAGTCCATCTGTCCATCCATCCATCATTCATCCCATGCCAGTCACTGTTTGAGGACCTGAATATACAGAGGTGAAGAAGGAAGACAGTTCTCCGCTCTCGGGGAGCTTCCCTCTCGTTTTTCCCCTGCCCCTCCATGTGATGCCCATTCCACAGGAAAAATCCAAACAGCTCTTCAGCCCTTAGTCGTTTCTCATCTGCTGAACTGACTGTAGCCACTCACCTGTAAGAACGCCTCCCTGAGTAGTGGTAAACAACTAACTGCATCCAATGCTTTATCTGTTCCAACTCCTCCGTTTCCCTTTCTTTTATCCTTTAATCTTCCTCCTTTCTTTTTGTGTTTTTAGCAGTAAGTCTCTCACCCTAGGACTGACCTTGGGTTACTAACAGACCTTATGCGCCCTGTGTTGCCTCTCTGAGGCCTGGTGGGAAGGGGGCTGCTAGGCCTTGCCTGGTGCCAAGAGCGAACAATAGGGCCACTACGCCCTCACAGTGGCCCTGCCAAGCTGGGCCCCGTCACCAGATGGTACTAAGTCTGGACACCACAGCTTCTTACTGGGTCCCTGTATCCTGCTCAAACCAAGCATACTCTCTTTTTGGCACCTCTCCTGATCCCCATGGCTAGACTAACCTTGCATGTTGTCAGCTGGCTACTGGTCTTCATTTTCAATGCAACTGAAGTTTTTATTCTCCAGAAACCTTACCTTAACTTAATAAGATGGTATAATAAAAAAAATTCTTGTTCTTAATTTATTTTTATATTTTCCAATTTTTTTCTATGACAAATGTGTATTTCTACAATCATAAATATAAATAAATATCATTAAAATAAATTTTTCATGCCTGATACATGTCATTCCTTCCCTCCCCACCTCCCACCACAAATTTCTTTTTAAAAGGAAATATAAAGAAGAAAATAGGCAAAAACATTCCTAGTTGAAACCTCACCCCTAAAACACAAGTCTACCCTCCCATGGGGCTCAGAGCTCCTGCAGGCAACACTTCTCTCTCTGAGATCCCGACCTCAGCTGGCATGGCACAGGTGTGCCGTATGGGTGGAACCGGGCTGCTAGGAAGCTGACAGAACAGTCTGAATGAGCAAGCTGCCTCTCAGCCTGCCTGTGCGCTCCTGCTCGTGCCCGAGCTTCCTCAGGACACTCCCAGGAAGAGACAGAACACCTTTGATAAAAACAGAGAATGCCACAGGACTGCACTTCCTGGTATTACAGACAACTACGTTTCTGGGCAGATTTATGGTAGTGAACCTTTGAAAAGAGCAAGGCTGTGCTGTGCTGAGAAGCCTGCTGGGCACACATAGGCCTCCATTCACTGGGGCACCCCCCGGCACTAATGAAAGCTCCTCTGACTGAGAAGTAAGTGTACAAAGCCGTCTTTGTTGGTCTGCCTCTGGCTGAGACACCACCAGTCTGGGGCCGAGCTGAGGGGTGGAGTGGGTGTGGGGCCACTACCAGAGAGCTGGTCTTGACGATGGAGAAGATGCTGCCAAGAATCCCTGAGCAGATGAGCAGCTCCTTCTGCTGCCGCAGGTGAAGGTGAATGTGATGGAGAACCACAGGAAGCAGGATGCGGCGGGATTCTGGGAGAGAAAACACAAAGGTGAAGAAACCCTTCAGAGGGGAATGAGCCACCTTTGGAAGCCAGTGGTACTGTGGTCTTAGCTGGTCTCAAAGCAGGAGGTGCTGGGGCTGGAGCCAAGCTGGAGGCCACCCCTTTCCGTTCTGTGGGCCTAGAAGCCCACCTGCTGGGCATTATAAGAGATCCCACAGCATTATCCTTCCACCTCTCTTTCCTTCTTTCTCAGGTCAAGACTGCGCATCTATGACATTTTGTGCGGGATGAATGTTAGGGCATGGTTTCCAAACAGCATCTCTTTAATGACCAGACTCCAAATTAAAGGCTTAGTTAACAGTGAAAACTCCATTTAAATGACACACACACAGCTCTATGAGCTGCACTCGCTGAACCTGCACACTTCATATGGATTGTAAATGGTCCCTCTACAAGGCACCCTGACCAGGTGGCCTGGTACTTCCACTCCATGAACAGAAAAGAAGCAGGACTTGTGTCACAAGCCTCTGATAATTAGCTAACCCTCACTGCCGATCCAACTTGTCTTTTCTCCTTAACGGTAACCAAGCAGCACTGTCATTCGGAGGTGAGTCTGTATTAACTCACTCGAAGACCTTAGGTAGGTGGCTTCTTCCCAAGGGCTTGACTTTCCTCATCTGTAGAATGAGGAGCTAATGGCCTCTTCTGCATTTCCTCAAAGGCGCCATGAGAGTACAAGCGTGAACGTCAGGTCTGTGGTCCCTGCAGGCACCCCCAGACCTGGCCAGCATGACTCAGCCGGATTACCAGTAACACAAACAAGCCATGGCATTCTGGATTTATTGTTCATATTTCACCACAGTTAGGTGTTCCGGATGAAATTTAGAAACAAAATCTTTGTCAGCCAAAACCAAATTACACAACACACAGAGATTTTGAGACTGCCTTGTTAATACGTATGAGAATATGTTCCAATGAAATGGACTGACAGCTATTCTATCTTTAAAAAGACACTTAGCTAAAAGAGAAGTTCCCAAGAAGTTCCTATCTTGCAGACCAAAGTACCGACAAAGCAGGATTTGTAATATCCAATAGCTGCCTGCGGGCAAAAGAGCAGAGTCTGCTGAAGACAAGACCAAACTAATGTGCTCTGAGAGTGTGTGTGTTGGTCAAATGACACCGCTGGTGAAAAATCCCCACTTTAGGGAAGATGCTGCAATTCCGGCATCCAATGGAAGTGAGATGCAAATGAAAATCTGGTGGTGACTTGTCATCTCAAAATCCAACTACACAGTTCCACTGCCACATACAGATTAAGAACAAGTTTTCTTCGTGATTATGGGAAGCAGAAGGTACATGCAAAAATATCAGAAATAAAGTATATCAGTGAGAGCAGTCTGCTACCCGCCCTCCCCAATATTCAGAAAGCATCTTTTTAAGCAGTGCGCAGAGCTTGAGTGTGGGCAAAGGCCTCCGTGACAATGTGTCCAAACCCCCAATTAAATCTTCACTCCAGAAGCCAGTAAAAAGAGAGGGTTTACCATAAACAGTAACTGAGAGAGAAGCTGGTTTTCTTGATGGCAGCTTTACCATCAGCAATACCCACCACTGGCAAGTTAAGTTAAAGAGAACGTCAACTTTGTATTGCAAATGTGTGTAGCCCTGGACTGGGAAACTATTGTTCTTAATACTTCAAAAGTCATACTTAGCATATTTTTCTAGCAAAAATTCTAATTATAAAAATTCTAATAATTGTTTTGCTAGCATTTCAGACTTACCTGGAATCAAGAAATCAAGGAATCAAAAAAGCACAATGGGTCCTCTGGGCCTCCTTCAGGGTCTCCTTATTTCCTTGACTTATCCTTTCCACTTGGGCTGGACCCTTCTCTCTTGCTCCCCTCTTTCCCTCTGTTCTCTGGCCCTGTTAGGGGTGAGGCAGGCCTCATCCTTGGCAGCTGGCTAGACTTTTGGGCCTGGAGTTGCTCTGCGGGCCATGCCATGTGCATCTCTAGGGATAAATCGTGAGTGCGGCAGTAGGCTTGTCTTGCCTCCATCCTCGAGCATAGTCTACTAAAAATTCTGCATTTTAAGGACCACCGGCTTCTAGTATGATGGTTGATAAAGACGATCCTTTGATTACCACTTGACTAGCTCTCTGGAAAAGTGAATATGACTCTCATCCCAACTAAATTTACCTGAGAAAGAAAACAGGCGGCTGTCCACAGTCCTGGCGATGGACTGCAGCTTCACCACATCCATGGACTGCCCAATGTGGACAGTGCTGGGCATGCTCCCCAGCGTCCCTCTCACAAACTCTGCCACCTCCTGCACGGTGAACATCTGCAGCAGCTCGTCGAAGATGGTTGGGAAGGAGTTGAGGAGTGCAGCCTGCAGAAGCAAGTGAAACTGTGGTCAGCCTGGAGGTTAGGGTGTATCTATGTGACAAAGATGCAGGTGTGAGAGGCTGAGAAGGCCCTGTGAGCCCTGCTGTGAGTGGGTTCCTCCCTGGATTTTCCCACTACATCTATCCCTGTAGCACTTATGCTTGGGACATGGAGCTGGGAGAACCAAAATGGAAATCAAAACAGGGGAAATGACTGGGGCCCAGGCCACCTGAAGCTTTCACAATTTGCCAAGGAATTTGCTGCGAAGGGAATATAAAATGAAACCAGCTCAACCTGGCTTAACACCCATGGCTGTTTATGCATATAAAATGGATTTAAATTTTTTATCTCTGTCACTATGATCAAACTCTTGACCTTTCAATTTTGGCCTCAAACTCAAGCCAAGAGCCTCTCAAAGAGAGTACGGCAAAGAGATCTGAGCACCTCCAAGCAGCACTAACTGAACTCTGCTCAGAGCCCCGCAGCCAGCAATCCAGCTGAGAGCTGGACCATTTTCCCAGGACAGACACATTTATTTGAAACCATGAAATCTGAAGACTTTATTTCCTTCATATGTGACGTCTGGCAGCTCGAGTGTAAATCTGAAGGATGAAGAGTGTGTGGGTTCGGTCAGGCATGAACTCGGACTTGCAGCAGTGATGGTGCAGAGCTCCATGACCTAGATGGTTCAGGGAGTGTGTGTGTCAGACACTTCTAGGGTCTCAGCTCTAGCAGACCCATGAGGTGGGTCTCAAGGGCAATCTGATAATAATTCCAGGGTCTTTGGGAGGCAGAGTATAAGAGAAAGAATGAGCTTGGGATGACGTGACAGACATTGAGTTCAAATCCCAGTTTTACCATTTATCTGCCACAGAACCTTGGGTGAGTTACCACCTAATCCTCAGTTTTCTCATCTATAAAATGGGATGATACTTATCCACAGGCATTGGTATGAGTATAAAGCTAGGTGCATACAGTTTGTTTCCAGTCAAGTGCTTGGCCCACAGTAGGCCTTCCATAAACACCAGCTCTCAGTCTTCTCTTGTCTACATGGAGGCAGCATGAAGGAGCCTTTTCCACTTCTCAGTCCTCCACACGACCAACCCGAGGTGAACAAAGGGAAATGGAGTGTCGCCTGGAGACAAGGAGGCGAGGGGACACTGTTCCTGAGTGGCGGGTAGAGGAGGGAGGCCGTTTTCCTTGACTGATTCATCAGAGAGCAGACACAGGCCTTGAGTGAGTGGGAGTCTATGCCACCGGGAAAGAGGTCTGTCAGCCTGCAGTCCACGCTCAGGCCAGGCCCAAGGACAGAACTTACAGGAAGTCTATCTGAAGATTTGAAACTCTCTGAGATAACAAGGAAGTTATTTTGCAGTAATCAGAACCATCACAAAAACATATCATCATAAGCAGTTAGATAAAAAAAGGCAAAGGGAGAAAAGCAGGTACTTCATAATCAACAACAAACAGTAGCTGATCTGCTTTCTTAAATAATGAAATTTCCTACATTTATGCACCAGGAGGGGATACTTGCACCCCAACATCTCCTAGTGGTCAGGATCAAAGAAATAAAGTCTGACCCAATAATATACTTGGTGAGACTTCTGAAACTCATGAAACATGAACCTGGCACCAAAGAAGCAGGTCTGATCCCGACTCAGGTCTAAGCTGAGACCAGATCTCACTTTGCCTCCTGATGTGACAGGAGTGTATCACTAAGTACAGGGCACTGCTGAGTTCTCCCAAATCACATTTGCCTTGTTCTGCTAGCTACCTCAGAGTTAGCTACCTCTCTCTGCAAGCTGAAGAGAAGAGTCCTAGGCCCTTGTTAGCAGGAGCAGATAGGCTGGGGGAGAGAAGGGAGGAGGAAGATTAGCTGTTCAAGGTACTTAGGAGAGGAGACCATGGAAGGAGGCTTTTATATAGAGGCTCCTGACCTTGAGGTGTTCCCACTTCTTACAGAGTCCAGCTCCCAACTGCTTGCCTATTCTCTGCGCCAAGTAGTCTATAAAGACCATTGTCACCAAGGGGCAACAGAGAGATGTGGAAAGCACAAAACTGCTCTAATCTTAAATGAGATTATTTAAACATACATTTGTACTCATGACTGTCCTGGAAGTGACTGAATGGACATGAGAAAGGCTATTTGGCGTGAGCTGATGGGTTTCGATGTAATAATTAGCCTCAAAAACAATCAAGTGTAATTCATTAGAGACAATTCTGACATTTGTAAGAGAAAATAACCCTATTGTGACTGGGGCAGTGGACAATATCCTTGATTCTTCTCAGGGTGAGGCTGCAGGAAAAAGGTTAACAGGTTAACTGTCTAGATATTTTTAAAGTAAGAAAGCAAATTTCCTTCCCACACTGATATTGCTAATAGAATCCATTTATTCTAATTCTTGGCCAAAGTTTTCTTGTTATTTATGCTATTTTCATCCTATTTATTTCTTAACTGCTGAAATGGACAAGTACTATTCTGAAATTTTTTAAATTAATACAGTGACTAGGAGATTAAACCCCCCTATACATTGTGAACACCCTCTATAAATAAGATGTCCATAAATAACTACTGTGTTGTACCTAAATAAATTTTGTCTAAAGGGGGTCCCTGAGAACAAAGTTGTGCTTTCCTACCATAAAGCCATTGGCCTATTTCGTATTTGGCAGCTGGGGAACAGCTGGTTTGGAAGTAAAGGCAGCTTTTCATTCTATTAGATACTTCCTTATAAATCGCCCCTCACCCAGACAGGAGCCTGGCAGGGCTCCTTTAACTTTGGTAGCAGTAGGACAAAGAAATTGCCCACCAAGATGGACAACAACCCAGCACCAAAGCTTCCCCGTGGCTCACAGACCTGAGTGAACAGGAGTGTTTCTGAGTTCCTGCTGTCCAGACTGAGAACAAACCGGATGGAGTGGAAAAGTTCTTGGATGCTGGACCGGAACTGCTCCTCTTCCATCCCACAGGTGGCTCTTGAGTAAAGGATCCTCGACTGCACGATGAACTTGAAAAGGTACTCCAAGGCCTGGAGGTATAAGAACCAGAGTAATAGAGAGGCGTTAAAGATGATCAAGAACTAACACAGCAGGAAATGAAGGGCAGAGTAATAGCAAATTCTACACTAAAATCAGGTGATGGATAATTCCAACTGTGGAGATAAGTACTTCTTTTTTAACCTTTATTAAAAATCCAAATGGTCACTGAGCAGCAGTTGCCATCTTCCTGAGAGAAGACAAATTACTTCACAACTGTGTTTCGAGATTCTGGAATTGAGGAATCACAGACTGTCATGGAAATAGTTGAATCCAAGAACATACAGGATCCAAAGAAAATTCCGTGTCAGCAATAAGAAGTGGGCTGTCTTTCTGGAACACCAGAGGATAGCTTAAAGAAGCTATCCTCAAACCTGCCAAGGACACCCCTGCAGGTAATTCACAGGGACAAATAATAATGCCATTATTCTCATTTTTTTCAGTGGTAGAACTACCTTGGAAAGGCCTTGACTCACAGCGTGAGAGGGAAAGATGAAATAAGAACAGCAAGGTGCGGTGAATGACAGCAACGAAGAAGAGGAGGTTTCCTGGGCCACAGCACGTGATGACAGAATGAGAGGTGCCTGGCCAGAAGTACTTAAGTCCTGTGTGGAAGGTTGGCAGCAGGATCGGGTGGAGACTTACCAGTTTGGTCCAGACAACTTGTAAATGGAAATTTACTAAAGAAGGGGAAATGGAATGATAAAACGTGGTACTGGACACGTTAGTACTGGGTGCCGTACAGTCAAGTTTGAAGGGCTAAGAACAAGTACAAAGTACCCTAGAATAAGGCAACTCTTCCTTCCCCCCACCCAAACCTCCTTTTTCCATAAGTGACCCTGTACCAACCTGACCAACCTAGCCAGACACTTATGAAACCAGCCTCAGTTCTTCCTTTCTGTCACCTCCCATATTCACTCTAACATTTGAGAGCCCCTGTTTTGGTCACATCAGCCACTTTTTCGTTACTTGAAAACTCAAACTCTTTTCCATCCTGGCTTTTAAATGCGCTGTTGCCTCTATCTAGAAGGCTTTACCTAGCTCTTAACACTGGTTTCAGCTCAGTGGTCCCCTCCTCAGAGAAGCCTCCTCTAAAATCTTGATCTGAAGCATACCTTCCTCTGTAGTCATTCTGTTCCTGGCTTATTTCCAGGTTTATTTCCTTCACAGTATGCACTAAGTTTTTTTCACACTAACTTTGTATATTTACCTGTTTCACATGTTTATTGTCTGTCTTTCCCCTACTTGAATGAAGTGCCATGAAGCTTAGCATTTTTTTTTTTTTTTGCTTGGGACCCTGCTGAATCCCCAGGAGCTACTACAGTGCCTGATACATGGCACGTATCAAGCAATGATGAATGAACAAATACTTCTTCAGAGAAAACAACTTCTGTAAAGTCTTCTTCAGTATCCTTAAGCAACTGATTTATGGATTCATACAGAATCTTTTGAATTTAACCCAACTGTTACTCCCTGAAATATTATGTGAGGCCCCTGACAGATGCTGGGGTCAGAGAAGAGAACAGAACCCAGGCCCTGCCCACACATCACACACAGGACCCTGCTCTACACGTGTCTGTGCCTGCTTCCCCTTGGGGCACTGGAGACGTGTTCTTGAAGGGAACAGGCCTGCCTCAGCCCTCTTCACGTCTCAGCACCCACAACAGATGCCAACTGCTCTACGGACATGAACTATATGAAGGAGAGAAATGAGACTCACAGCTTTAGATTTGTATAGAATGTGCAGAGAAAAAGCAGGGAAAACACGAAATCTGTGGTTTGATTTTGCCTCTTCAATCTTATGTCACTGGGGCAACATGTGTTTTATCTGTGACCAGGTAGCAAGAACAACAAATCACAGGCCCAGCTCGACTTAGAACAGATGATGTGATGTTAAAAGAGGACAGAAAAAAATGGAGAATTTCTTTGCTGTCATTCTTTTATTTCCAAAAGACATAGTTAAAAAGCAACTATAATAAAAGTAACTCAAGAACAACAAAAAAGACAGGGACAGAAAGAGGGAAAGCATGGACTTGCTTTAAGTGAGTTCCCAGGGTATATGACAGCTTTCTTCAAAACACTGTCTGGAAAACCACTGAATAAGAGAGGGACCAACATTCTCCTAGGCCGTTCTCCGTAGCAGAAGCAGCAGCATGAGAAGAAGTTACTGGAAAGTAGAGCTAACTCACGGTGAGGATGGTGTCCTAGTAACGGGCTGCCCAGCTAGGCAAAGGGATGCCTTATCATGGTCCCTGTCCAAGCAGGAATGCTGCCATGGTGGACCCTGGGTTCTCCCAAAGGTCAAGGTTTTAAGATTATCTTCTCAACACGTCAGTTCAGCTCTTTACTTAAAAGAGTTCTGAAAAACAATGTTCAGTAATTACTGAGGAAGGAAAAAGTATTAAAAGATCTTAACTTTAATCCATTATGCCACCAACACTGGCTTAGAAGGAGATAGGATAGTTAGCTAGTGGAAGCAAAGAATCATGCTGTTGGCAAAAACCAGAGAGGTCAGCCAGGAGCCGTGTGTGCCTCAGTACTCCCTCCTGCTTTCAGATAACATCAACAGGAATAAACACCTTCTGGGGCACAGTCAAGGTGAGAAAAAGAGAATAATATGTGGTCCAAAGCATATACTGATCCTGGGCATCTACACCTGTCCTACACACTACACCACTGAGGTTACTCACAGATGACTGCAGGGGTGGGCCATCTACGTACAGTGAGCTCAGTACATTACCCGCATGGCTTCCTGAATGTGGTCCTGCCGAATCAGTTCTGCTGAGCAGTCCATGTACCACTTTAAACAGCGGATGAGCTCCCTGGGAAAGAGAACAGTTCCAGAAACCCCACTTTAATTCATAAGCAATGCAGCCTAAAGTGGTTTCAGCCTTGAATCAGCCACACAGGAAATAACACCCTGCTGATGAGCCAGACTGGTGTGATAGACCCACTGCAGCTGTGAAATCTTTGGATCTCCGAGACCAGACAACGCTCCTTGTCCATAAAGATTTGCCACATCTTAATTAGGAATTACAATCACTCTTTACCATTCTTTGATTAAAAGAAAGTTTTCCTGAAGTCTTGGGCTGTGTTTTTTCATGTTGCCTGAAATTGCTGTCTCTACAACATACAGCAATGACTAATAAATAGTAGACTCTGTGTGGAGTCCTGGGAACACCTCTTTGCTCCTTCATCTCATCTGTTTTATTCCTTAGGTATCAAGTCCCCCAAATGAAATGACATTACAGGGTCAGAAGGCCGGCACATTCGCAGAGCAGTAGAGCACAGCGGTCAAGAGCACAGAAAGGCCCTGGTCTGACAGCAGGATTCGCATCTAGTTTATCAGCTTCTAGCTCTGTATTCTTCGGCAAGTTTTCTTTTATTTTTTTTAAATCCTTACCTCAGGATATGTTTATTCATTTTTAGAGAGAAAGGAAAAGGTGGAGGTGGGGTGGGAGAAACATCCATGTGAGAGAGAAATATTGATCAGTTGCCTCCTGCATGCACCACCCTGATCAGGGATGGAACCTGCAAACCTAGGTGTGTGCCCTGACCGGAGACGGAACCTGCAACCTTTTGGTGTACAGGAATGATGCTCCAACAACCAACTTAGCCACCTGGCCACAGCTCTTGGGCAAGCTTTCGATCCCTCTGTGCCTCATTCTTTTCATTTAAAATATAAAGGGAATAACAGTACATCTCAAAGTTGTTGGGAATACCAATGAGATGACACATGTACAACTGAGAGGACAGTGCCTGCTCTCCAAAGTGATACCAAAGCGTCAGAGTTCCAGTGACCCCACAGTTTCGCCACCCTTGAGTCTTATTTATATTTTCATAAATTGTGCTAATTAATAAAAAAGGTGACTTTTTAAAAGTTACATTAATGATTTCAAATAACCTGTGAGTGTTCCCCATGTTTACTATTTATATTATATCTTTATCAACTTTTTATTTTTTGACACTTATTTGTGTGTGCTCTATTTAGCTATTCACATATTTCCCATGGAAAAGGCAAGAGTTATTTTTTTGCAGTTGTGACAACTATGTAAGAAACTATGGTTTAAAATGTTAGCTGAAAGTGTACAGCAGCATTTTTTTGCAGAAATTAAAAAAAAAAAGCTCATGGGACATCTCAAGGAACCCCAAACAGCTAAAACAATCTTGAAAAAAAAAAAGAACTAATTAAAAAAACTGACACCTTCTGAATTTAAAACTTACTTTGAAGTTATAGTAATTAAAACGGTGTGGTACTAGCATAAGGACAGACATATATTCCAGTAGAATAAAATAGCACAGAGATAGCACCTTGCATATATGATCAAATTATTTTCAACAAGGGTGCCAGGACCATTCAGTGGGGGAAAGAACAGTCTTTTCAACAGATTATATTAGAAAGACTGGATGTCTACATGCAAAGTAATGAAGTAAAATTCATGTTTACAATACATAAAAATTAACTTAAAATGGATCAAAGACCTAAATGTAAGAGCTAAAACTATGAAATACCTAGACAAAAACACAGGGGTAAAACTTAATCATATTGGATGTAGCAACGATTTCTTGGTTCTAATATCAAAAGCACACGAAACAAAATAAAAAATAGATTAACTGGACTACATCAAAATCGAAAACTTCTGTGCATCAATGAACACAATCAACAGAGTGAAAGGCAAGGAGAGAAAATATCTGCAAATCACATACCTAACAAGGGGTTACTATCCAGAATAAATCAAGAACTCCAACCACTCAACAACAAAAGCCAAACAAGCTGATTCAATAATGGGCAAAGGACTTGAATAGATTTTTCTCCAAAGAAGAAATACAAACAGTCAATAAGCACATGAAGAGATGCTCAATATCATTAATCATTAGGAAAATGAAAATCAAAACCACAGTGAGATATACCACCTCACAGTCATTAGAAGGGCCACTAAAAAAAAACAAACAAAAAAAAACAACTCAGCCCTGGCTGCTGTGGCTCAGTGGATTGAGTGTGGGCCTGCGAACCAGAGTATCACGGTTCAATTCCCAGTCAGGGCACATGTCTGGGTTGCAGCTTCCGGCAAGGGAACTCATGAGAGGCAACCATACATTGATATTTCTCTCCCTCTCTCCTTCCCTTCCCCTCTAAAGATAAATAAATAAAATCTTTAAAAAAACACCTCAAAGTACAAATAAAAAGGAAAAGAAAACCAAAACAACAGAAAATAACACGTGTTCATGAGGATGCAGAGAAGTCAGAATGCTCACACACTGTTGGTAGGAATGTGAAGTGACAGACTTAAGCCTTTAAAAGGAAGGAAATTCTGATACATGCTACAACATGAATGAACACTGAGGACATTATGGTAAGTGAAAAAAGCCAGACACAAAAAGACAAGTATTTTATGATTCAACTTATATCAGGCACCTAGACTAGAAGAGACATAAACTACACTGGAGACTGCTCAGGGTCCAGGTAGGGGAGGGATGGGAAGTTAGTGTTTAATGGCACAGAGTTTCAGATTTGTAAGAGAAAAAGAGTTCTGGAAACGGATGGTGGTGATGGTTGTACAACAGTGTGAATGTGTTTAATGCCACTGAGCTGTACATGTAAAAATGGTAAATTTTATGTTACATGTATTTTACCACAATTAAATGAAGTTGAAAAAAACCCAGTAAGCTGGTGCCAGATGGAACTTACTTGTATGCCAGGGCTCCAGCAAAGTGCTTCTGGATGTACGTGTCCATTACAGGCCGGAAGTGGAAATACTTTATGTCTCTGAGCAGGTTGATGATGAATACCTGAGAGAAATGGAAGGTATCAGGGTTCACTGGAGGCCTCAGACCTGTCCCCAGCACAGAACAGAACTCTTGCTTCTTCGGTGAATACAAACTGTCCGTGTTTTCTCCAGTGTTCCCCATGGGCAGTGGATGTAAGATTTCCATTCTGTGTCTCAACTGCAGTTTTGACTGTTCCATTCCTACCACTCCTGGACTCCCAATCCAAACTTGGGACTCATCTGTCTGCCGCTGTTACTCTGAGACTCTTCATAATAAAGCTTGGTGTACAATATGAACCAAGGGAAGGCAAAATAATACCTGTCATAAATACTACTGCATCTCAACAAACTTGGAAAAAAGAGGAAAAAGCTTTTCTCGGAGCCAAATTAGCCTACAAAAGGCCGCACCCTTCAGAAATGGGCTGGCTAGCCAGAGAAGTGAGGAAGAAGAAAAGCCAAAGGGGCAACCTATGTAAGTGCCATTCTTGCCTCTGCTCCTCATCTATCAGGTACACTTGGAATATCTGGTTCTCCTTGAATATACAGTAGTGTTCATTGATGCACTCCTGTAGGATTAGATATGTTAAGCAAAATGCACTCAACAGTCCAGTCACTGTCTATTCTCGCTAAGCAACCTCCTGAGACTCTAGTCCCTGAACAACTTCACAGAGAGAGAAAGTGTGATGCTCGGACCAGCTTTTCCTGGTGGTTATATCCAATTTTGTAAGTGAAAAAATGGACCATCTGGTTTCCTATATTAGTCTCTGGGCCTTTTACTGGTGTAGGTCACTATTTCAGGAGCTAGCCAACTCTGCACTAGTGACGTGACTGAGTATCAGAACTACAAAGTTGAGGCCGGGACCTGACTGTCATGAATTCTTCAAATTTGATTTTGTAGGGATTGGCCTCGTAGGTTGATTGGTCTTCTTGGGTGATACTCCTCAGTCCCTTCTTTATTGGAAGCACCTAAACCCAGCTGAATAAATTATTTCCCTCATTTAAAAATATGTGACAGGAAAAAGCGAGCCAGGAATGAAGGACTTACCAAAGACTGAAACACCAACAGGCCGTATTTTTCTGTATTATCATCCAAAATCACAAAGAGTGTATCTAGGATGTCCTGCAGAAACTGCAAGAGCATAAAAATCAGAGGGCTCAGCTCTCAGGACCCGGTACAAAAAATTTCCACGCACCAGTGAATTTATTTCCCAATAAACAAAGTCAAAGATCTTAGGTCTCAAAGCATCACTTAAAATAATATAGTACCTATCTTCACCCAGTATAGGGCTAACTAGGTGGACTTGGGGGATTTACTTATAGCCCAAAGAAACATAGAGAGGCTCTTTCCGTGTTGTGTAAGTGCTAAACTTCTAATGAAAGAGACTATAAAACCTAGAACATTCATATAGGACAGCAATTTTAAAACCAAGACAATCTAAGTGATTCTGATGCCACATTTATTTTGAGAAAAAGAGCTCCCTTTCCTGGGACCTCAGAAAGTTCAGCAGTCCCTTGCTGTCTACTGTGGCCTAACTCTATAGAGGACATTTGGATGAGGATGTGGTAAGCTAGGCCTTACCTAGCTAAACTATGTTTAATCTAGAAATTAGTGTCCCAGGAGAAGGGAGAATGCAGCTGATAAGGGCTGTCAATGAGAATAAACAATCTGGCAACACTTTTTTGTTGTTGTTGTTCCTTTTTTAGAGCATGTGCCTTTTTCTTTCAAAGATTTAAAAATCAACGGAGAGAACAAATACTTTTGTATGCTAGGGATACTAGTAGTCTTTTTTCTCTATAAAGATTTTACTTATTTATTTTTGGACAGAGGGAACGGGTGGGAGAAAGAGAAGGAGAGAAACATCCATGTGTGGTTGCCTCTCATGTGCCCCCTACTGGAGACCTGGCCTATAACCCAAGCATGTTCCCTGACTGGGAACTGAACTGGTGACCCTTTGGTTCACAGGCCAGCACTCCATTCACTGAGCCACACCAGCCAGGGCAGGATGCTAGTAGTCTTTAAAAACCAAATCTAACATTCTATTGGTCAAAACACAATTTAATAATACCATGACTACAATTTATTTAAAAACCATGTAAGATGGGAGACAGGGATAGGGATGTGGATGGCAGGACTGGCTCTGGGTTGACGACTGTTGGTGTTAGGGGATGGGTACATGTAGGGCTCTTTATACTGTCCTGCCAGTTTTGTGTAGGTCTGAAATTTTCCAGGAAAAATGAAAATATCTGCCCTGGCTGGTGTGGCTCAGTGAACTGAGTGCTGGCCTGCGAACGAAAGGATCGCTGGTCCGATTCTCAGTCAGGGCACCTGCCTGGGCTGCGGGCCAGGTACCTAGTTGGGGACATGTGAGAGGTAACCAATTGGTGTACCTCTTGCACATTGATGTTTCTCTCCCTCCCTTCTCCTCTCTCTAAAAATACATAAATAAAATCTTTTACAATCCTAACATTATTCTCTTCACATTCTCTTCTAGTTGGCTTGAGACAAATTACTGATGCTAAAACGACCTGCTGGTAGAATGTTCTCATGAGAAATACAATGACCCATTTTAAAAAAATCACAGACTTTTCTAATACCTTGTCTGTTTACTAGACATTTTTAATATGTTCAGTAGGAAAAAATGCCCTAAATATAAATTTCTCTTAAGTTAAAAAAACTAGTATTAGCTTGTTTGTTAAGATCTTTCTAAAATTTATGATACTCTGATCAACTGATTCAAACAGAGTTCATACACAACTTCATAAAGGTACACAGAGGCGCACAGGCTTTAAAACTGTTCCCAGCTGGGAAGCACCATGTTGTGTGTTAATGGAGTCACCGGAGCTGTGAAGTGAAGGACAGACGGCACACTGCTAAGTGATGTGATACTTGCAACAACAGAGCTGAGAATGCACAGGAGGAACAAGTGGCCTTCTTGAGATTTCTTCTCTATCCCACATTCTGTTGCTCTTGCTGATTACCCAAAGCACCTCCATTTTCCACAGTGGAGTTCAATCCATTGTGCAGAATCTACCTGCAGGGCTTTCACCAGCAGGAAGTGACTGGCGGTTTCTTGAGTTAAAACCAGATGAGATAACACTCTGCCGAGTGTGAAGGAGCCCTACAGAAGACAGCTGCAGACTGGCAGTATTGCTGTCTGCCTGTTTAGATGGGAAATGTCACAAAGGTACTTGGTGACAATGGTGGAGGCAGGGAATAGGGAAGTTTCCTAGTGTGGACTCTGAGCCTGGGCAAAATCAGCAGCTATAGGTTAGTGGAGCAGATTCGGAGTTCTACTAGGTAATCAATAGAGAACAGCCAGAAAGACATCAGGCTGGGTGTGTGGTGAGAGGGTTACAGAGTAAGGAAAATGAAACAGACTTTAGGAAAGGAAAGGAGACCTAGAGGAATGTAGGCAGCACAAACACAAGGACTGTTTCTGAGGGGATGCTGTACTACTACCCTTCAATGATCATTTTGCTTTCTAAGAAGAAAAACAAGTCAAAACACAGGGTTTACATGTAGTTTCTAAAAGGTAAACTTGATGGGATAACTACTTTTAAAGAAGAAACTGACTTAAAAAAAACTTTAATCCTATTCATCTAATTATACATTTCGAGACACAGTCTTGGAGGCGTACTGGCAGAAGCCAGGGGGCAGGGAGGCCTTCTGCCCAGACGCCTGCTCAGGCAGCACAGGGAACACCGTACCTTAACAATTTCCTCTCCGCTGACATGCCGCAGCCGCCCCAGGATATCCATGATCCTGTCTGGGAAGGCCTTCCATTTCAGCAGAGCAAGGAGGTCCACTAGAAAGCAAGCCCAAAAGATGTTGAACCCTGGCTATGCCCAGGATAAGCAAAGCCCAGACTCTCCCAGCCATGGACAGGTGGGTCCAGAGGAAGAGAAGTAGCTGCACCACCACAGCCTCTTCAGTGCTGAGAGCAAAGCCAAATCACATCTGCAAACTCTGGATGTGCACTCTGGAGCCGCTAAGACTGGGAAACCTCATGGGCTGCTACTGCCAAGTGATTCCTTCAACGTCAAATGCAAAGAATTCCCTCACTGTGGCACGACAGCAGTAATTTCTGTCTCCCTTCACAAACACCAGACACTGAGGACAGGGAGGGCACCAGCCTGCAGGTGCTATCACCTACCGTTCTGGGTGAGTTTGGTGGAGGAGAGCTGCGTTGAGATGAAGAAAGACTCTTTGGTGCTGCGCTGAAAGATGAGGCTGGAGGGGATATTAGGGCAGCCGTTGTAGTCCTCTTTGCAGCAGGGCAGGCCCAGATATAGAGCATGGTTGTTAAATGTGCTATTCTCATCACACTGTAGGCAAAAGTAGAGAACACGGTATTTTCTGAACCATGCCATGTGTAAAAATCAAATCCTAGGAGATTTTGGGTTGATGTTTGTGCTCCATCCAGAAACTCCCCCAAAATGGCTCACAGTCCTTTCAAGAGAACATGTCAGGGCACGTGGCCTCTACCTCGTGTGCAAGCAACCTTGGGTGGCAGCTATCCGTGACAGCCAAAAGACCATGATCTCAAATAGCAGGTCTCCAAATACACCAGCCCAGGCCACAATGGCACAGAGGGGTGGTAACAGACTTCTGTTACCAGTGGAAGAGGGGTGGGAAACAAGGGGCCTGTGGGTGTTGCTTTGTGGGAGGAGGCTGCTGTATGTAGGAGACAAAAGCCTGCCCACAGCTGTCCTGCTGCCACCCACCAGCATGCAACCCTGCGTCCCGTGAACCACCTGACCAAGAGCCATGTGTGAGAGTCGCCTCAGGGGGTTAGGGTTGAGGTGACAAGAGAGCCAGCCCCCATACCTTGTACACATAGAGTTCATGGATATCATCTGAGAGAGTGGTGCCATCGTCCCGCATCAGGGGTGAGAATGCAAAGCCAAAGAGCTTCTTTTCCCCTTTGTCCTTTGCTGTAACCAGAGCCAAGGGTTAACTGCTTTTGCCCCCCAATTTGCTTTTTAAATTTAGAAATTCCCCCGTGCTCGCCACCTATGCTCTTTACTTCTTTGTCCGTTACTTTCATTAATTATCAGTCTGACTGCAGGAACAATGAGAAAAGTACTGGAGTGTGTTTCCACTTATATCCCAAAGCACACAGACTATCTAGACCCACACAGAATGAAATAGCTGGTCTTGATAAACCAGAGGCTTTCTAAGAGCAGTGTGACAGGCACAAAGGTAACACCCAAAGGGGAGTGACAATGGCACTTACCCAGTGTCCAGGTCAGACACTAAGAAGAACCAATGCCCTACCCCATGGTTTTAAATTGCTGTCCAAAGAACAGCCTCTGGTGACATCCCAGCTCTGAAATGGACATTTCTTCCTAGCTTCTCATTTTCTTGCCCCAAAAGTAAGTAAGAACCCTCTCAGTTCCATCCCAGAGGGGAATTATATCCATATCCTCAAAGGACTGTGGAGGGAAGTCTCGCTCACTGGAACAATGTCTGAACTCGAAGCGCAGGTGGGAACCACGGAACCGGTCGATGGGGATGGGTAGTTTAATGATTTCTCCCCAGCGAGGACTATTACTGTGATAGAGGACGAACGAGTGGTAGGAACTCCTGTTGGGCTCTCCTGAGCCCAAGCTGATGCAATCCTGGAAGAGAGAGGCAAAATAAGGTGTCACCTTCCTGGAAGGAGCCCCCGGATTTCTCTGTCACTAGGACACTTTCTCCTCTGTGCGAGTCTCATTTCCCCACCAATAGAAATCTATAAGATGAGAAACTCCATCTGGCTTCAATTCAACACTTGGAAACAATTGTGTCGATGGTATAAGGACTCAGCAGTTACAGTGCTCCTTATTTTCCTGGGGGCAGAGGTAATTAACTGCACACAGCGCACCATAAGCTGGAAGGTAGCTAGGTTACGCATCTGAACTGCTGAGGCACGCCCTACGTGCCCACTGAGAAAGGAAGTAAGGGACCCTCTGGGAGAAGTCAGCTATACATGGCACAATGCCAGATGAGAAAAATAAGGAAATTACAAAGCAGAGAGAGCTTGTTTCCTAACCTTCCTCAGCCCAGTGTTGCACTGGCATTTTAGGATGCCATCAGCTGACTGTCCAGGGTAGACCAGATTTAACTTGACCCCAGTTCCCAAATACTACCGTGCAGATGCAGCCCTCAGACTGCCGGCAGCCCTTGCCTGGAGGACAGGAAGCTGCACCACATATACTCAGAAGCAGCTCCCTGGCGCACAGGGGCAGTGCGAACACCTGCCAGCTCTGCTGACCTCAGTATGACATCCATGCAAACCACAGCCATGCCTCAGTCCTTGAGGTGGGTTTCAAAAATGACAAATCATTGTCTGACCACCATTTCAACATTCTCCTCTAGTTTTTCCCGGCATTAGGAGATGGTTTTGGCTAATTTTACCTTCTTCTCCTGTAAAATGTGGATGATCATTCTTGTCCTGCCTACCTCGCAAGGCTGCTGTCAACATACATAAATGAGGTCTGGAGAAGACTGATCTGCCATCTACCAAGTGCTCTGCAAATGATGCCTTGTGATTTGCCAGGGACTTCACCATAACATGACTGAGGGAAAAACTGACACACTGACAACAATAGAACAGCACCCCCGGTCTTCACTTCCAATGATCCCTATAGTGCACTGGCTAGAAGTAGTCTTTCAGGGCTTGAGCCTGCCGCTCCTTGTCACATAACTTGATGCCAGCAAGTGAGGACCTAAGTCTCCCCCTTGACCAAAGAGCATATGTAACTTTCTTATATTAGCTCAAGGAACAAAAACAGCAGGACACCAAAGGAAGCAGGCTGATGCTGGGCAGAATGGCAGAAGTAATATGTGGGACAGAACCAGAGGTAACCTGAGCAGGAAGGCATCAGGTCAGACCCTAGAAGAATTTCCACAAAGCTGCTGACACTGGAAGTCATTGTCAACGCATGCCTAGGGCTTCCTTGACAAAGGCAGGGGCAGGGAAGGGTGTGTCTGCAGTGATCTGAGTTCAGCCCTGCCCGAGGGGATGGATCTCTGGACCAAGCCCACAGAAGCAGCAGGATTACTTCGAGGTTAGCCTGCATTCCACACTGGCTAGAAAGCCTTACCTTCAGGATTTCTCCATCAGCGTAAAGCACATACATGGTCACTTCAATATTCTTTTGCACACTTTTGCCCCCTCTCTCGAAATCCCCCTTCTCCAAGGTTAGGTACAGGTCATTGCGGATATCGCCTGTGGGGAAAGAAATGCTGTGTCTCCATGACGACAGAAGCCACACTGTCCCATCTACATGGAGGACCAGGCTAGCAACTGGAGCCCCCAGGGTTCGGGGATGCACAGGGCATTCCAAGCTCGGTTAATAACGATGGACACCCTACCAGTGTCAGTGGAACAGTTCTCAGCTTGCTTAGCCACGTGCTCTCCGAGTCTGAGTTCCGAAGGGCCTACCACAGCTGGGGCACAGTGCAGGAGGGCAGGGGATCTTCTCTCGGAGGGCAGGGACTGCTCAGGCTCTCTCTCCAGGGGGGTAACTGCAATCTCAGCCTCCCACAGAGGGACGATCTGAGAATCAACTTTAATGATGTCTGGTCCACATCTCAACTAATCCTTCATTTCCCTCAAAGAAAAAAGTTTCTTTTTCCTTTTACAGGTTTTCTTTTTGCAGTCCTTAACCCTTCTGAGTCTGACTGAAGGCTACACTAGTTCTTCCTTCTGGAGGCCTCGCTCCAAATCCCATTCCCTGCTGGAGTGCCCAGCAGAGGTCACTGGACTACATGCCACATCTTCTTTTTGTTACAAGTGCTCTGGGAGCAGATGACACTCCTCCAGAAGCATGAGTGCTAAAGCGCTGAGACAACAGCCTGGGGAGCTCTCACTGCTGCCCTGTGCTCTGGCTCCAGCTCATGCTGCCCGTCCTGCTGCTCCAGACAGACAGGAGAAGCTCACGCCGCCCATCCGCAGTGACCTACGTCACATCTGCCTTTCTACGAGGAATGGAATTGTCTGTCTGTGTATGAGAGGAGCTTATTTAGGCTGCTCTAAGCTTCCAAATCTGCAACATGAGTTTTAGTCACACTGTGAAGAAGGGCCTTTAGCTTTCAAAAAATCATATAATAAAGACTGTGGGGGGTGGGGTAGAATCTTCCAAGGAAGAAAATAGCAAACAAACAAACAAAACCAGGTAAGGCCAAAGTGAAGATGTATTAGCAGCCTGAAGAAATCAACTGAGAGATGACGAACAATTAACTTGTAAAGCAAGCCAATTCAGAAGTCAGACATTCTTTCTACCTCGTTTCTTAGAAACACTGGCACATCTAAATATACTCATTACCTGGAATCATGGTGACATAAATAGGCTTTGTTTGGGTTAGCAAATGAGCTTTCTGGTCTGGTCAGATGCACAGTGACGGATGATAGCCTCTTTTCTAACTGTGGAAGTGTAAGGCTCTCTTATGCGTGACATAGCAACAGATTAGGACTGGCACATGTCTGGGGCTTTTGAGGTCTTTATGACCAGACTTTCTATTCTTCAGGTTACTTTCCTGCCCTAGGAGTGCAGTCATGGTTATCTGGTTGCATAACAAAGCTCTCAAAATACTGTAGCTCAAGCAAGGGAGGGCAACCCATAAGAGGGAATTATTCTCTGACAGCCGAGAACCTTCTCTGTGTAAAAGCCATCTCGCTCCCCAAACAGCCCTGAGGCTACCATGCAGAGAAGAGGAAAATCACACACAAATTTAACTGTGGAGCAGGTGGGCAGCCTTGAGGATGACTGCCCCGGCTGTCTGCACAGATTTACCTCTTGGGCTGAGTAGAGACTCTATTGCAGGGGTGTCAGATTCGTTTTCACCGGGGGCCACATCAGCCTCATGGCTGTCTTCAAAGGACCAAAATAAATTCTAAGACTGTATAAATGTAACTTACTGTTAAGGAGCTGAAATTACTTTTGGCCCTTTGAAGGCAACCTCAAGGCTGATGTGGTCCCTGGTGAAAATGAGTCGGACATCCCTGCACTACTTTAAATTTTGATGAATTTGAAACTTTAATCTGTCTCCGCTGGACATCCTAGCTTGGGCCCTTCTAGCGTATCACTGAAAGAGCACTCAGGTGTGTGGCAGGGTAACGAAGGCAAGTAGGGGGAGAAGGAAGACTCAAACTCATTAGCTTGTTACTATCAGGAAAGAGGCTCAATAAATCAGTCATGAAAGTAAAATTTACAATTAGCTAGGAACTAAACTTGACTTGGAATGGTGAACACAGTACAATATACAGATGGTGTATTATACAACTATACACCTGAAACCTATATAATTTTATTAGCCAATGTCATCCCAGTAAATTCAATAAAAAAGAAAAAATAACTGGGAACTTCACTATGGGTTATTGCTATTATAATGGGATAAATCAAAATTAGTTACATCTTTAATTTTTAACAACTGAAACACACATTTCTGGGCCTTCTGATAAAAATCCTTTTAGTCACACATTAGCTTTGCTGTGGAGTTTAATAATAATTCAATTTCTAGGCTCATTTGGCAAAAAAAAGTGAGTAGTCTAGAGAATCTTAATATCTAACCTAGAGAATAGGTGCTTTGTTTAAATATTACCCAGGTTTAAACCAGCACTCTCTGGAAGTCACTCTCCAGGTAATCTGCTAGAGATTTTGAAAAGTGGATACTGCCCATAAGCAATAGTATTCTAGACTATACAAAGTTTAATTTCTGTGGCTCTATACACAAGTTAACCATGTTGCAATAACTGAATCCTTCAAATGAAACATTTCAAACTTCCTAGCCATATGTGAGACAGAATACTAATCCAAAACTGGGCATCATCTTGGGGACTGATAATGACAGAATCTGGTCTGGGTTGGTTTTATAGAGTGAGCTCATGGTTTCTGGCAGCTCCTCCAGGGCATCTTACATTAAAATGCCAATTTCAAATGGAAGGACTGAGCTACATATTCCTACAATTTTCGTTCTTTAAACATTTTCTATTTAAACAGAATGCCTTTGGTGATCATCTAAGCTTAGAAAAATTGTCAATGTCATGAACTAAGAGGGGGATGCTGGTGGGAGGGTGGGTGCAGAGCGGAGGGGAATAAAGGAGAGGAAAAAATGGGACACCTGTAACAGCATAATCGATAAAATATATTCAAGAAAAGAAAACTTGTCAATGAAGGTAACTATACCCTCTGAGTCCGACTGAAGTAATTTGATTTCATCAGGCCTTTGGCTGCTCTTTAGCTGGGAGAACAGACCTGTCTAGACCAGGGCTGCTCTCAGTCAGAACAGGCACAAAATTGCCTTATAGGTTACAATTTTGCAAACTACAGCCTCAATTTCAAGAATAGCACTTTGTGAGTGTTAATGTTGCTGGGCCTTCTTGTCAAAAGCTCTCTGGGGGATCTTTTAAATTAAGCTCTCCACTAATTCTCCTGAAACTTGGAGAAAACCTAAGAACAAGCAAATGTGAACAGCTCCAGGGATCTGATAACCCAGGACTGCCTCACAGACAGCCTCCCAAGGCTGCCCACTCTTCAGTTATCGCTCATGCAAGTAACGTGTGCACAAAACCTACCAGTGGGTCATGCTTTTGGGTTAAGGCACTGCCTCCCGGAGGCTCCTCTAACCTTTAGAACCAACAGCCAGGAGAAGGATGAAGACAGGCAGGAAAGAGAAGGCCTGTGCAGCGGTTTTTGAAGTGAGGCTGTATTTGGATCACCTAGGGAGCTTGTTAAAATACTTCTGGCATCCACCCCATGAGAATTCAGTGGGACCTGGGTACATACATTTAAAAAATCATCAGGTGTTTCTAATGCTCTCCAGGGTTTAACACCAGGGGACCAAAACATGGGTGGGGGGGTGCTGATGGGAAGATGCTGATGAGGTTTGGCTGTGGGTAGGGGGCTGGGTAGCTATTATGCAGCATGGAGGAACCCTGGGCTATCAACAGGGAGGCTCTTCTGTGGGAAGTGGGAGGAGGTATTGTTGAGGGCAGTCCTGGCTCCCTTTGTTAGGTGTCTTCTGCTTCCTAAGGCTGGCAGAGCATCCAACAACATCAGCAATGCCTTACACCTCTGAGTGCTTAGTGCTCAGTTAACATGCAAAAGAGTTTTTTGAATGGAAACAGAAATGAATAGGGCTGTTTTGTAAAAGCACCTCAGAATAAATAGTCTTTGTCCTTTCAGTTTCACACAGTAGCCAATGCCAGCTATTGGCATATATAGATAGCTGCATGTCAGGACAATAAGGAGTTAAGAGTAGGCAGCAGTTGACACATTTTTTTTTCTAAGAGGCCAGACAGTAAACACTTTAGGGTTTGCGGGTCTCATAGGTCTGTGTTACATGTTGTTTCCAAAACCTTTTTAAAATGTGGGAGAAAAAAAAAAACCACATTCTTAACTGGCAGGTAGTATAAAAACAGGCTGTTAGCTAGTGGGCTATAGTTTGCTAATACCTGCCTTAATGTGTTTACGTGTCAACAGCTTTACTACACTGAAACTACACACAAAAACCCAGCCCTGGCTGATGTGGCTTGGTTGGTTGGAGTGTCTCCCCACAGACTGAAAGGTTGCCAGTGTGATTCCCAGTCAGGACACATGCCTAGGTTGTGGGTACGGTCCCTGGTCCAGGTGCATATGGGAGGCACTGATGAGTGTTTCTCTCTCACACTGGTGTTTGTCTTCCCCTCTCCCTCCTTCCCCCTCTCTTTAAGGTCAATAAGCATGTCATTGGGTGAAAAGTTTTTAAAAATCCAGATTCCTGTAAATCTACACAAACACCTACTGAAAAGGAGCAAGGTAATGAACCTGAGGCCATCTTACTATGCCAGGGATTGGTCTGAAACATTCTGGGGTCCTTATGGAGTGAGGGGTATTAGATGAAACAGTGCTTTTCAGCCACCAAAAATCTTAGGGGCTGAGGAACACCCTGACAGAGTGGCATCCATCAGGGAGAGAAAACTGTCAGCCTCAGCGGTCCGGTCTCACCCTCTGAAGACCTGCATCTTTGCGTGACTCTGGAGAAACAGAGCTCACAGCATGGGCGCGTGCCTCTCCGAGAGCAGCCTTCGTACAGGTTTCAGAATCTCTGAGGTCCAGCTCAGGCACCAGAGCATCTGTCAGTAGCACGCTCTTTATAGACACTCCAGACGACATGGAGTTTTAGAGCCATGCTGACCCAACCTATGCAAAATCCCATCCCAGGAAAAATGGTCCAGGATTCAAGGCT